CCACGATGGAATTTAAAGAAAGGAGACTGGAAGCTTTTCAGAAAATTGACAGATGAACTCATCACTGATAAATTAATCATAAACGGCAACGTAGATAAAACATATACTAATATAAAAGGAAATTTATATAGGTGTGCCCTGAAGACTATTCCCCGAGGAACGGTACGAAAATATCGTCCTTTCTGGAATGAAGAACTGCAAAAGCTAAAAGAAGAAAGAGATGATTTTAGAAAAAGAGCTGAGAGCTCCAAAAATCATGCAATTATAAGTTTACTTAAAAGGAAAACAGCTATCTTTAAAAGAAAAGTTATTTCAGCTAAACAAAACTCATTTAGAACGTTCCTACAGAAAATGGTTTTTAGAAAAGATGGAGTTAAGGCACATGAATTTCTTTCAAAAATAAATAATAAATCAAACTTAGCAAACCATCCAATAACTTTCGATGGGAAAAGAATAAGCATGCTAAAAGAAATAGCTAACTCCTTCTGCAAACACTATTCAAAAGTAAGCAATTACAAGCCAAAAAAAGAAAACGGAAATCCAGTCACAAAATCCACACATTGTTGTGTAATGAGTGAAGAAGATTATACACTATTCTGGGGAGATATCCAAACGCAAGAACTAAATGATGCTCTTACTAAATCTAAGAAAGGTAAAACCGCAGGCCCAGATGACATACTGTCGGAATTTCTTATACACCTGGGGGATATGGCCAAAGAAACAGTACTAAAATTTTTAAATGATGTCTGGAAAACACATATTCCGTGTGAATGGAGGAAAGCAGAAGTGGTACCAATCTTGAAGAGAGGAAAAAAAGGAGACATGCCGGAAAATTTCAGACCCATTGCATTAACAAGTACTTTCTCCAAGCTCTACGAGAGAATCGTTGCAGAAAGACTTGAAAAATGCATAGAGAAATATGATCTAATATCTTCTAAACAAGCTGGCTTCAAGAAAAATCGAAACACAATTGAACAAGTAGCTCGTCTAACACAAGATATAAAAAACGGCTTCCAAAGAAAACAGAGCACCCTAGCAATATTCGTAGATTTTAAGACGGCATATGATAGAGTTTGGAGAAAGAAGCTAGTGAGTAAGCTTGTTGACAAGGGAGTCACAGGATATCTGCTCAAGACTATATCTTCTTTCTTACATCAGAGGTTTATAAGGGTGCGATATAAAAACGTTGTCTCGACATATCGCCAAACAAAACAAGGCCTCCCACAAGGCTCGGTGCTGAGTCCCTTCCTGTTTAACATCATGATTGACGATATCACGGAACTCACTGAAACTATTCCGGGTACAAATGCCCTGCTGTACGCAGATGACCTCGTCATTTGGGCAACAAGTAGTGACTTTAAAGGGCTAGAAAATCACATGCAACATGTACTTAAATTACTAGAGAAGTGGGCCAATGAAAACGAGATGATCGTTAATTCCGAAAAGACGGAATTTCAACTTTTTACCCTCTCTACCAAATCACACGAGATCAATTTGAACCATAATAACGAAGAGCTCAAACGCACAGAAGAAGCTACATATCTTGGAGTGAAATTGGATAAAAGACTCTCTTGGAATAAGCACATTGAAAAACAAATAGAACAGGCTTCAAAACGACTTTCGTTAATACAGAGGTTAGGTGGCTCAAAATGGGGAGCAACGGGGGATGTTATGGCTCTTACCTACAAGACATATGTCCGCCCTGTTATTGAATATGGAGCAGAACTTGTTATCACTGCTTCGGACGCGATATTACACAAGCTCGACATAATCCAGAATCAAGCCCTTAGACTCGTGACAGGAGGGAGCAGATCAACCCCAATATCTGCGCTAGAATTACAAACAGGCATAGTACCTCTTGAGACACACCGGGAGCAACTGGCCATTACGCTCTATGAAAGGCTAAAACGTCTTAAGATCAACTACTGGAGTACCTATGAACCCGCACCTGAACGCCTTAAAACTCAAATTACTTTTACTAAGGCAGTGGAAGATTTGATACAAAGAAAAGGACTAGAATTATCTGAAAGGGAGCCACTCCCGTCATTGACACAAGTTCCATTCACCAGCCAATTTGTTGTTCACTGTGATCTTCTTCAGAATGTTTCTAAGGATACAACACTTACGAACAAAAGGCTATAACCCTAGAAACCATCGGAAAACGATTTCCAGAGACAGAATGGCTCCATGTATATACAGATGGTTCTGCACTGGAAGCACGCAAACATGCCGGAGCTGGTGTTTATTCAAAGGAGTTTCAACTTGCCGCCCCGGTCGGAAAGGTAGCCACAAACTTTGAAGGGGAAGTGAAAGCCATTCTCTTAGGCCTTGAGATGTTAACTGAACGGAAAGACAATAAAGTGGCTTTCTTTGTTGACTCACAGGCAGCCATTTTGTCCCTAAAAAATGGATATAGTATAAATCCAAATGTTCCTAAATGCCATCAATATTTGAACCAATTAAAGGAAAATGGGACAGAAGTCGCTTTCCAGTGGATACCAGGCCATTGCGGGCTCCACGGAAATGATGAAGCTGATAAACTGGCCAGAATAGGTTCTGGAATGATCCAACCCGATATTCCTCTGACCATGGATTCAACAAAAAGAATCATAAAGCAGACCCTCCAAAGTTTACTGAAAGCGAAATATGTACAAACAATTGAAGGGAAACGATGGAGTGGATTGCTGGAAGAAAGTGGCAGGATTCCTAGAGACCTCCCTAGAGGGCAAGCCGTGGCATGCTTTAGAATGCTGACAGGCCACGATTTCCTTCAGAAGCACCTCCACCGCATCGGTGTAAAAGATAGCCCGACATGCCCTCTATGTTCCTTAGACGTAATGACAGGAGAACATCTGGATACATGCCCTGCATTACAGGACATAAGATGTTGCTTTAATGAAATGGACAGCTATTATACTCGGAGAGCGAAATTGTATTGGACTGCACGAGCACGCATGGCTAACGGAGCAGGCGTTACTTAGGCGTAGGAAAAAAAAAAAAAAAAAAAAAAAAAAAAAAAAAAAAAAAAAAACATTTTCCTTGATTATAATCCTTTTTTTTTTCTAAATTGAATATTCATATATCAAAGCCTTCAACAATATATGCTCTTTCTCTGGTTTATCATTACATGTGAACATGATGGTATTGGGTTGGGAAATAAGTCCTTTCAGTTTTTCAGGGTGAAACAAAACTCAATGTATTATAAACATAAAATTTATTTAAATCTACAATATATTGACCATTATTTAATATGACTTTTCCCCATCTTTCCACGAACTGCATAATGCCATGTTCATAGAATGTCAGGAATTTATTGATAAAAAACTGATCCAAGTGGCTTTTGATGTCCTCTTCCTTTTGGAATTCCTTTCCATTCATGGAGTTCTGCAGAGAGTAGAATAAGTGCAAGTCACTTGGAGCTAGGTCTGGTGAATAGGAAGGGTGGGGGCAAAAGATCCCATCCAAGGCTCAATAATTTATAGCGAGTGACCGATGAGGTGTGGGGCCTAGCGTTGTCTTGGTGGAACACAACATCCTTCCAATTTGCCAGTTCTGGACGTTTATTTTTAATTGGTTGATCCAATTTTGTTAATTGTGAGCAGTATAGAGTTGAATTAATTGTTTGTCCTGATGGCAATAGATTCTACCATATGGAAAGCATTATCTTCTTTGGATGCAATCCGGGTTTTGTGACATTCTTCTAAGAGCCTCACTACTAGGTCCCCAAGATTTACGGATTACATTATCGCAAAATATTCATTTTTCAACTTCTGTTACCAATCTTTTCAAAAATGGGTCGTTTTGTAGCCGTTTTTGAATCACAAACAGAAATGCGTGTAGCCAAGTTGACTTCGGTTGGAGAGTGAGAGAGCCAAACATTAAACCTGGAAACATAGCCGAACTTGTGTAAATGGTTTTATACGCTTGTGTGCGACAAATTTAGGGCCATAGCAATCTCTCGCACTGATTGGGTGGGATTTTGATCAACAATGGCCTTAACATTGCTCACTTCAATTTCATGTGGATGACCAGAGAATCATTGATGTCTAAATTTCCTGAATGAAATTTGGCAAACCAATTTTGACAGGTGCATTTGGTTAAGGCATAATTCCCATAAACACTGCAAATTTTTCTGTAAGCTCCTGCAGCACGCTTACTTTTTTTTAAATAATACAACAAAATATGACGATAATGAATGATATTTTCTTCCATATTCACAGTGCAATAGCAAACACAATACTAAGCTAGTTTCAACAAGAGTTAACAGATATATTTGTTGACATATTACAACAGGATAAGCAATCCACCTTAGGAATTAATTCATCAGATAAAAAGTGTATCATAGTGACATAAAAATAAACAGAAAAATCTAAAGGACTTATTTGCCAACCCAATATATACAACTGTATTTGTAAAACTACATTTTGGTCATTCTTTGTACCATAAATTATTGTCAATATATTCTTTAAGGGTAAAAATCAACAGTAATAAAATTTAATGGAAAGTTAATTAACAGCACCAACTTTAAAAACTCATAAGCCATCCTAAGACCTAGTTAATCTGGGTCATTCCAACACTTGTGATAAGCATGCTGTAATGAAAACAAGATAATAATAAAATTATTATCAATTCTAGAAAAATTGGTCGTTTCCATATCAATCATTCTCTTGTATTATGATTAGGTCTACAAAAAATAAAAGTGATTGTAAACAGTCCAGATATTAGATTTTCAATATTATTTTGCAGACAGAAATAATCAATTGAACAAGTCACAATACTCTACAACATATCAAGACCCTTCTCGGAATTTTTAGCTCTCAATGAACTTCCAGTTGAATTTAAAACATTCCAGTAACAGTTAAGATACATATTCTCTTTTTAAATCTATATAGTACAGCACCAAACTGAGAAGTAAATGGTTGAAATGATAATACTTTAAAGATAATCTCATAAAACAGTAAATATTTTAATTGCAATTGATTTTACAGAAAAAAGATTACCTCAGAAAGCCTAGCCCTTATGGTTGAGCCAGCAATTGAAAATTGTGTGTTTTCAAATATTGTTAACCAGAATGTCATAAGTAACCAATGGACAGCACAGGCAATTGCAGTCATCAGTGGGAAGATTGAAGCTGCAGCTGATATACTTAAAATTCTAGAAACCTGGAATTGTCCAATAATTATAATAATAATAATAAGTAGAAAAAAATTATGGACATACTAACACCTATTTATAAATAAATATGAATATACCTAGTTTTGCCATAAATAATGTTTCAAAATAGCTGTGATCGACTTACACAAAGTTCGAAAATCTAGGTGAGAGATTTCAACATTTTCAAACCTTTTTTTTTTTTTGTCCTCCCCTTCCTCGCCTCTAAGGCTATACGGAGGTTTTCCCGGGCCAGGGAGAGTGGGCGGGGATTTAAAAACTCCTCCGGGCACCGGGGCGCGAACTCGTGACTATTTTTATATCTTTGATTCATATGTCAGGTTGCCGGGCAACAGCGGTGCAGTACACACGCGTTAGCCCATCCGGCCACCCCGCCCACTACAACATTTTCAAACCTTTGGGTATCAGCCGTATGTTTGTGTACCACACTATAAATAGATAAAATGAGATCGTATCTGTATGACAGACCTCGACCGGGCCCCTCCCTCCCCCCTCCCCCTCCCCCGTCCTGTAAGAACGGCAAATGCAGTGAGAGCAGTGGCTGCTCAAATCAGAAGAAATCCCATTGAAAACAACAAATCATATCTCGTGAAATGGAAAAGCTGTCAGATCAATATCTCGCATAGTAAAAAGTGACCTTAGGATGGGTGCATTTCGAAGAATGACAGAACAAAGGCTAACCACTTCCCTAAAAAACATTAGAGAGGATAGATGCAAAGTGCTCCTTGGCTGTTACACTAATGGTCTTCATCGAAAGATTTTGTTTAGTGATGTGAAAATTGTTACAACTAAAGAAAAATTTAATCGCCAAAATGATCGTGTGTACGCACACAGCTCTAAAGAAGCCCAGGAAATCATTGGGAGAGTGGAAAGAGGTTATCACCCTTCCTCATTGATTGTTTGGTGGTTAGTTTGCTTTGATGGCACCACAAAGCTCCATTTTTATGAAAAAATAAATTAAAACAAGCTGCTAAAAACTATCAGGACAATATTTTGGAACCTGTTGTCAACCCTCAAAATGATACTCTGTTTGCTGGAAGTCATTGGGTTTTCCAGCAGAATTTCGCTCCAGCTCACAAGAGAACATTTCAGAGTTGATCTCTGCCTCGGATTAGCCCTCAGGAAGCCCTGATCTCAACCTACTAGATTATCGGCTTTGGTCTGAACTGGAGAGGATGGCATACCACATAGCCCTGGAGCCAGGGCCCAAAAATCGACCTGATCGCAGGCGAAGGTTTGATTGTAAATTACGAAAGTGTATGTTATTCGGAGTAAAAAGAACCTTGTCTGCCGTTCCAGAGCCGCCGCTTTCAAAAATGGCGGCTGATTTAAAAAATATTAGGTCTGTAATTTGAGGATCGAAACAGGAAATCCATTGCGAAAAATGTGGGAAAAGTTTTTATTTTTTTAACTTGTATATATGGGTTCAGACATGTAAAAAACAAAATTGCTAACGCAGGCCACCAAGGGAAAACTTTTTACAGCCAAAAAAGTCAGATTTTTTCGATATTTTTTGGGTTTTTCATCTATAACTCCTAAACGATACATCAAAGCGAAAAATGTATTTCTTTAATAAATTAAAGAACGTTAAATTTTGCGTCTAACGAGTACATAAACTTTATAGTTTGGTAAACTATTAAGGTATAAAACCACGGTCAACCAACGCTGATTTTTACCAAATTTGTCAAAAACTGACACAAATTACTATAAATGGCCCTGTAACTTGGAAATGAGTTCCCTAAGAGGAAAAACCCATAGAATCAAAGTTGTAGAGCATCAAATTTTGCGTCTGCTGAGTACTAACATTTTCATTGAAGGTCAATTATGTATCTCGAATCGGGATTCGTTATTCCTTTATGAAATTCGGTATCTTTCGACACATCGTTTATCAAAATTCTTTACTGCTGAGAGTGGAAAAGAGGCTTATACAGCATGTAACAGCCTCTAAACAAAAATAAGTAAGTAGAATAGACACCCATACTGTTAAAATATTGAAAATCACGTTTACCTTCATTTTCAATTTCCAACCTTCTGGAAATTACCGATTTCGTTCGGAGTAAGTCAACTACATTAAATTAGTTGGTATTCATTGGACGCAAAATTTGATGCTCTATAACTTTGATTCTATGGGTTTTTCCTCTTAGGGAACTCATTTCCAAGTTACAGGGCCATTTATAGTAATTTGTGTAAGTTTTTGACAAATTTGGTAAAAATCAGCATTGGTTGACCGTGATTTTGTACCTTAATAGTTAACCAAACTATAAAGTTTATGTACTCGTTGGACGCAAAATTTAATGTTCTTTAATTTATTAAAGAACACATTTTTCGCTTTGATGCATCGTTTAGGAGTTATAGATGAAAAACCCAAAAAATATGGAAAAAATCTGACTTTTTTGGCTGTAAAAAGTTTTCCCTTGGTGGCCTGCGTTAGCAATTTTGTTTTTTACATGTCTGAAACCCATATATACAAGTTAAAAAAATAAAAACTTTTCTCACATTTTTCACAATGGATTTCCCGTTTCGATCCTCAAATTATAGACCTAATATTCTTTTAAATCAGCCGCCATTTTTGAAAGCGGCGGCTCTGGAACGGCAGACAAGGTTCTTTTTACTCAGAATAACATACACTTTCGTAATTTACAATCAAACCTTCGCCTGCGATCAGGTCAATTTTTGGGCCCTGGCTCCAGGGCTAACAGAGCACACCCTCCCTAACTTGGAAAGCCACGAACAATCTCTGGTCCGAGCAGTTGAGCACTTTCCTCAAGAAGTGCTGCATGATGCTAATGATGACTGGCCACAGAGATGAAATGCCTGTGTCAAGGCAAAGGGGGGACATTTTGAGTAATTTCTTTTTTTTTTTTTTACTCTCTATAGATATACATTTTATTTTCTAATAAAGTTTTTGAAAAAAATAATTTTCCTGTTGAAATTTGTATATATTTCCTTATAACAATATTTATGACAGGACTAGGTACGATAGATGTAATGCTCGTCACTCGCAGTAGTAAAAAGGTTAATAAGCCTATAAGCTGAGATAGATACCAAGGATGAACTCTGGTGCTGAATGTACTTGTTTAGAGCTCTTCGTAGCAAGATTATCTGCCTTATTGCCAGTTTACCTGGTGTTGTTAATTTGATAATAACATTTTAGTAAGACACCAAAACAATTAATAATAAAAGCACTCTTACTTTATAATGAAAGTAAAAAACATTGTACTAATAAATAACATTACATAAGTGAAATGAAATCCTGTCTGCTGTTTTCAGCTAACAAGATTAGAATAAACTACTAGGTTGTTATAAAAGTCCTTGCCGTGCATAAGTGTAGCTTTATTTCATATTACATATTTTAAACATTATTTAATACTACTCTCCAAAGTAAAGTCCATTGTTTTCAACTACTTTTACCCATCTTCCTGCCAGTAATTGGATTTGATGCTGGTACTACTTCTTTGATTTTGAGGCAAAAAACTTTTCACATCCAATTTGTATGTCCTCATAATTATTAAATATCCGACCTTTAAAAAATGAGCCATTGATTTAAACTAACCTCACAAGGATTATGGAATAAGAACGTTAGATTATACTAAAAAGATCAATTCACACAACTGAGATCTGTATAAAAACATATTGACACACAATATTACTTTACTTGATTTTACATTCCATTATTATACTTTAGATATCTTTACATATTTGATTTTTGAAAAAGGAGCATTCATTTAAAAAATGAAATAAAAAATTAGGTAAACTCAGGATTAATGAGGCAGAATTCTTTGCAGCAGCAGGTCCTGTGTTGTAAAGGAACAGGGAGTGCAGTGCTTAGAATTAGCAATGGCTGTTAACAAATTCTATTTTTCATTAAATGTTAAGTAGTTAAAATTAGTGCCAATAGAAATTTCACATAAAAAAAACTACAAGTAATAATTTAGAACAACAATGTTTTTTCTATGTTTGAAAACAAAAGGTTGCTCAGAAATAGTGCGAAAATAATAAGTTAGTTATTTTATTTTATTTTTAAATATACCTTTTTAATTTTTTCCCACATGAATTAAGAGTTTCAGTCAGAGTCTTAGCTCCAGTCTACCCCTTTGATGTTTACCATTTGTTATAACGCATAACCTTTTATGGATTCTTTCATAACTTAGGCCCAACAACTTTACACGTCCATTTTATTCAGCACAATGTTATCATCTCAATAATATTTACATGGTATAGATCACACAATTTGGCGTTGTGTAACCATCTAAATTCTCTGATTGATTCGTCCTTCTCTGTTCCAAATATTCTACCCAATACTTTATTTTCAAAAACATTAAGATGCTGCTCATCCTTTAATGTAACGGCCACATTTTTATCATCAGTATAAAAGTAAACATCATTAAGCGTAGATGATGTAACAATGTTTAAGCAAGATTTTATTCAGGAGCCAAAATACCATTACATAAATATACACACTAGCAACACAGTATAAACATTAAGAATTTTTTTCAAATAAAGATAATAATATGAAGCATGTACTAACAATGTAATGTAAACAAACTAAACACCTAAGTAATAATAAGAACAGAATATTAACATTACCGTAACCATGAAATGCCATGTGAACTGCACACAGGTTCCCATAATAGAAAGATTTGATTTGTCTTTCTGACATAGTCGAATAGATCTATGATAAGATGCCATAGACCATGCCATGGACAGAAGAGAACTTGCTATTGATAAACACTGGTGGAGAACTGAGGAAAAAAAAATCACAATTAAAAATGCAAACATTATTAAAGTAAAATACTTCTATACTAACATACGAAGTTATTGCCTAACCCTTTCACAGCTCTAGCTGAGATATAGTGCTACCTATAAGCCTTAGATGAGATATAATGCACAGGTTGTTCAATTATGACAAGCCTATGACAGCTTTGAATATAGTATTAATTGCATATAACTCAATCTACTGAAAAGTTGACAAGTTAAAAAAAAACATAAATCAGCAGAAAGGTCAAGCAATCAGCAAAATATATTTGAGGTACTGGTACTAATCCCATGGCCAGGAGTAGCCTTAATCTACCTGTTATTGTTTTTTATCAACAAACATTGACCTATTTCCAGTACTCAAGGAAATTCTCTGCCATTATACATTTAAACACAGAATACAGCCTGGAACATTCAATGGTGCTATCTTATTAGTTTACAACGGAAGGCAGGTCACCATCAATAGGTCATCAATTTCAACCAATTTTTTTTTTTTATTACTCTACATCAAAAAATTGAAGAGAAGTTGATTAGGGTGTTCAATCAAAAGAATAAAACGTAAAAATAAATTTATTTTAGTAGATCAGGATATTTGTTTACCAATGACAGTCTCTATATTTATTTAAAAAATTATTTTATTTCTAGAGAAGCCTTAGGTGAACTGCACCATATCTATCTCTGATTCTCTTATTTTTCTATTTAAAACCATAGTAGATTGGAACAGTGTTTGTTCTTCATCTCATATTTTGACATCATTTTACTGAATGCTCGGACAAATAGGAGCCTTCTTCTCAGAATAAACAAAATATGAGACGAAAAACAAACACTGTTCTAATCTACTATGATTTTAGATAGAAAAATAAGAGAATAAGAGATAAATATGGTGCAGGTCTCTAGGAATAAAGTAATTTCTTGAATAACTATAGAGACTGTCATTGGTAAACAAATATCCTGATCTACTAAAACATATAAAACAGTATAAAATTACCTGTAAAATAAATTCATTTTTATTTTTGCTGTTTCGGCCCAAAGTTCAGATCTTCACCAGGGCTAAGGAAAGACACTTTACAAATTCTCAGTCACAAGAACCCTTATGATGTACATAATTCATTCCATCTCCACGAACAACTAATTTTCTTTACCATTCCAGACTATTTCATTCTTATTTCCTTGGGCATTGAAAGTTTATTCACTAACATACCCATAGACAATGCACTAAATATAATAGATGACCATTTGCCTATCATTGAACCCCACACCTCATATCTCGAATCCCTTTCTCTATGTTGTAAATCAGGCTATCTCACCTTCCAAGGCCTATTTTTAAATTAAATTTCCGGGCTAACCATAGGCAAGCCCCGACTTCTCCAACATTGTTCTTAGTAACCTACTAGACTTCATTATCTCTCTGTTCCTAGATGATATCATCTTTACATGAAAATATGAAGACGACCTCCTTTTAGTCCTCAATCTAGATAAAATTTCTGATATCTGATCAGCCTTCAATTCTTATCATCCCCGCCTCAACTTTACAGTAAAATGTGAATTAAACAATTCTCTCTTTTTTCTTGATCTTCTCATCATTAGGAATCCTAAAAATACCATATTCACAGACTGGTATACTAAACCAACTTATACAGGCAGACTTCTCAACTTCCATTCCACACATCCTTACCACAAAAAAATCAATTTTGCTAAAAATCTCATCCACTGAAGTCTCTCCCTCTCCAATTCCCAATTTCATGTATCCAAAAGATCATTTTAAATAATAATTTCCCTCACTATATCACCAACAAAGTTATAAAAAACCACAAAAACCACTCTTCCTCATTCTCGAATTCCACTGTTTTTACACAACCCATTTCAGCCTCCATGTACAGATTTCTACCTTATATCTCTAATCTTTTTGACAACATAAACAAAGTTTTATGATCTACCAACACTAACTTACGACTTGCCTTTAAATCTCATAACACACTTTCTAATCTGTACACATCCCTAAAAGATCTACATTACCTCTTTCTTTTCTGTGACAACTTTCTCATTTTCCTTTAATTTAATTTTTATTTTATTTATTGTCACGCTTTACGTTTATTTTAGTAATGCTCCATTATTATTTAATATTTGTGAACCCCACACCATACTATCCCAGGATACCTTACTTCCAAACCCATTTATTTAGTAAGCACATAAAATTTATCTACAATAAACCTTTTAACCATTTTATATGTTTCTGTGCTTTAGTTCACATATTTCTGCTAACTGTTACAGAGGGTGTTACGTAAGTTCTACAGGTTCTGTGTCAAACATCTTATCTAACGGGAACCTTTTGTGGGATCAGGTCGGTCTTCTTTTATTTTAGTATTCTGCTCATTTACCTTTTTCTCGTTACTTTCTTTTCCACATCCCTGCCTCTATTTTGTGAATATAGATACATTTACTCAATACATCTTATTTTGTAATTCTCGTATATGTAGTCAGTATTTTTGATAGATTTTACAGTAAATTTTTCTATTTACATCTATTATTTTCTTTATGTAACTTCATATTCTTTTTCTCTGTTTTACATTTCATTCTATGTCAATATCACTTCTTTTTAGTACTTTAAGGCATCATATTTTAGCAACTACGTCACCCCATTTATTCTATGTTTAACTCTTACATTTTTATCTCATAATATTTCAGAACATTTCTTTGTTTTTTCGTGTTTTTTTTTCATTCCTTTTGTAACCTGATTTCATATGTTTATTTCATTCATTATGATTATTTCATTAGGACCCTACTTCATGCTGTTATTATTTATTTTATAAATTCGTCTCAGTTACTGTTATATTATTATTTTCTTTTTAATGTTAATAGTTTCTCATACCCATTGTTATCTGATCTTTCCTTAGCCCTGATGAAGGCCTGAACTTTGGGCCGAAACCTAGGCAAAAATAAATACCATTAATTTATTTTTACTTTCTATTCTTTAGATTGAACACCCCAACCAACTTCTCTTCAATTTCAACCTTTAATCCACTGTTACTGCATCAAAAAAGATTGCACATAAGTCCTGGTGTTCATTCATTCGAATGGACCTTAGGAGTCTAGAAAAAAAAAATTTTATATAGGTAAGTGAATCTGAGTTTTCAACGGAAATACAAGTTTTGAGCTCCCATTAGTCTAAATAATCAAGTCCCACAAAATGATCTGTGTGAGTGTGTTGACAGTATAACTACAACCAAAACGAAAGGTGTAAGAAACTGAAATAGCGTATTTAAAGTTTGTATATGCCTAGGATATTACAGCAACTTTTTTGTTAAAATCGGCAAATAAGAAGCAGCATTTTATATCATCGATTTAACACATTTGTATGATTTTTGTAAAAATTGCTCTAATGATTTTGGTTGAACTCGTTATACTAATGAACAATTGAGTTTTTTTTTAATATAAGGTAGGTTTTATCCACATTGATGGTCTCTAACTTTACCCATTTAAACACCAACTTTACGAGGTAAATCTCGATTTCAAAATTTCTTCCTCTAAAATACCTTAAATTTTTTTGTTTTAAAAAATTGACTATTTCACACTGTAGATAATAAATAAAAATGGTTAAATATAAACAGTAAAAAAATTGATCATGAGCTAAAGGAGAAATAAGAGATGGTATCGAGGGATTGAGAATTCCCAAAGAGACTCACACATGCTGGTGGTGATAATATGGAGCCAAGAGCTGCCGAAGAAACCCGAGGGCTGAGAGTGCCTCAAGCTTCATAAAGGAGCGGGTTCCGATTATATTATTTATTTATACATGTACGGTTTTCATAAATGTTAGTGCTAATATTATTTAATATTTAATTGCATAGATTACGGAAATATAAAAATTAAAATTTGGGTATATAAGTGTATAATAAAAAAATGTCCACAATGAAACATAAATGAATATCGGTCCTCCTTACAGACACTAAAAAAAATAATTAGTGGCACTTATTTATTTATTATAATTAAATGTTCTTTTTCTTCACTAGCACTATAAATCATAAAGGGTCCTGGGCTTCCTCCAACAGCAACTGCCTCTATTCTGTACCAATGCCATCCAGTTTCGCACCTTCGAATAGTTTCTTGCATCATGGGTGACACAATCTGCTCACCACAGTTTCAGTCTTCCAACTCTGTGACAACTATACAGGGGCTCAATCATAATTCTTTTGGTAGGTAGATCATCAGGCATTCTGGCTAGATGTCCTGCCATCTGAGCGTTCCAAGCTTGATGAAACGGGAGATATCCGGCTCATGATATAGGCCATAGAGCTTCTGATTTGTTGTTGCTCCTGATTGAGAACCTCCATTTATTTTTCTCATACACTCCACCATAAATTTAAGCCAACACATTACGTTCAAATGTGTGGAGGAGTTAGTCTTCAGCCCTGGTTATGGTCCATGCCGCCGAGCCATAACACCGTACAAAGATGAACGAGTGTCCTATAAATGATATGTTTTGTTCGTCTGGTTATCAAATTGCAGGAGAGATGCTTCTGGAGTCCAAAATAGCAGCTATTGGCAGCCAATATTCTCCTTCTAATCTGCACTGCAGCATCGTTGTTGCTGGTTACCATTGATCCAAGGTTAAATGATGGTACTAAGGGTAGTAACTTTAAGCCCCTGATAAATCAGCCTACCAATCCATTTTTTCACAGTTAAACTTTTTGTAGAAATATAAAACATTTTTTAATCTAACTAGTTTATCTACTATACAAAATTAATTTATTTAGCTATTGTGATATCAATTACGTGTTAATGTTGATTTATCATTTTCCCCACTTAGGACAATAGTAATTTGTAGAATTTGCTGAGGAGCAGCTTCCAGAAAACACTCAAATACCCTCAAAAGGGCAACGTCTGAGTCCTCTTTCAGCATCAACTCATAATACCTGTCACAAAAAATATAAATCTTTAAAATAATTACATTTATTGTTTATAAACATTAAATAATATAAAAATGCAATTATTAAAGTTTTTAAACCGATGAATGAATTCCCATCATAGCACTTATATTGAAATATTTATTTATAAATAATGTGTAATGTGTGCTATACTATCAAGACATCATACAAATTCTCTATAAAAATAAATTTTTAAATAATTTAAAGAGAAGATTTAAAGGTATTATTTTAGTAATAATATCATTAAATCTATCAATAATAAGAATTACTTCACTAACAAAGCAAAAATAATAACTATGATCTAATGTAAAGTTATTTCCATTATTACTCTAAATAAATACTTATTCAATAAAGTGTAGAGGTTCTGTACATAGATCATGCGCCCGCTACAAGACTGCGCCACCACCAGATGCCCATATCACAAGATGATTTTCATATTTTATTTTTTTGTATATATAACCTTTTAAAATGTATATATTTTTGTTATAAAACAAGTACTGTAAAAGTATGTTTATTTTATTAAATAAAGATGAAGGTATATAAATCAACTGATCAAAAAATAAGAGCAGAATAATCGGGTACGACACTCGTTACCCATCTTCCGCATGAAACAATAATCCTCCTACCTATGAGATACCTACCTATCAGTATATGGTTTATACACTCTTTTTAGTTCTACATAAAAACGTCTTTTTCTATAATGATATTCCTATAACCTATATCCTATTCTCTCTCTCCATACAAGGTATCGATGCTGATCCGTCTGCTTGTGTTATTTGGGAAGAAGACAACTTTATTGGCGATGACGAACTGGAAGAAGCAATCTGGAGTTTGAAGCTAGGGAAATCCACAGGTAGTGATGTAACTCCCGAAATGCTGAAATGCATGGGGCCGAAAGAAAAATAAATCTTGCTGCATCTGCTAAACTTAGTGTGGAACCAGAAGAAAATACCGAAGGATTGGGAAGTGGCCATCATCGTCCCTATCTTTAAGAAAGGAGATAACAGAGATTGTAACAGCCACCAGTTGTTATCTCATCTGAGGCATATCTCTGTCAACCGTAAAAAGTAAGATTTGCTCTAAGATCTTAGAAAAGAGAAGAAGAAGAATCAAAGGATTACTTGAAGAAGAACAATACGGCTTTCGGGAAAATCGTAGCACCCAGGATCTTGTCTTTACCATGAGACAAGTTTTCGAAAAAGTATTGGAGATAGAAGAGGAAATATCGGTGTGCTTTGTTGATCTTACAAAAGCCTTGGATCGGGTGAGAAAGTCTGATATCTTGGAGGCCTTGAGAGAAAAAGGGATTGATCAAGGTCATGTCCTGGCAATTGAGAGTCTCTACAAGAAAACATGAAACATAATAAAATTTGCCAACTGTACTTCACAGGAAATCAAAACAACAATTGGAATCCGGCAAGGTTGTAGTCTTAGATCACTTTTGCTTATACTTGTAATGGACTCAGCAATACGAAGGGCTAAAGGAAAAATGCGAAAATTTCACCTAGGATATGCCAAACTGAGATCAGTGAGCCTCTCAATACTTGCATTCGCTGATAACGTTGTTATTTTTTTGGACAATGACAGGAATCTTCAGTACAATATTAATAAATTAACAGAAGAATTGCGGAAGATTAGTATGATTATCAACCCTGTAAAAACGAAAGTAATATGGGTTGGGAAAAAGCCCAGGAGAAATATGCGCATCATCAGAGTCTAAGACAAAATCCTCGAGCAGATAGAAAACTTCAAATACCTGGACACGCGCACATTGTAATGAAAATGGATACATCGATTCAGAGGTGACTGAGCGAATCGCTGCTGTGAGCAGGATGTTTGAAGCAGTTAAGAAAAGTTGTCTAAACAGGCGTGAGGTGGTAAAGAAAACAAAAGTGGCTGTTTTCAGATTGACATTTCTTCCCATTTCAGAATCATGGACACTGACAGAGAAACATCAATCAAGGATACAAGCGTCAGAAATGCGATTCCTCCGAAAGATTAAGGGGAAAACGAGAAGAGACAGAATACGCAACACAACCATCAGGTCGAACCTCAACATTAAGCCGGCCAATGATGTGATTGAAGATAATCAACTGAGATAGCTAGGACATCTTCTGCGAATGAACCAAACAGAATAGCTAGCAAAAGCTTTTGAGCTAAAGTAGACGGCAAGAGAGATAAAGAGCGACTTCCAGAGAAGAGGTCTTCAATGGAATTATAGAAGGCGTCTTGTGGAAGACCGGCAGAGCTGGAGAAGGCCCTATAAATTTCCTCCTTACACTGCTTAATGCGGTTCAAGAAGATGGATTATGATGATGATCATCTGATATGAGCGTCTGGTGGTGGCGCAGTCTCATATTGGGCGTGTGAACTACGTGCAAAGCCGCTTCAAAAGATTTTTTAAGTTTATTTCATAGAATAAAATCTATGATAATTTCTTTTTATGATTGAGGAGGTTTATAGGCATACGTAAATATCAAAATTGATTATAATTTTTTTAACTTATCGACATACAATAGATAAGCCATTTTTTTTCCCTAATATCTATGTATTTATTTCTTTATCATTTGTATATATTGTATGAATGAGAACTTGTAGCCCTAATGCTTATAGCCCTCCAGCAGTGGCTGATTGTATTATTATTCAATAAACGGATTAAAAAAAAAAAAAAAAAAAAATATCTATACAGTTTTCACAACTGTGGACTAATAAAATTGATTATAATTTTTTTAACTTATCGACATACAATAGATAAGCCATTTTTTTCCCCTAATATCTATGCAATTTTCACAACTGTGGACTAAATGTGGTATTACCACACTGTTACTTCAAAAATGGTTGAATAGTTTTCAGGAAAAAATGAGGGCCTTAGAAGTATTGACAACAGAACTTTGTACAATCACTTTCTTAGACTAAAGATCTTTGAAGATAATAATAAAATGAAATCTTCAAAGATATAAAACATGTCTAATATAGTCAATAAAGGTAATTATAGAGAATATCATGTTTATTCTATCAAATCTTTCTTACATTAAATCAACTAAATTATAACTTTGTGTGTGAATAAATCCTTAATTCACTTTTTAGTTTTACAGAAATATGCTTCAAAAATAGGGAACGAAACATGTGTAGAGTCTTTTTATAAACAAAATAAATTTTCCTAACATTTACATCAATAAAAATATAATTATATTATTTTTTTACTTATTAAAAAAGATAAAGATTAAATATAAAATATGGCTACCACATTGTTTATTCAGCTTTCATCCAAAATACAGACATACCTTTTTTGCTCATCAAAATCTTTTCTTTGTTCAGCCCTCCGTGACTTAAGAGCATAGTCCAAAGAATCACAATACCTAAGAGAAAAATATGTGAGTAATCTAAGGATAATAAGAAGAATACAAATATTTCTTTTTTAATTTTGCCAGACCTCATTACAGGAGCAAGTTGAAACAAAAGTACAAATATCCGTATTGTCCATTTCTTCACAACCATTCGTGATGAAGAGGGATTTTCTTCATTTAATACATACCTATAAAGAGTAATTAAAGTGAATATATAAATAATGCAAAATTAACAGAAATGATAATTCCACAACAGTATTTATTTTTATATTACCTTATCAAAATTAATCTAACATATTATTATGTAACACACAAAATATGAAAAACAATTATCTCGGTAAAGTTTTCAAACATTTTTATTGCAGTTCAATGTGCAAGAAATGTAATAATTTAGAATAGAACTGTAATAGATTAAGAATTTTGATGCAATAATATCAAAGAAAATAAAAATATAATTATATTTTTGTATACATACACACATACACACACACACACACACACACACACACACACACACACACACACACACATACATATATATATATATATATATATATATATATATATATATATATATATATATATATATATATATATAATAATTATAATTATAAAAATATAGTCAAAATCATGATTCGCGACTGCTTCTATTTAAGCTTCAGTGAAGATTAAAAGCTTTTATAACCATTTCTTGTTATACCCTAAGGTTTAAACAGAACTAACCAGAGTCCCTCTTCTTAGATTGCAGACTCCAACAAATTAGAGAAATATAAAAATCTATTAAATAGTAGATTGGGATTCGGACAAACAGCTGAAGCGTGGTTGGTACTAAGAGGATTGAGAAAAGATGAAAAACAACACACAAAATTAAATTTAATACAAATGGGGGATTGGTTTAATTACTTTAATATACTATTAAATGAGAAGAGAGATGAATTTAGGGAAAAAGAAGAAGGAGATCTCTTCACTGACACTTCTCTATCTATCACAGTCTGGCCTGAGACAGCAACCAATCAACATATCTCTAGCATATAATTCGTTTATTCCGTTCAAGTTCCATTGATTTTTACGTTGTTTTTTTCTCAATTTAAATTTATTATTTATAAAATTAATAGTCAGTCGAGATTTACTCAAAATTCACAGTGAAGTGAGTGGTGTGAAAGAACTTATTAGCATGATTATGAACTATAGGACAACTGTGATAAGGCTGTCAGTGACTAATCCCCGTAGTATTAAGCCTTAGTTGGTGTTTCTCGCATCACAGTGAGCTCGCTTATTATTGTGAGTAATATTTTTATATATACTTTTTTTTTTTTTTTTTTTGGAATAAAGAACAATATGGTTCAGTGCTCTATTTATAACAGCACCGTCGCTCGTGAAGACAAATATAATTTATGTTGCACGAAATGCAAATTAATATTTCATGTAAAATGTTTAAACTTAAACAAAAAAGAAGTAGAGATCCAAAAAATATTTAAACAAGCTTGGCTATATCTGACTTGCGAGGAATCTAAAAAGATTACTTCAGGCAGTGAAAACCCAGATCAAACTTGTGCAACCGAGCCGTCACCATGATGATAATAGAAAATCACCTAGATAGCCAATCAAAACATTATGAGGAAATAATTTCTGAAAATAAAGCCCTGAAATGTAGAGTGGGGGACTACAGGTATGGCTGAATAAAGCCGAACAGAGAGAACTAAATAGATCTCACGAGATACGTGGCATCCCAGTGCGAGCCAGAGAAACCCCTGCAGCCCTGGCTACAAGTATAGGGGCCGGTCTGGGGAGTGTTGAGGATCTGGACACTGGAGCGCAGGATCGATGACCCGCAGCCGCCACCTGTCATTGCACGCTTTGTCAGACAATCAGTGAGGGACAAACTGGCACAAAGAAGAAAGGTGAAGAGGAATTTCTGGACGCGTGATATTGGGTGGCAGGAAAATTACTGCCACCAAATTTATCTCAGTGAGATGAATTTACTGGCTTGCCCAACAGAAAACGGGCGTGGCAAAAATAAAATATGTATGGTTCGCTGCCGGCCAATTGTGGTGTCAAAAAGAAGACGGCCATCAGGCAGTTTTATCGACCAGGTCCAGGACCTGGATCTCTTCGCCTGACTGGTTGGGTCTCATCTGCTCTTTATCATCAAGCAAAATTGGCATGTCCATCGGACATTTGGTGGAAATTGTTGATTCAATACGCTATTATCTGGACTCTTTCTTTTTATTTATTGACTTAATTTGTTTATTTTTACTTGGGATTTCTTCTTTTGATTTAATTTATCCCATATTTTACTTATTGTATATTTTATTTATTTATTTATATATTTTATTTATTATTTTACTTATTGTATATTTTACTTATCTATTCCAGCATCATATATTCTATCCTCTTATGATTGTTCGATCCTAAATCCTGTCCATGTCTAGTGTCTAAACTGCCTCTCATGTTAATTTCCAATCCCTTCTAGCCCATTACGATGAATTCCGACAATATTTTACTCAAAACTTCTACCTCATTATAGCGATTTTCGAAACCTGGCTCAAGTCCTAAATCCCTTCTTCCGCTGTCTCCCCGCCTAACTACACCTTAATCTGCCATGACTGGGACAGCCAGACTGGCGGTGGTGTATCTGTATATATCCATGAAAGCCTTAAGACCCAAATGAGACAACTGTTCTCCTCCGTCTGATCTCCCACAAGTTGAGTTCCTTAACATTGAGATTTCCTATAATGCCTCTCCTATCCTATATCCCATAGTATATCATCCTCCTCATGTTCCTTTTGATTCGTCTTTCGAATCATCCCTCTTCAACTTTGTTCGTTCCTCTTTATTCCAAAATTATTATTTTTGGTGACTTAAACACTAATCTCGAAAACCTTTTCTTCTTCCTTCATCTTTTCATCATTCCTTTTGCTCCCACTCATCACCTCCAGGTATGACACTTGGTTGGACATGTATATTATCGACTCCGCTCAGAGCCTTCTTTCCTCTTCCCAATTACCACTTTCCTTTTTATCCTCTCATGACCTAATCCAAATATCATATAATATCCAAACTCCTTCGACCCTACCTAGAACCACAACCTTCCGAAACCTTTATGGCCTTACTCGAGAAAAAATCTTACCCAACCTGGAAACCCTAGATTCGAATAGAATATATTCCTGTTCCTAAATTGACTCCATGTTCGACATCCTCACCTCCAATCTCCTGAATACCTTGATACCCATGCCCCCCTCAAAACCTCTACCTTTTGTCGCAGACACACCCTGGATGTTTCAGCAAATTAAGGATCTTCAGAAGAGATGTGATGCTGCCCCTGGACATTTTAGACTGCCCAAGATTCCTTCTTCCCCTTTCTTGGGTATGTGAGACCCGTCAGCCTACTGGAGGCAACTCACACCGCAGTGAGGTGAGTGACCCTGTGGCAGACATAGCTCCTGGTCCTCCAGGTTGGGGGTTCGGCATAGGGCTAATAACCCTATCCTGTCAAAAAACTATATAGGAAACCAAAAGCCAGCCTCGAAAAATTTGATTATCTTAACATGGTAACGACTCCGGCTTTGTTTAACGGACTCCACATCGGATCATGGAATGTTCGGAGCTTATACAGACCAGGAGCCGCCCAAACGATAGTTAATGAAGTAAATAGGTACAACATACCGTTAAAAGCCATTCAAGAGGTAAGGTTGCAGAGATGGTGGGGAAACCACTATAGACGGCTCCACACTGTTCTACACTGGGAGAAACAACAAAAATGGGACAGGTGGCACTGGATTTATAGTTAATCCGTCCGCAAGGAAGTCAGTAATAAACTTCGCTCCAGTTAATGAAAGGATAAGTGTGCTGCACATAAGATTTCGTTGCTTTAATAACATAATTATTAACGTGTATGCACCAACCGAAGAAAAGGAGGATGAGGTGAAGAACGATTTCTATGATCAGTTAGAAAAAGTTGTTGTGGACCAGGCTCCAAAATATGACATAAAATTAGTAATGGGAGACTTCAATGCCAAGATAGGTCGAGAAACCCAATTTAAATACATCATCTGAGGCCAAAGTTTCCACGATTGTATGCAATGGCAACTAGCAATGGCAATGGAGTGAGATGTATTAATCTGGCAGCAGCTAAAGATCTAGTAGTAAGCAGTACGATGTTTCGGCACAAGGACATACATAAGTATACCTGGGTTAGAGGCATAGAGGCATTAAAGCTCCATACAAGACATAAGAACTTATCGTGGAGCAGACTGTGATTCGGACCATACTCTGATTAGAATCAAACTCTGTCAGATGCTGAAGCGAATCCACCAAATAGGGGACCAAGTGGAAAGAAAGAGGTACGAAGTCCATAATTTGAAAAACTCTATAGTACAAGCTGAATTTCAAATGGAGCTGAAAAATATATTCGAATCATTGAACGCGGAAGGCCTCACGGTTGACCAACAATGGGAGGCACTAGAGTCAGGGATAAGACAAACAGCTAAGGAAGTAATAGAGATTCAGGAAAAAAGAAAATCCAAGAAATGGTTCACAGAAGCATGCGAAAAGGCAGTGGAGGAAAGAAGAAAAGTCCTCTGCTTAGGACAAACTGATCAAGCAATACTGGACAAATACAATGCCGCCAGGAAAAAGACAAACAAAATAATAAGAACATCTAAAAGAGAATTCCTCAAAGAAAGATTACAAACTAAAGAGGAAAACTGGCAGGCTAGAAATATATGCGAATTCTCTGCAGACATCAGGAAAGAAAGAGTAGGATATAAAGCGAGAAATACATAAATGTGAGAGACTAATTGATGGCATCAAAAGAAAAGATCCTAAGCATCTGGAAGGAACACTTCCAGCAGCTGCTTAATCAAGGGCACCCCACAAACGAAAAAGACATAGACCATGCTGAGGACATCGACCCACTTGAGGTTGAAAAACCAGATATTCTGGATGTGGAAATAGTTATCGGCAGGCTTAAAAGAAGAAAGCTTCTAGGGATAGACAACCTACCATCAGAATTGTTCAAGGATGGGGAAGAAGACCTCAGAGCCAAGCTGTTAGATCTAATCCAGAAGATATAGGAGAAGGAACGGACACCAGAAGCATGGAACACAGGGTTGATCATAGGGGCATAGCTCTTCTTCCAGTCGCCTATAAAATAATGACTAACATTCTGCTAAATCGGATATATCCGTATTATGAAAACACAATAGGTGACCACCAACAGGATTGAGGAGAGGAAGGAGTTCGCTAGATCAGATATTCATTCTAAAACAAGTACTTGAAAAACGATGGGAAGTAGATCAGAGCGTAAACGCATTATTTGCCGACTTCAAAACAGCCTATGACTCCGTGGACAGAAACTGTCTCTGGAAGATCATGACTAAGCTGGGTGTACCCGGGAAGTTAGTGAGGTTGACGAAGGCATATACAATTGATCCTAAATGCAGGATACTAATATAAGGAGAGGTATCTGAAGCCTTTAAAGTTCGAACGGGTTTGAGGCAGGGAGATGGACTCTCGCCAATGCTGCTCAACTTAGCACTAGAGAAAGTAATAAGAACAACATCACGCGAAGATGGAGGGGTGCACGTTGGAATGAAACATAAAATCCTAGCTTATGCCGATGATATAGCTATCCTCGGAAGTAATCAAGAGGATATTGAGAGACTCGCTCGGACTCTATTAAAAGAAGCAGAGCAAATCGGACTACAGGTCAATGTAGATAAAACAAAATACATAATAGGTAGCCGAAACATCCACCCTAATAACATGATCTGCATGGATTCTAAGTCATTCCCGAAAGTAGACAGATTCAAATACCTCGGCTCCACAATAACCTTAATAAATGATCAACTAACAGAGATAGACCAGCTAATAACAAGTGTGAACTGATCTTTCTTCTCTTTCAAGGATACTACAATCCAGAAAAATCTCCAGAAATCTAAAAATAAGGGAGTACAATGCCGTGATTAAGCCAGTTCTGCTGTAGGGTTGTGAAACCTGGGCTCTAAGCGGCACACTAGAAGCCAGAATTGAGAGAATCGAAAGAAAAGTTCTACGTAGGATAACAGGACCTACATGGGACCAGAACCTTGACACATGGAGGAGAAGGAATAATAAAGAACTGCTGAAAGAAACAGGTCAGTCAAAATCTCATGACATGAAGGCAAGGAGGTTAAGATGGGCAGGGCATGTAGCTTGTGGCAATCCATCAGAACACCTTTACACAACAATCAATGCCAGAGTAGTAGGCAAGAGACCACGTGGGAGGCCAAAAACCAGATGGATAGATAGGATTAAAAAGATACGGCAAAGCTCCATGCCGCAAACTGGAAAACAGTAGCCCGAGATGGGCTGAGGTGGAGAAGACTGGTTCAGGATATATATAAATATATCTGTTTTTGAATATTTTGGTAAAAATCATCGTTCATTGAACATGGTTTCAACCATAAGAATTAACCAAATTATTAAGTTTAGATAGTCATTCAATGCACAATTTAATGTATTGGTTTTCACAATACTTATATTTCTTAAAGAGTACGTTTTTCATAGGAATGCACAGTTCAGAAGTTATAGGTGAAAAAAAATTTACTTTTTTGACTATCAAAAGCTCTCCCCTGTTTATATATATATATATAATGCTTGAGCCCACATATACAAGTTGAAAAATAATATTTTTCCCACATTTGTCACTTCATAATTCCCATTTCGATCCTATTTACTAGTCTAATATTCTTTAAATTAGAAACCATTTTTCAAATCAGTGGCTCTGGAATGGCAGACAAGAACCAAAAGTTAAGAAAGTTATTACTTAAAATTACACTTTCGGAATTCATATTAAAAAATTCTACTTTCAGGATCATTTTTATGCCTATAGGCACTAGGGCTATAATTAAGGTCCCAATTTTAACATAGTTAAGTTAGGAGCTTAAATTAAAAATTAAATTAAAAAGGGAGTCTTAAATTAGGACCTAAATAAAGAGAGGTTGTACTATAAACAGATTAATCTTCGGCCATTCTAGGACTCCCATTTAGAGCATGATCATGAGATTTATGATTTGGCCCACTCATCAAAATGGACTGACATTTGTACAGTAATACCAAATGACCATCTGAGGGCGATTCAAGATAGGAAATTGCGATTTTTAAAGTTGATCTAAACTCAAATAACATATTCGTAAATCAGAACTATCAAACACATTTCATTTATTTAACTCTCCCATTTTTCTGTTTCCTGGACTAAGATGTTAATAGCGGATTAGGTTTAATAAAAGTCATTATTATCTTCAAGCTTTTTTCATAATTCTATTCCAACAAATGACATTTTAAAAAGATACAACCACTTATATAAGAAAATCAAAATTGGGTGGGTGCCACACTGCAAACAAATTAAAATTTATTTAATTAAGAAGAGCTGTAATAATTGGGAGTATAGGAAATATAGAGATTACAATTAAAAATAAACAGAGAGAAAAAAATCATTTAAAATAAAATTAAAAATACTTACATTCTCAAACTAATGAATGTGTTAACAAACGCAGGGAAGAGAATAAACAAAGCAGTTAAGACAAAATAGAATATTTTTCGAGCCTTGAAATACCTAAAAATACAGAAAAAAATTCAGTTAATTGCATTCACACTCACTTAGAATATATTACCAAAATTGCAATTTTAATAACATACTTATAATATTTTTTAATTAACTTTTGCTTGATAAATATTCCAAAAAATATTTTCTGTGAACCAGAACATATTTTTAACTACAAAACTTAACCATTATAAACATATTAATTAATGAATCATTTCTATTATTATTATAAATTATTGTCTTGTCATTGAAATTATTTAAATAAATAAGTTACTAAAAGAAGTTTCCCTCTTGATCAGAAGAAACGATAATGATTTTATTCTGAACTGATAATATCACCAGAAATAACTATGATAATAATATAATCATAAGAAAACAGAAAGTATTTAAAATAAAAGCATTCCACCTCCAGAAGATTAAACAGATTCAAAATTAAATAAATCTTCAGAAATCATTGGTTTCCAAAAATGTTTTGATTACTAAATGATATTCATCAACAAAGGAAAGAATTTTAGATCTTAATTCTAGTAAAATCAGCTATTATTTAAAATAAATAAATAAAGGGTTAATTCCTTCATTTTCAACAATGATTACAAAACATGTCATACTCAAACTAATTGACTCCAATATAATATTGTATCCAACCTATCCTTACTGATAAAACTATTGAATAATGAAACAAATGATACTTAATAAAATATTCATATATATTTATGAAAAAAAAAACAAATTGTAAGAATAAAATTAGCTTTACATTAAGTTTATGTTTAACTTCAGCACTAAAGAGTTAGTTTTTTCATTACTATTGTCAAAAACTGCTTTTGTTTCTTGTAAGTTCTTACCTGTAGGCTAAATTGATATCAAAGGCAACATCACATATGTGACTACATATGGAGACCATTAAAACAAATATATCCCAATTTGTGACATGAAACCTTTGAAGGTTTGTGGGCATTTCATTTCTGTCATTGCAGATCTCCTGTAAATCTTCAATTTGACACCCATTCCCCGTCTTTTGGACTTCCATTTCGGCATTTGGGATTTTGATAGTTTGACGTATTTCCTTGGAGGGCTTTATAACATGTATCCCTTAGCTAAGAAAAAGGTAACGACAAACAATGTTATTGTTTTGACCCATAATAGTTGAGATCCATCGCAGGACTGGGATTCCCAGCGGAAGGTTATAAATACTGTTATCGATCTTCGGATTTACTCTTTGTTAATCCGATAACTTCCAAAATGGATGATATCAATCGGTTACTGTTGGGTAACATTCCAAGTAAAGTTTATGAATTATAAGTTTAATTTCACTAGTAAGCATGTTGTATCTATCTACTAACTTCCAGAGCGGTAACACTTAAAATAATTTAGTTGACAACTATTAATGTAATATTTTTCTCTTCCCCTATTTACATTACAAAATGTATAATTAGAAATAATCGCTTTGTTTCACTCTTTGTGTTGAATTTTTATTTAATGACATGAAATTGTTTGATTTTTTATTTATTTGGAAAAATACAAAGAAGTAAGACAAGATTAGATCTTTTCAGAAGAGAGAATCACTTTATTATCATAAAATGTATATAAATATACATTATTTTAAATTTTTAAAATAATGTATATTTATATAGGATTAACGATATGTATGAGCATAATATACAATATTTTATATTTATATATATATGTGTGTATGTATATATTATATTATAATGTATATAAGTTAAGGTACGGAGCGGGACAGTATTAGCTTTAATACCAAAAGCATTTATGTAAACAACTTAGAATGTATATATAGAGGATTATAAGGAGGAATAAAGCAGTCTAGTTTCCGACTTCATGCGTTTTATTTGTTGAACCTTTACTTTTTTTTAAGTGTTTTAAGTCCGCTACGTTTAACCTCTAACGAGGAAAGGGATACATTTATCGTACGTGTTCTTCTTAATGTTAATCTTCATGTAGCTTCTGGGCCACTTCTTCTTGGGAGAGAGGATTTGAGTATCTCCTATAAGGAGAAGATGGTCTGAGCCAATTTCGGCACCTCTGATTACTTTGATATCTGTAAATAGTTTTTTGATTCTACGTCTGTATATAATGTAGTCTATTATACTATTTACATTTCTTTCTTCTGCAGAGAACGTTATTTTGTGGATTCTTTTATGTGGCATGTGGATAGAAAGAATTTCCAATGAGTAGGTCATAATTAACACAGAAATCTATAAGCCTTTACCCATTTCAATTTCTTGTGTGCTCACCTTCATGATAACCCATGACTCCGTGTCCGACTGTATAGTCCCTTCCAACTCTGTCATTGAAGTCTCCCATTATAATTATGTCTCTGTTTCTGTTTTTCCCTTTTGTGACTTCTTTTTCGAGATCTGTATAGAATTGTTCCTTATCTAGAATATCTGCATCTTCTGTTGGTTCGTAGATCTGTGTCAGAGTTACTTTACCAATTGACAGTTCTATATTTGCTATTATTATTCTGGAAGATATAGGTTCCCAGTCCTTTACTTTGGCAAATAGGCTTCCTTTCATTATAATCTCCACTTCCTCCTTTGCTCTAAAACCTGCAGGAACCCCAGAGTAGATGAGTATGTGTTGCTCATTCAGACGTACTTCTCCATGCCCTTTTTTCCTCACTTCACATATGCCCATTAGATCCACACCATATGACTTCATCTCCTCCTCAATCTCTGCTTGCTTGCCATTCAATGTTTTAATTCCATATTGCATATATTCCATGTTCTAATTCTTATGTCCTTTAGAGCGCCGTATCGTGACCGATTTGTCCGTCCGTTTCCGAGGCAAGTTTGTTTGCTCTGAATCAGTTTTCCTCCACTACGGGTGATTGGCCTAGTAATAGAGGCTCCATTACCTCGAGACGACTGGGGACAATTTATACCAGGTATACAGGTTCCTCCCAGGATAGGTGACGCTAGGGTGTGTAGTGTATGTGACCTTATGTAAGTGTATGTGTATTGTGTACTGTTTTGTGTGTGTTTGTGCAGTGTACTGAACTCGGGAGACCGGGTGAGCGTTAATCCCCACTAGCCTTGCACATCAACTAGTCCCTGCGGGTGTCCAATCTTAATATTAAAATAAAGAAGCATGAACACTTTTCATAATAATAAAAATCCTTAATATTAAAAATAAAGACACTGTAGTAAACATATGATCTTGAAGTAGACATATGAATTTAAAGATGATTACATACGGGTGAGTTCACGTATTTGTACAAATAAGCAATATGACACATAAATAGATATCTGCAAAACATAGGTATAGTGTAACTGACATCTATAAAGTACAAAATAACTTTATTCTTCATATATTCGGAAGATTGATTACTAAGGAGTTGGAAAAATAAATTATGTTTAAATGAGGTCAGGGATGAGGGTTTCCGTAGAGAGGTTGGTAGGAAATTCCAAAACAAGGTAGCATGCATGACAAAGGATTTTTTAAAGGAAACAGTTCTATGATAAGGAATAAACAAATTTGAGTATTGAGATCTTGTGTTGAACGAATGAACAGAGGAACAAGGAGTAAAGAAATCAAGAAGGTAAGAAGGTTTTTGGTTGTAAAGGTTCGGAAAAGGATATGGATCATGGATCAAAAGGATATAAGTTGCAAAGGTTGTACAGTCCATCTTTGATAAGTTTGGTGGTGGGTAGGAGAGATGTGGATAGTGGTATAACGTTTTCCCACTAATCCCCCACTCTTTTGTCTTCACTCATTTGTACGTACTTCTACATTTTTTTTACAATTTGAAATTCTTCTCACCATTTTTTTTTTTATTTATTTTATGAAATTACAATTTAGAAGAAAATCTAACATCGAAAAACGCGTTCCCTGTATGAGATGATTTCTTGGGTGAGGAAGAGAGGTGGAACTTGAGATGGGAAAGACTTGACGAGCTCACTTCCCCTGCAGGCAAACTTATCTTACACGCACTGTACCAGAAGCTGACTCTGTTTGATTTGAAATGTTTCTATTGCTGGTAGGGATGAGAACAAGGATGTAATCATGCGAAATAAAGTTTTGAAATTTTATATTTTTCATTCTAAGATAGATATTTAACAAAATACTTTTACCTTATTTCAAAACTAATTTCTTGTGTTTCCTTAATTAAATTTATCGGAAAATGCTGGATACTGTCAAGTACCTGTTTTTTTGTAATAGGAAAATCTATTTGTGCTTTGTATTCGATCCATATCCTTATTTTATCCTAATTCAATGTCAGTAAACCGTTTGAAAACTGAGTTACTGCTTTTCTAACTCATATTAATAGTCTTTAGATTTCATTCATCAAAATTTTAATTTTTCGATTGCTTTAAAAATTCGTAATTAATAATTCTTTGAGGTGTGAAAAACAAATATGAATTCTGTTTCTCCCTTAAAAAAAATATTTGCTCTATATACAAGGGTGGTTTTGAAAAAGTATTATATATGGCAGCTAGCTATAATATGGGAACGACCTGGGATAACCTACGTAGCAATGTGGGAGTAAATATATTTTAAGAAAGAAACAAAGTTGATATTTTAAAAAACCTTAAATGGAGGCTGAAATTCGACCTCTATCTCCTCTGATCGCTCCTTTCGAGTACGCTGTGGAACAGAATTTTCCGATATCTATCCAATTAATAAGCCCGGCGTTCCCCAGGGCAGCACCTTGGGTCCCGGGCTTTACATCCTTACTTTACTTCTGATATCCGTGCTCATTCCGTTACCTTTCTTACAACATTTGCTGACGACACCGCAATCCTATCATCATCATTACTCAGATCCCGAAATACCATCTTTAAATCTACAAAGGCCCCTCTCCCTGATTGAACACTGGTGTAATAAATGGCGCATAAAGTGAATGAATCAAAATGCAAACATATTACCTTTACACTCCGTCGCAATTCCTGTCCACCAGTACACTTGAATTCCATCCAGTTACCTTACTCAGATACAGTCCGGTATCTTGGCTTTCTCTTTGACCGAAAACAAACATGAAACCCACTTACTAGACTTCCAAGACAAGAACTCAACAGACGATATGGCCAGCTAAATAGATTGCTGAACAGAAAATATCCACTTTCATCAATTGACAACAAATTACTGATCTACAAGACAATACTGAAACCTATCTGGACTTACGGACTGAAACTGTGGGGGATTGCATAATTTTCTAACATCAAACGCATTCAATCCTTCCAGTCCAAAGTCTTTCAAACAATAGTTGATGCTCCGTTCTATGTAACCAACAAAACCCTATACCATAACCTTAATATCCCATTGTCCTAGACCTTATCCCTGAAAATTTTTTCAAATTCCATTAAAACCTTACATATCATCAAAATCCACTTGTACAATCCCTATCTAGCTCTACCCATCCTTACAATTCTCCTCGAAGGTTAAAGCGGCAGTGGCCCAGAGACTTGTTGTAAGTATATGTTGGAGTTTTGGCAACGGCCAGATCCTCCACTCAAGCCATGTATGTCTGGTTATAGTTCCTCTGATCAGCCTCCGCTGGTCCTCAATACCAGTAATGTGACTGAGTGAGAGGTGCTGGGATCTCCTAGAGTCCTACCTTTCCTTTCACGATTGGTGGGGGGAGTGAATTCTTCAGTGAATGAATTTTTTAAATATTGTATAAAAGCATGTGTGTATTTAAGTATTGTAGTTATTTTGATTTATATAGTGTCTTTTTGTTTAATTTAGTATATAGTATAAAATTATATTATCAACACCTTAAGTGCTGAGGCTCAAATAATCAAGTTAAAAATACCAACCCCTTTTATTTAAAATAAAATCTAATATATGTACTTATTCAAATTTGGAAACGTATTTATTTTATCAATTTCTTTATCGTCGGATATAATTAATCTTTTCATTAAATTAATCTTCAGGGGGAAGTCATATTATTAATACAATCATAGTTTATTGAAAAACAATTAAATATGAGTTTTATGAAAATAAATATGTGCAAACAAAAAGATTGTTTCCCAAGAAATGTTCTTGCTTTTAGTTAATATACATTTACTTTTAGTACCATTATTTTCCTGTTTATTTATTGTACATAATGTGAATGAGCTACTCTCATATCACTATTACTATTGTCCTTCGATGTGACATATTGTAATATATCTCAATAAAGAATTTAAAAAAAAATATGAGTTAATACAATTATTTATTAATTTTCCTTTGTATAGATTTCGTATTATTTTGATTTTTTAAATTTGGTTCATATTGTGTTTTCGACCATTATAATCAAGTGCCAGCTGTCCAATTTTTTGTCGTTTCTCATGGTGTAGACATTGTAGCCGTCTATACTAGTTTCACCACCATCTGACCACCTTACTTCTTGTATAGCTGTTAACGGTATGCAGCACCTTTTTACTTCATTTACTACCTTTTGGGTGGCCCATAGTCGGTATAAGCACCGAGCATGTTAAGACAGTCAGATTTTCCGAGACTGATTTTTGGTTTCGTAATATTGTGTTTTTTTACGGGATAGGATTATTATTCTTATACTCAATCCCCAACGTGGAGGACCAGGAGCTACGTCAGACAAAGGGGTCGCTCACCTACCTGCGGTGTGAGTTCCCTTCAGTAAGCTGAATGGTCTCACTTATCACAGGGGGAGGAACCTCGGGCAACGTGGCTTTCCCTTTTGGACGGTCTCCCAAATCGGGCAGTCACCTATCTAAGTACTAACCACGATCGAATTTGATTACCTATTGCACGCGGCTTAGTCCAAACGGCTTCCCCGCTCCCTAATTTTTTTTTATAATAACGATACCTTATTGAAATGAAAATTTTCGGGGTTGTTTATTATGTCCAAACAATGGTGATTGAATTCTAACAACTGATCAACAATGTGAACATTGCTAAGCAATTCTCGATAATCAGTTTTCAACAAATATTCGGTATTATTAAAGTTTAACGTCACTTTAACGACGTAAAGTCTTCATCCACTAGCTTTACCTGCTTTCTTTGCTGGCCGGAAGAAAGAACATATCCCCTGTCTATACCGTGGGAGCATCGTGCGTCCAGTATCAGGTCAAATGCAATTGCGTTGTGGTCGCACCTCGTTTCCGATATGAGGGTCCAGTCAACAATGTGTCCTATCAGCGTCGGGGAGGCCAACGTAACATCTATCCAACTCTGCCCCTGTGGTCCAGAGAAGGTTGGAGTGGCAAACGGGTCATTAACCACAACCAGTTGGCCTCTTGCAATGAATTCTTCAAGTCTGACACCCCTCCGATCTTTTCTACTGGAACCCCAGGCCGTGCTCCAGGAGTTTGTGTCCGAACAGATGATCACATTTCTATATCTTCCAGTTATCGCTTCCATGGCGGATATACCCTCTCCTATATCACTTCCGTTGGGTAAGTATATTGAAGCAAGGGTGAAGGCGATGCTGCCCCATCTGATGTAGCATGCTACGCACAACATTCATATCATTAAAACTATCGATTTGAAGCTATTATTAGCTTATTTTAGCAGTATAAACCATTTTATATAATATATTCACGTTTTTCATTACGTATTAAAAAAAAAAATTATTTATTTTTAATAAATATTTTATCTCAGCAACTCAAGAAATGTTGTAATTGCTTTGAAAATTTATATTCTACTTCAAATTGTATCATTTTAATTGTATCCGAAGGTAATAAAAATAATTTTCTAAACCAATAATTTTTTTCTATCTTCAAAACTAATTACATGTTACACACTTTTTTGTAATAAAATTAAAGATCATATGCGAAACCAAGTAATAATATCTTCGTGGCAGTACTTTTTCACTTTCGCCATTTTGCTTTTTTGTATTATTTTGCCGTGTGAGGTTAGTCAGTCAACTTCTGTAAGTGACAGGTTTTTGTTAAGTTAAAGGTAAAGTGTGTTATATCTAATACTTTTTGTGTGTTATTAGTTTATAAACAATGGCAGATATCCCAGCCAAGCTATCGAAACCCCAGATGAGGCGTTTACTTCAAAGCCAAATCAAAACCAATTTATTCGTTGCTATTGGTCTAGGGATAGTGACTGGAGTCGCTGTGAAATATTTGGTGTGTGAACCAAGGAAACAAAGATACGCTGCATTTTACAGGTAGATTAACACAATTTCCTAACTTAGGAAGGTTATTTTATGAAAGTAGACAATATTTCAAACAGTTCATCATTTTAAATTAATTTATATTGTTTAATCAATCCTCCACCCTTACTATGATATGTATGCTCCCACTGTACTCAATTACTTCTGTATTTGAGTATCTATCTTTCCTCATATCAGGATTTATTTGGTACTGATTGATATGCATTATTATCATTATCAAACTAGTTTAGTGAACTGCTTTTGGGTTATGCAGTTGTTCTCTTCTTAATACTTGAAGTGTAATTTTGAATGAATATCTTTAAGAGCTTGTGATTCTACTTAAATTTTTTAGAGAATTTATTTTCAAGAATAATTTTTATTATTGTATTGGTAGGTGGCACATATTACTATCAGAGGTTTAAACGAAATGCTTTAATTTATTTATTCTAATCAACAAACTTGAACACAAAAAGCGAGCATGTGATTACAGGTTTTTAATGAATCTGCTGCCTAATTCTAAACTGAAATAGTTTTGATTAATTTATGGTACCATCACTATTTATTTATAAATTATACAATTTTATCCAAATTACCTTTCTTTTTTGTTTTCCTACTATAATTTACAAAAGTTATTCAATTAAGTCTCAATATCTTGGAAAATTTTTAATTTTTCTGATTTCTCCACTAAGTCCCATGAACCAAGACCACGTATTATGTATGACAGTTGTTGTGTTTCTTTATTCTTCTTAAATTAAAGGATGTGAATATTTTTTATGTTTTACATGCTTCATAAATTTTATAATTTAATTAAAATAAATTGATTAGTTGTTGGGCTCCCTGTCTGTAATTTGAAAATTTGTTATCCAGTTGTTGGTTTTAACCTTCTTAAAATTTTCATTAGGATGTTGAAAATTTGTTTAACTATGGACCTGAACTGAACCAGATCCAATCGGGCTCTGGGATCCTAATAAATGAAATATATATTTCATTGCTAATTTTTGTTTATTCTTTTTTTGCTGTTGTTTTTATCAACTAATGTATACAATGTTGCCCTAGGTTTTTCACTTTTTTATTATTTTTTTATATAACGTTAAAATGATGAATTATTATAAGTAGCTGCATGATATGTGCAGCGCGTGTGTGTAAAATTATTTAGTAAATTACATTAGTAAATGTATTATAATAAATTGTTTGTAGAAGATACAATTATTTATCTGTGCTCGATTTTGTTAATGTTCAAAAATAAATAATTAATAAATTTTTTTATTTGTTTATAGCCGAACCCATTCAAATGGAGTTGAGTTTTATACATATACATTTATAAGAATATACATAAATATGATACCTAATTAACTATATTAATAGTAAAAACCATATATGATATAATATGATATACAAAATAAAATTAATGTGTTTGATATAACTATAAACAAAACGATCTTACTATAGCAAAATAAAATAGTAAAGTAGAAACCACAACTTCAACCGTGTTTGGCCTATTAAAATGTTTTATAGTTTGCCAAAACAATTTAACATCTTTGATATCTGATAATGGGTCTAAAAGGCAATCAAATTGTTTCTTTTTTGCAGTTACACTTTGTTTGTATTGTTTTTTACTATCAATAAAAAAATTTACATTTTACATAACCTTCACACTTTAATGTTTTAAAACGTTTCCTAAGAAGTTTTTTTGCTTCCCTGCACTCCCCAACGCAAAAATTTCGGCCCGTCAAACTAAGTGGGCAATTGTCACATCCTAAAGTTTGTGGAGTCAATTTGGAATCATTTTTTTCAGGTGGCAATAGGTTGGCCTAGTCAAATTAGATATTTTACCTTCCAAAAGGTTGGTAATTAAAATTTATATTTTTAATTAAATTTTTTTTATATTGTTAGTTATGTAGTGAATATAAAAAATCCTAGTAATATAAAAAGTGAAAAAAAAGAATAAATAAAAAATCCCAGTTTCCGTCCTTGAAAGCCTTGTGTGTTTGCTGCAGTGCTCCAAAAACCATTGAAATTTCAAACTTTTTGGTTTACTCCCTTTTAGAGCCACATATATAAAAAATAGTTATATTCAATCTTGAACAGCTTAAAATTATCTGAAAGTTTTGTACATAACATTTTTTTCTAAGCCCAACTGGAAGCGCACTATTGAGCTTTTGAAATTTACCCATTTCGATTTCTTCACAATATTGCTCTTTCAGTTTTGGATGGAAGAATTTTGTAACTCCATTTTGAACCTCATTCAGAGAATTTAAAGGTTTTACTTGAAGATAATGAGCCATTGACTGGACCGTTAGACGGTAGTCGGGAGGTGTTCTAAAGAGTATGTTACATGGTGGGCCAGTAAAAAGTAAGGCATTATGTAGGGATGCAAAAACAAGAATTTATAAGATGCTTATCCGACCAGTCCTCACTTATAGATCGAAATGTTGGACATTGACCAAATACCAAGAGCAGATCCTTATCAGACTCGAGAGAAAGGTATTGGGAAGAATATACGGTGGTGTCTGTGAACAAGGCATATGGAGAAGAAGGAATAATGGTGAATTAAGGACCTTATATGAAGATCTAATATAGTTATCAAGGCTTCGTTGCTAGAATGGAACCAAATAAGATTCCACATAAAGTCTTATCAGAGTGTGAATATGGAACAAGAAAAGTTGCACATCCTAATATTCCAAAAAGTCTCTTTGATGCCGCCATTGGTCCACACAAGATTCCGTACGTCTGTAAATAGCCTGAAGAGTATTGATGAATTTGCTAGAAATACCCAATATATAAAATTTATAAAAAAAGCAATTTTCTGTCCGGTGAGTCAAAAGCTAACTTACAATCAGTAACCAGACAACACAACTTGTTATGTTTTTTTACTTTTTTTATTTTAATAATTTTTTTTTATATTAAAGACTTCAACCACTAGGGTCATTATTGCCTTATTTTCATTGAGAATTAGATTCTATTTTCAAGTTTAGAATATTTCAGAAAAGAAAATAATTTGTCAATTTCATTTGTATTTTCTTGTAAAATGATGTATAGATTGTTTGTCAAGTCACAAGATACTCTAAAAGTTTTGTATAACAATATTTAACAAGTTAAAAATATTATCGATAGTCAAATATCCCTTTCGAAACCCTGCCTGACATCAAATTGATCACAATGAATTTCTTTGAGTGATGCATATATTATGAGTTTTAACAACAAAAACAGCTAATTTTTGGGAAATAAAAAACAATCAACTTGCTTTAACTCCTACCCCGTTCGTCCTACATCAAAACCTCCTGTAAATTTCGTCCTTTCGTCCTGACCAGTAAATATTTTATAGACTTTGCAAAACTGTTTGGAATATTTGAGTTTTTTTATATTGCGTAACAAAATTTTAGGTGACATAGGAGGAATTCATCTGGGCAACCCTTGAAAAATTCGTACGGGACTCCATCGTATCCTACGGCTTTCCCATTTTTAGTTAAAGCAATAACTTTCTTTAACTCTATAAATTCTAATTCACTATCTAGAGTCATGTTAACATTATGTGTTGGGGCATACAGGAACAGTGGTGCTAAAACTGATGGATTTAATAAGGTACTAAAATAATGTTCGCTTTTAATATCCGTACTTGCAACAAATTTCTTTTTTATTACATTAATTCGATTCCAGAATTCTTTCGAATCCTTCACAGTCTGAAACTTTATAACAATATCAACATAAAAGGCTTGTTTTTTTAATTTACATAATTCTTTGTGCTTTTTTTTTTTTTTATTTTTTTATTACTAATGTAAATTTTTCTAATCAAATCACATTTACAGTTCCTGTTCTAATTCAATTGAGCAAATTTTGTTTTTTGACCGTTACTCTGAAGCAATACATTTTATTGAAATTCTATTCAAAGTTAAAGATGATAAAATTTACTATAAGTTTCGTACTATTTTTTTGATGTAGGACGAACGGGGTAGGAGTTAAAGCAAGTTGATTGTTTTTTATTTCCCAAAAATTAGCTGTTTTTGTTGTTAAAACTCATAATATATGCATCACTCAAAGAAATTCATTGTGATCAATTTGAAAGAGCATTAAATTTTCTATATACCTCGTATAAATACGTTAATATATGAGAAGGTAAGCAGCTATTAAAGCGCACAGAATCGAAGGCGTTTTTCTATCGTACTATCTGCCACACTTTTTATCTTTTAAATTCTTTTGATTTGGCTAATTTAACTATATTTATAACAGAACTAGAATTACATATAAATTATATAGCTTTTATATATTCTGTTGGCATAAGACATCAACATCAAAATCATTTATAACAATAATAAAAAAATAAGGACCGATATGCATTTCAATTCCGAGTGTTTCAATGGCATTTCGCCTATTTGCATATTATGACTCTTTAAGCTTGAATTGAAATGAAAGAGCATCCAATTTCATATTGAACTCCTCGGGTATAATTGTTGATATACAAACAATTTAAAAGCCACAAGAGCGCTCCATTCAAAGGAAATTAAAAATTTCCAGATATTGCACCAACTGAATTTTTTTTTTAAATAGCATGCTGACAGTATTTAAAAAGTTTTCATGATTCCTCTTCCTAAAACTAAAGATTTTTTGTTCTAATAGTATTCAATAAGCTTTCTTAGAATCACTCTCTCTAATACAAAGCTGCCGGTATTAGGAGGGAAAGGAATTATTTAATATTATGGCTTAGCACATGTATGAAAAACATTTTCTGACGTTTAGAAGTGTCTGCTAATAGTCATTTTACGGGATTTTCCTTATTTTAAGTGATGCATTGCCTAGGTTATTTATATGGTACAATATTCCATTACATTTTTTAAAATTTCTATTTATCAAATAATCATAATCCTGTTCACTCCTAGTGTAGCATAAAGAATCTACTAGTGGATTCAATTCTATTCTTTTAGCTGCAATTAATTTTGCTCCCTGCCATGTTTTGCCGATTCTGCCTCATATATTGAAAACTTACTTATATACATTCCATAAACAGAAATAAACTAAACCACGATTTTTGGTGGTTAAAGCTGTGGAAAAGCTGCATTAATATATCTCTAAATGATACATTAAAGTTGTATTTCTATTCCAATTATTAGAAATACCTAAAATTGAATAGTGAACATGTTTTGTTTTAATTTTTTTTCCAGAAATGTTATAACATTTCTTCTGTCTGAATGTGCAATTTTAATTTGCCAGTTTAATTTTTTAATCTCAGTTTTTTCCAAAATGATTGGATCTATTTAAACCCATACTTTGAACGTATTAGATATAATTTAAAAACATTTGTTTGAAAAGCACTAAAAGCAGTCTATTTTAATTTGAAAAAATGAAAAAAAAAATGAGAATTTGTCTTATTTATTCATGATGAGATGTTTTTTGGCTTTATTTTATATTATTTTTTGGACAGCTTTAAACCTTACTACGATTATGATATCATAGTTTTTCTTTTTGTATGTAATTTTAATTTATTTTTAAAACTCATGTTAATAAAAGTGATAAGATAAAAGTGAGAAAATTATTTGTTTACTTATGATGAGATATCATATTACTATTTTTGTCTTTATCTTATTTTATTATTATTTTATGTTTTGTCTTTTAGTATTATTTTATGTTGCTTAAAATCATAATATACTTATTATGTTTAAGGAATTATAATCCTGAAACTGCATTCTATGACATGGTGAAAGCAGGTGCAGATTTCCAGAGCTATGAGGGATAGGAGGTGTATCTAAAATCTTGTTATTGTTTTTTTAAGTATTAATCAAGATATGAGAGATTAGCCCTACTTCTGTAGAATTTGTATAGCTTCTACTATCATTTAATATAATATTTGTTTTAATTGTGTTTTTTGTTATATTTATTAGTACCAACATCCCCAAATCCATGATTTTTATTTTTGTTTATATCTGAGACAAGTTATTAATCTGTGAAGAGAACATAGTAATTGTGATATATTAATTGACCTGTTTACTCACATTTGATTTTTATCTAATGAATTGTTAATCTAAAAGACTAATATTCAGTTCTAAAAACTAAAATTCACAATTAAGAATTGTGACATAATATCATATAAATTAATAATAAAATTCAATTATTAATTAAAAGATTTTGATTTGTGAAACAGTAGAATATTTTATTTATGAAATATTAAACTGAAAAATTATTCAATATTTATCATCATCCAGTTTTAGTTAATTGTAATGGATAAAAAAGTTAGAGAATTAGGTTGATTTGAGTAATCACCATTTTCTTTTCAAGAATTAAATCAGAATGATTTACATATGGTTATGTAACTGATGACTAGAGATAAATGCTATATGCCTCAGTAAAAAAGAAAAATAAGAGCAATAGAAGTGATTACATATGGTGGAGCTGAAAAGAGCTAGCCATTTTGAATCTGTTCCACGAAAAAAAAGATGTTTATTCCTAATTGTAATTTGTAAGTTAGAAATACTTTTTATAAGGTTTTAGATAGCTAAATATTCTTTTCCTAATATAAATCAAAGCATTTGTTGATCCAGCAATATATAGGGTTTTTCAGGGTTAAGTGGCCAAACTGCAAAAATGAACTAAGAAGGACCTCAAAACAATAAAAAAAATTCGTCTGAAGGTATGTCCGCAAACGCTTTGTTTAGGAAATATTCACACCTAAAGATTTTCGTTGTTATGAATTATTTGCGTTACATGAAATAAATAAAACCTGCTTATTTTTTCTAACTACTTTATTAATAAAATGTAAACATTAACATTCATATTAAATGTTGTTCAAAGTGAAGGTATGTCCACAAAAGCTTTGTTTAGGAGATGGATTAGATAGAATACTAATATAGCCTTTTATTCCTAACTGTATAAAAATTATTGGCAACATAAGGATTAATACTATTTGGAATCGGGAACTCTCAATAACATTTATCAGTTTGTAAGAATCTTTCCCAGAGTACTCATTATTATGCCTTCCATTTATACTGATGCTGAATATGCCCATATGGTTTTTGCAATGGTAATGTTAATGCTGCCCGTCGTGAATATGCCAGGCGATTTGTGTATAGAAGATTACCAAACAATCTATCTTTAACTCCACGTTTCAATGTCTTAGTTTAGTTGAACATATTCCACTACAACTGAGAAGGGACATGTGGCGTCAATTAGATGGTTTTCCTGCACATTACAGAAGTTGTCCACGGCAATGGCTAGATGTTAATTGTCCCAATCAATGGATTGGCCATGCAGGACCAGTGGGTTGCCCCTGCAAGACCTGACACCACTGGATTTTTTTGTTTGGTGTGATATTAAACAAAAAGTCTATCCAAGTCCGGTCAATGTTCTTAATTCCTTATGAAGAAGGGTAATTGAATCTTGTGAAACAATAACATATATCCAGTACCGTTCTGCCACTGCTACTGTTGAAGAAAGATGCCGAGATCTTAATGCTCAAGGAAATCACTTTGTAAAACACTTAATATTTACGTTTAATTAATAAAGTAGTTGAAACAAATAGATAAGTTTTATTTACTTAATATAACTTAAATAATTCATAAAAATGAAATTCTTTAGATGTGAATATCTCCTAAACCGAGTGTTTGTGGACATACCTTCATAGGATTTTTACTTTCACTTACGTATATATGTAATATATAGTAAGGGTAAGTATTGTGATCGTGAAAATTTTCGAATCTCAGTTTTCAACGGAAATACATGTTTTAAGGTCTCCTGAGTCCAAATAACCAAGTGTCGCAAAATGGTCTGTGTTTGTGTGTCAACAGTCTAGCTCATAAACGAAAAGTAGTATGAAACTGATATTAAGTATTTAAGGTTTGTATATGGGCTGGATGTGACAGCAACTTTTTTGTTAAAATCGGCTAACCGGAAGTGCCACTTTATATGAACGCTGAAACACATTTTTACAATTTTCTCAAAAACGGCATTAATGATTTTGATTAAACTCGGTGTATCATTGTATAATTAAGTGGTCTTTAATATCATTTAAGTCTTATTCCTGTTGATGTCACTTTACAGGGCTTAAATGTCCAATGTTCATATATGTCTTCCTCTAAAGTACCTTTCATATGGTTTATTTTAACAATCATTTCACATTATTCAGAGTTATAAAAATATGCTACATATAACTTTTGAAAGAATTTGATAAGTTAATAAGGAGAAAAAAAATAAAAATGCAGAAAAACCTGTGTTGCTATAGACTAGCTCCTAAACAAATGTATCGATTTCAATGAAACTTTGCTGATGTCATTTTCTCGACACCCTTTAAATTTATCTATATAACATACTTCAACAAAAAGAAGCTGAAAAAAAAGTTACGAGGGATGGTAAAATTAAATTCCGAATAACTCAAAAAGTATACGCTTTTTGGGGGATATTGTATTATGTTTTTTTAAATGTTTATGGAATTTCCTAAAAAAAAAAAAAAATATCGTTAAAATCGGACACAATCAGGAGGAAAGATATGGCCTCTAGTTTTTTTCCCTGAAGAGGCGAAAATTTGGCTAAATTTAAAATATACTTTTTTAATTGTTGAGACTAAAAAAACCTTTTTTTTACAAATATTGAATAAAGTATCTTTCCTAAGGACATATTTCATAAGAAATAAGTACCTAAATTTATACCTTTATTCTCAGTTCTATATTTCAACAATGCAATCACCACCTCTGGAATCAACTTACTCATTGTCTGCATAGATAACTTTTTCAACTTCAAATATCATTAAAATGACCACTCAAAAATGTTGAAATTGGAGTTAGTCATTCTGTGGTTTATAAAAGCAGATGGAGTGACTAGTTTGTTATTGTCTGTCGTCGATATATTGAATAGACATTTTGTAATTATAATGGTCTTAATGACTTGTTATATGTAAGCTTTAATCTTTAGATCTGTTTAAAATGCACTTCAAAAAATTTTATAATAGCCCAGCATTGCCAGAAAATAATTTCTATTCAAAGTAGATCGGTAAGGGAAAGTTGTGTGTTGCGCGCACCAGATTTTTTTTTCTTGTTTTGACACCCTTAATTCATAATTTCAGTTGGCCATTTAGTTCTGAAACGCCCAGTAGACTGGTGGTATCTTTTATGTCAATTTATTTAAATTAATATATCTACAAGTAGAGTATCAAAAATATATATTAATGGTTCTTAGCTCTTATTTAAAATTATTGATAAAAATTAGAGTTAGTGACTATATGAATTAACATCAAATAATTGTAAGCTCTTAGACCTTAATGCATTTATTTAACATTTTTGTCTGATTATATTTGTTTATATTAATGTTATTTTACCGAGGAATAAAAAATAATATGATATTGTTATAGTATACATAACAATATATTTTGTATTGTGCATTTTCCGTTTCTTCTGGATGTGTTTATAAAATTAAAGCAATTTAATTTTCATTTTTAATGTATATTTTTATATTTCTCTCTCACAAAAATTACATTCTCACATTAAAAAGTAAAGTTATGATTTATTTATTATGGAGAAATATCACATATTTTTGTTAATAGTTTGTTTCTTAAATTACTTTTATAATCCTTATAAGTATTCATCGTTTATATATATATATATATATATATATATATATATATATATATATATATATATATATATATATATATATATATACATATACATATACTGTCTATTTACATTGTTTTTTGGGTAACTTCTTTTTTCTTTACATATACATAAGAGTTTTGTTTTATATAGAAATTACAATTGTTGATATAATAGTAGCTTTCAATTTAAAAATTGTTTGTTTTCTTCCAAACAATTGCTGTGTATTAATGACAGAGGCATTTCTTGGTCTGTTAGACTTCTTCTGACTGTATCTTTGGGCATAAATACTTATGGGCAGCACAACAATGTCGCCGAATATACTCTGTGCTACAGTAGAGTGGTCCATATTTTTGGATGATCTCAGCACAATTTGGTCCCTTCTGTACTTCATCTACACATGAGTCATCAGTCCCTATGTTTGAAAAATAAAAAATTGTAAATATTTTAAAATTAAAAGCAGTGTTACAAGTTTTTATATAAATATTGTATTTAAAAATAAAATAAAAAGTTATTTTTTTTTTAAACTTAATATAATTCATTAGAGATTTGTTTTTTAAATCAGGGGTAAGAAGAGAATGAAAAAATAAATAAGCAAAGAAAGAGCAGTTACTTGAAAAATCCTTAATAATTGGCATGTGTTGATTAGCAATAGGGTTATTTCTAAAAATATAATTTAATTTAGAAATAACATGTTCTCATCACAAAAGTATGCTATTGAATGAAAATATAGGATATACAATTTCTATAGTATATGTGTAGGACATTGTTATATCCAGAAATCTAGTAAAATAATAAAAAAAGAATAATATAGAATATAAAAAATGAAAAATTGTTTAGGAAGGTGTAGTTTTATGAATGATATGAAGACAACTGTATGACATGAGTTTTTATTGTATGTTACCTTTAAGATGGTTTCATACCCAAGAAACCAATGTTAATGACAGGCATTATTAACATATTTCCATCTCAATTCTTTCAAGATTCTTTTTGAGAAATGTTTTTGCTAACATTTGATTTCATTTATACCAATTAATTGTCAAATGTTAAAAACTATTTTACTAGTAACATTTTTTATTAAAAACATGTTCATTAATAATTAAAATGACATTTTTCTATAGACCATGTTACTGATAACATTTTGCTGTAAACCAACATTAATAGATCAATCAATCAATCTATGGTTGTCAGATCTTACTAAAGTATTTCTTTAAGTTGCTCGCCCTATCTATCTGAATCTTTTGCGACAGATATGGTGAGACTGATCAGTTATATTTTAAATTTATTTCTTGTTTTATTTTTCCTCCACACATTAAAGCATTGATTTTTTAGACAAAGTAGTTATATCATGAAGAAATTTTTGTTTAAATTTATAAATTCTACTTTCAATGGCAATTGGCATCTGCTGTCGATTACAACAAATTGTGGATAATGCCATCTTAATGTTTTTTGGGTCATTTTTCTTTACTTCTGAGGATCATTATTAACATGTATATACATGAGAATATTGTGTTTAATTACATCATGGAGCTCATTATTTTCTCTTCCTGTTACTTTTATTTTAACAATTTCTAGGTCGAAAACATGAGTAAGACCATCTCCCTGTCTCAAGCCTGTTCGGACTTGAAAAATATTGATATTTATTTTAAATTGTATTAACTCTTTGAGAGTATAATGTTTTTTCACAATTTTCGCCATTTTAAGTAAAATTTCAAATATCATAACCTTTTGTATTTCAAAATTTTGAGGTGGCTCCCCTCCCCCCTACCAGCCATTTCCAAAAGGACATCTATATATATATATAATTTTGTCTTTAAATAGAATTTGTCATTTATACATAAATGTATACACATGTACATAAAGTTGTAATGATTGTGTTGTTGAGATAACTCAAGATAATCAATTGTGTCTTGGTAATACTTGGTAATCAATGATGTCTTGGTTACATATGTTATATAAGCAGGGTCGTCGCTTGAGTCGTTGGCGCTCGGAGCGAAATCATATCAGGCGCCCCCTCACATCCCTCAAACTCGGCCAGTAGTATATTGTTTCATGTTTACAGGTTATATTGTATGGTACTTACAACATAAAATTTAATATAGTTATATAAATAAATTAATGTACTAACAATATATTATACTTTCGCACTTCCGTTCATGACAAATAAATCTCTAGCCAGCTTATTGTAATTTATCTAACAACAGGAAGTGGAACTGAGGTCAGAAATAATTATTTCGCTAGTCGTGTATGATGATCTAAGCAAAGATGGAAAAAGTTGGAAGCTAATAGAAATAAAACTTTTCAAAAGCAATTTGTATTCTTTAATCGTGAATCGGGGCGACCGCCCTGTTCACGCGATGGCCCTGTATATAAATAAACATTGTATGATGATAAACTCAACTCCACTCCAGGTTGACCATAACTGAAGTCCAGAAAACAAGGAAAGATTTGGTTGAGACATGGATTGCTGATGACAGAATTACATTTGAAAGTAAAATAATAGTTTTTAGTGAAGAAAATCCATTTTCAGTAAATGTTGAAGAAAGTAGTATTAATTCAAAATGCATAGTTCAGAAATTGTTAAGTGTAGACGTGCAATGTTTATTGTGGTGGAAAAAGTCAGGTTACTTAATCTTATAAAGAAGGTTTTTGAAAGTTACTTTAGTTCTCGAAATGTGAGCTAATGCCAGATATAGAAACATTTTTCATGTTTTCATTTTAAGTATATATAGTAAAATATTTTTAGTTGTACTGATTAATGTTAATTGAAATTCAAGTCTATATTTTAAGTATTTCTAAGTTGGTTTAAGCCATTTAAGAATTTAAGTACAGACAAATCTTGCGATTGTTTATAGGAAATATGAAGGAAACAAATTTATGTTTGAAGACAAAAAGCTTTGTACTGTTTTATCAATGATGATTCAATATCCGAACAATGACTGTACAATTTTCATCAGCCACGATTTTATTGAGGGTTAATATTGAAGCTATTCTCGACTGTGCAAATTTGTTCATTAAATTAAAAAAAAATATTTTACTGTTCTTCTTTTTGTTATAGAGTCACAACTAAGCTCAACTTAGTTGATTATATTTGTTGACGAGGCTACGCTTGAGTATTAAAAGCAATTTTGTTGTTTTATTTCAAATTTAATTTTCTAAATAATCTTTTGTACGCGTCTGTTCACTGTTATTCATGCATAAGATGTATGACCCACATTTCGAGATACTCAAGTAAGATAGTAGTAGTCAGAGAAGTTTAAAGATCAAGTTTAGGGATTCTTCAACTTTTCTGAGTAGCGAAGGTGATGAAAAACCAGAGTTCAAAATGATGAGGTTAGATCTGTTATTTTTATAACTCACTGATAGAATAAAGGAGGTTAAAGATATTTTTTACGAGAAAAAAGAAGTCGAAATTTCCTTAAGAGAAAGCATAAGAAAAAGGTAGATAAAGATTCATTATTATTGTCAGATAAATTTTTAACTTGTTATGATTTTAAATTTGAGCATTGAAAATAATTATTGAGTGGTAAATTTTACCTACTTAAACAAAAGAATTATAAGATCTGGTAGTGCATTTAAGATAAATTTTATCTGCAATAAAGGCATTAATGTTTATTTCTCATTTAAGAAGTTCAATAAAAGTCATACTTTTCGGATAAATCTAGAACTTTATTACAAAAAATTGCTTTGAACTTTTATTTTTTAAACTTTTTTTTTCTAAAATCTTGATTAGCTATGAGCACTAGCCATATTTTTATTAAATATCAATGTGTTGGCGGTGAATTTCGAAAAGTTTATCGGCTGTATCGGAAAGTTATGAAAGAATTGTTAATTTTAGAAACTTGAGTGATATGAAAGCAAAAGTTGAAGAATCCCTTGTTGTCCACACGTCTTACCATCTTGACTAATTGGTCTGTGGAAGGTCATTTTTAGTGTCGTTTGAGGTGTTTGAGTCGTCAGCTGATCGCCTGAGACTGGAATATTCCTAGAACCAGAAAATATAAATTTGGCTTTTGTTTAGAACCCTTGTTAGGCTTGCTCATCTGGATATATCTGGAGAAAGGTTAAATTGGAAGAAAGATGTAGCAATACCTTGTTGAATTGTAGGCTGATGGGTCATCTGATCTCCTGAGGAAGCCAGGGTGTTGGGAGAAGTCTGGAATAATATTTTCGTTCTCTACAACACATCTACCGCTAGAACAATACTGAAACAAAAACAATATGGTAAAAAAGTTATGATAAAATATTAGTATACTACATGTTTATCTAACACTATATCCATTATCTATTATAGTTAGTATAAAGTATTCATAAATCTAATTTTATTTGCATACTGACAATTTTTTTAGTAATGTGCTGGAAATTAAAAATTGTTTAAATAATATGAATGATAAGTAATATTAATAATTTATTGTAATACCCAGGATGTCCCATAAATAATGGGAAATATTTAAAGATAGATTTCAAGGGTTTCAAAAAGTTCGTATTAATTAAGGATGGGGGATAGTCCTAGTGACTATCCACAGTTCGTGTCCTCTACTTAGTCAAAAATTCTATAAACTTATAGAAATAATTCTCTTTATATTTCTACCCATTTATCGATGCGCTATATATTATAATGATAATATAATAATGTCAAGATGAAATTTCTGGCAATGGAAAACACTTTCAAAACGTCAGATTAAGAAAATATTTAGATATTAGAACGAAAGCATGTTATTCAAAATATCCCTATCTATTTATAAAATTGAAAAAATAAATAGAAGCCTTCAAGATAAAAAAGAATACAATCTCAAATTATTTTCTAAGAAATTACTTTACACTCGTAGTTGTGGAGGTAGATAAAAAAATATTACCTTTACTGTCCTTTCATTTATATTTTTTTTTTCATGAAATCGTGGAAATTCAAGGACATACGTATTTCTTTCAATCTATCCTCCTTTTTGTCCTAAACAGTTCAGTACTATGTAGCCACCTAGTTGTTTCTTGTTTGACATTCTTGGATACGGACCTAATTTATTTTCTTGTATAAATATATTTTCCTGTCAATTAAAATTTTCTGTTGTTTATTTGATTAATAATTTATACCAACATGTTCAATAATGTATCCAACGTAAATTTAGTTATTGTTATGATGTTTACGGTCCATTTTAAAGTAAATAACTAAAGAATTCAGCAAAAACAAATTTCCCTGATGTATGTAGCCGAATCCTACTGAGCTATCAATAGTGAAAAACTATCGACTACCGCTAATTCCTAGTGCAACGATGGTCCGATTCAATACAGAAAAGCAGAAAATTTAAGTTTAATGTTTTCTTTTAGTAAATGACTTTTCCTTAATTAGGAAACGACACTAGCGGATCCAGGATTTAATTTTTTTTTTTGGGGGGTGGGCTTCAGCCAGAAAGTTTTTTTAAAATTTATATATAGCGATAATTAATTTGAAAAAAAATGAAGAAATTAACTACTTATATGAAATGGTGTTTACGTGATTCATGAAGTCCTGTTAAATGTAATTACACGAAAAATAATACTTTAAGATATAGTTTTTAATATTTTTTTCTATAAAACATGTTTATATTTTTCCATTTTGGGGGGAGGAAGGGTTTAGCCCGAAAGCCTCTTCCCCTCCCTCCCCGTAGATCCGCCTGTGGGAAACAACCGAAAAACTGTTTAATTTATGTAATTACCAATCGTTATAATGTGAATGAACTAATTTATCACTATTACTAATGTCCTTAGTTGTGGCGACAGAATGTAATATAATTCAATAAAGAAATTTAAAAAAATAAATAAATAATAATAATTTTTACATAGTAAACTAGATAACGTTTTCTTTAATTCCAACTGGAAATCATCGGTTACTACCTTCTACTGTGCTTGAGATACCTCACTTTTATAAAAACTTCATAGCTTAATAAACTTCAAATCCATATTAATCAAAGTAAAGTTTATTAAGATATTACTACTGGTTCCTCTTCAGGTATAAAAAGATTATGTAATGTGAAATTCAATTGTAAGTGAAGTGAGTGGCATGTAGGGATCCTAGATCTGAAAATAGATTTCTGAAGTTCAAACCTATATTAACAAAAGGGACTGGGTAGTTTTTCGAGCGATTCGTTTAGTTGAATAATTTTTTTTACAATTGTTTGAAGTGTTGGAATAATTTTATATATTTTATGCTAAAAACCTATATTTTAGAAACGATATTAGTTATTCATTATTGCAATCAAACTTGCAAATTTTTACTTTTTCCTTAATGTCCTATGGAACTACAGGCTCGAGCCACTAATAACCAAATATTTAAGCTGGTACTACTTCACATCACTGATTTTAACATGATGAATGGGCACAAGATCACATAATCACACTGAAGATGCCATTCCAACAATGGATGAGTGTGTCCGAAAGTGTATACTGACGTCCTATCTCGTAACCTTACCATTAATAAATATAAATAACTGCGTGTACCGTTTTATCCGAGGGCCACATAGCGGGCTCTCCTAGCCAATCTAGTGGGACAAAAGTGAAAACATTTCAGTAGTGAATATTTTCATGGAAAATTACATAAAACTTGCATTTATATGTCTGTGTACTTGGGAAAACAAAAGTTAGTTCAGACAAAAACAAATAATATTTGTAAACATGGTAGTAAAATTAGGAGCCAATATTCATTATGAATACATTTTATTGGTTTGATTGCCAGAGTGAACAAGTAATAAATTTTATTCAAAGATGTGGGTTTGAACAATGGATGCAAGAATTTTTTTAATGATCTGAATTCATAAAAAGTTCCGGACGGTTTATAAACAATATTTTTTCAATTGAGTAGAAATTTGATATGCAGGTCATGTATACAAATTTTTAAAAGGCATAAAGTTCTCGGAACTTTAAAACATACATATTTCATATTTTTACCAGTCGTATATTTTACATATTTGCAAGTTCAATTCCAAAATTTTTCCTACAAATCCTTAATATAATATTTTTCATTTTAGTAGCGAAACTTAGGATAAAATGAGTCCATACTTTACTTAAGTAACGAAAACGTGAATTAATTCCTTGACATCTTATATCAATATTTACAAAATGCAGTCAATATCCAGAATCCCACTAAATGTCTGTGAGGGAGTACGAAGGTAACAGCTACATTGCAGTTATGATGATGTAAGAGATTTGGGCATATTAAGAGGTTTTTCATTAAAATATTTTAAAAGTTTAGTTGTAGCAACGTATTTTTTTAGCAAGTTTAATAGATAGTAATAGGAAGGCACTCATGAAAATTCAAAATAAGAAGAGGTTTAAGACAAGGAGATCCACTGCCTATGGAGCTGTTTCACCTGGTATTGGATGTAGCTATAAAAAAAATAACAACAAATGGCGGAAGTACAATTTACAACCGCAGAATGCAACATTTTGTATATGTAAACGATGTGCCCATAACAGCACGGATTCTACCAGCACTACAGGAGCTCATAATGAATTCCTCAGGAAAGCTTGAGAACTAGCCCTGAAAACAAAGACAAGAGTATATTCAAGCGAATCTCAAGAACCTACCAGATAGTAGAAGAGGAAATGAGAATATGGAATAGGAGTTTCAAGAGCTGTGTCGAATTCAAGTACCTAGGTAGCACGATAATTAGCGAGAACCAAGAGAAGGAGATATTGAGGCCCGTAAAGCAGCAGGAAATCTATCTCTGTACAGTATACAGAAACTGCTGAATGCAAACAACTTTCCAGAAAGGCAAAACACTTTAATATATAGAAACATTTTGAGACCTATTGTGACATATGAAGTGTGACATGGTCCATGACTAAAGAAAGCAAATTAATGCTCCATGTAGGGGAAGCAAAAATATTCCGAAAATTTATGGACCAATAAAAGTGGACGATCAATAGAGAATTAGATCTAATCTAGAAATAAAGGACCTATATTGTGAACAAGAAAGAGCCATTCAAGTCGATAGACTCCGATGGTTGAGCCATGGACCCTCCATGAATATCAAGGAAACTACGCCAGGAAAAGATAAGGAATGGAAGAAGGCGGGGCTCAGATGGTTGGACGAGCTGGAAGGCAACCTAAGAAGGTATAAGACGGTGGAGACATTTCGCCGCTGACAGGGCATTGTGAAAAAAACATTAGAGGCTCACGGTTCTTCAAGGACTGTTCAGTCCACCAATGAATGAATGAATTAATATTTTTATTTTTTTTTCTGCCTACTACATTTATAATTTTTTTTTCACTTTCAAGATTTAGTTTACTGAAACCATAAATATTATATGATGTCAATTTATCTTTTAGTTGTGTACAGAAACATTTGCTTAATTATAACGATATTTTTTGTGAATACACACAATGTTTAACTAAAAAAATAAATTAGTTTATTTATATTGATTTTTGTCCAACTAGATTTTGCAGACAGGCCACTTTCACTTATTTCACCTCTCCAAATAAAAGAACTCAACATTTTATAATAATATTTTATATAATATATTTCGAAAACGTAATCTCAAAATATTAAATCATATTGACTGAATTAAAAATAAAACAAATATTTATGTCTGATCTAAAACATATTTCGCTTGAAATTCACCGCCATTGGAAGTCAACCACCTTGTGGCAAGTGACCTACGTAGTGAGATGCAAATTAAGTTGTTTTTTTTTGTTCTCTGCAAAGAGTTGCATTGCCGCCATAGCCATACTAAAGTTCTTTATAACTGAAAGCTTAACATAATACATTTTAATGTGTATATATTACATATATATGACTTATGTGTATATATTATACATAGAGTGTATCACCAACGAGTTTATCATTGTTAAAATCATTTAAATAGGACTAATGAGCGGCTAAACAGCAAATTTCTGTTTAAAAAAAAAGGAAGAAAATTATTTGCTATTTTTTTGTTATAACCCTCCAACTATGCCACAGATACACCACTTTTAGAAAAAACTTCCTCATTCAATAAGCTATAAGTCCATATGAATTAAGTTGCGGTTTATTAGGAAAAATATTAGGATTTACCTACAGTTGTGTAAAGTAATTATGTGATTTTTTATTCAGTAACCTTAAAGTACGTATGTTTTCTGCAAAAATGACTAGAATTACCTGTTGCAAAGCTTTTATTTCTTGTTTTTCCATGACCTGCTATGTATTATAATAAATATAAATGCATTAATACACTTTTTATTAACAAAATAATGATTTTTCAAAGCGTTTTATGTATGGTGGTTATGAAGTTGTGTTTTACAGCCAGATTTTTGTCATAGGAATTGGTGCGTATTTATAAGTGACAAACTTAATGTCTTATCCATAATATTTACGTTTTCATGAAAATGATTGAAGCCATCAATAAGTTTCTTTAATTTAAACATAATTTTTAATAAGAAACATTAAGTTTGCCACTGATAAATACGTATCAATTCCTATGACGGAAATCTGGGAGAAAAACACAGTTTGCATAAACACTTTACGTGAAAAATATTTAAAAATCATTATTTTTAAATTGTTTATATTTATAAATAAAATGTGTTTGTTTCCAGACGATTATGTTTATTACAATACATCCCATATCCCGTAAAAACATGAAATAAAAGCTTTGAAACAGTTAATTGTAATCATTTTTGCAGAAAACATGGGTACTTTAAAGTGACTGAATAGGAAATTGCATAATTTCTTTACACAATTTGAGGTGAATCTAATATTTTTCTAAAAATAAACCTCAACTTTATTCATACGGACTTAGAGATTATTAAACGAGCAAGTTTTTCTAAAAGTGAGGTAAATGTAGTTGATATAGATAGTACGGTTCGTGGGTGATAAAAAAAATAGCGAATAACTTATGACTTTTTTAAACGGAAATTTGCTGAGTTTAGCCTCAATAGTCCTCTTTAAATCACTTTAACTATGATAAAATCTTCTTTCGTTTAAAGTTAATTTTATCTAGTTTACTATGGAGCAATGTTTAATTACCAAAGTAAAATATTTTTTAAGTTGCCGTTTCCTATTCAACTTTAAAAAAACACAATTCTTAAATTTCCTACTTTTCTGCTGGAAATTGGGCAATCGTTTATAAGAACTTTTTTGGAGATGTTGATGTCACCTATTAAACTTTTTTTTATTTTAATGAAATTTACAACTGTATTACATGGAAAATACAACAAGTAAATGTGACATTGGTAACATGACATGTACAACATGAAGAGAAAATATCCATTAGTAGAACTCAAATTAAAGTTCTATATTCCATATTCTTTTCAGACGCCTCGGAGGGTTATCAGGGATCGAGGAGGAAAAAACAGTGGATTCGGATGGTTCTGCAGTTTGTTATGGAAGGATAGGTATCTGGATTGGGCCAAATCGGAAACATATGGAACATTAAGGTCCTTATGGATGATTTTATTTGTGACAAAGTAAGGAGCGTTGAGGATTTTGGATTGTAAGGATTGGATACGAGAGGAATTCGATGGTTTAGTGGAGCCCCAAAGCTCAATTCCGTAAGTCCAAATAGGTCTTATTATTGTCATATATATGAGTCGTTTGTAATTGATTGAAAGCGTTTGTCTAGTAAGTGCTGCAGTAGTCGAAAACTACCTATGCGTGTAATTTATGCATTTCAACATGTTTGAAAGAGGAAACGCATTATGCTGGTCTGGATCCTCTTTTTTTTTTACAAAATCTTAACACATATATGGTGTAAAACCTCAAACATTATTCCCTGAAGATGGTGTGTAATAGCCGAAGTGTTGTATAAATATACTAATTTATCCAAGCTGCTAGCCTTGTTGAATCAACTAATAGTTTTTTTACCTTAAACTACTTATCTATGATGTATACATTTAATTCTACTGATATAACTTACCTGCCCATCACCACACGGGCTCCCTTCAGCTGCTGGCCTGTAGGCAACACAATACCCAGAACCAGAATCAAAACAGAAAAGTTGAGCACAGACCCTCTCATCTTTCTGTTAAAAATAAAAATAATGTGTTGATTTCATGATATTGTAAAATATACAGGGTGTTCCATAAGTAGAGGGAAATATTTAAAATGTTAATAGTAGAAATCACGATCTACTAAAAATTTCATATAAATAATGGCCCGATTCCCATCAGTAGGGAATTTAAGATTTAAGTATTTTTATACGAGTCACTTTTTTTGTTGAACAGGAAGCGATAACTTAAGAGATGTTTGAATTAAGTAATTAAATGCTTACTATGGAGCAATGTTTAGTTACCTAAATAAAATATTTTTTAAGTTACCGTTTCCTATTCAATAAAAAGCGTGATTACTTTATAAAAACACAGATATTCAATTTCGTACTTTTCAGCAGGAAATTGGGCAGTTGCTCATACGAATTTATTGGTAGATCTAGATGTCTACTCTATACCCTTTTGAATATTTCCTTCTACTTACGGAACACCCTACATAACGAAACATTTGGAACAAAAAATGTTTATTATGAATTATGAAATTAGTGAGTAGAAGTTTTAAGACTAGAAGTTCAGGTACTTCTTAGAAGAGGATCAAATAACACTCTTCAATCACTTGTCCTCAACGCCTTTTTAATTTCAAGTATAATTTATTTAAACCTATAAAATTATATTATCATAGTGATATTATTGAGGAGACAAATATTTTGTTTATTGATTAATTGTTAATTACATAAAACGTTAACGCGGAGTTTGTCTAAAAGATTCAGTTTTCTCATAGATAATAGTATTCAAGGATATTCATACATGCAAAGTTGTCTATTTTATAATTTTTAAACTTTAAAAGTTGCAAGAGTACTGGGAAAAATATAGATAAGACTTTGATTAAAATTAAAATACTTGTCAAATTTAGATGATTTTTCTTCAATTTTGATAAGGGGTGCCCCAGAGGAGGTTCCGAAATCATCGTTCTATATTTTTTTAATCCCCCAAAAATTATTGTTTTGTATTTGTTTATTTCCTTAAATTTTTGGGTCCCCTCCCAGTTATAGTCCAGTAACCTTGTACATCGTAAGTTGCATTGGACGGAGGTAGAAGGTTTATTTTTATTTTCTTGTATGGGATGTAACTGGGATGTAAAATCCAAGTTTTCGACCTGTTCGCCCCTCTCCCCCCTTGGATCACTTTTGAAAATTCCCAAAACTTCTAACTTTTCACATTTTTTTCGTTTTTGTTTCCATATACTCATAAAGAATTAAGTTTTTGACAAAAGACATTCGATACATTTTTAAACTGGATTAAATATGCTACAATTTGGGACCATAACAGACTCGGTAAATCAAATAGTTTTTGAGATACAGATTTTTTATTTATTTTAAAAGTTTGAAAATTTTTTCATTTGTTATCATATGCAATTGTCTTTTATCTTCAATAACCTGTCTGATATGAGACAGTGAAGTAAACATGTATTCATTTTCACATATTGAAGGAGGAGTGATGGATGGGAGAGGATTGCCCGTGGGCCAAACTCCTCTCCCGTGCACCCTCTCACCCACATCATTATAAATTACATATCGTTGTGTTTCTTGTAACTATTAAAAAAAAAAGCCAATGTTCCTACAAAAAAATCTGAGCGCACTGTCCTAAAATGGTGTCTAACCATGACGGGTCGATTTCTTTGATTTGAGTCGGTCTTTCGGTTGTATATAACATACAACATACCGGTCAATCCACATGGACATAGATAGCCCTTACATTATATTATTCCATTATTTTATAAACATATTATAATTTTTTTTTCTCCTTTTTCACAACACTGGTCAAATACAATATCACTAATATATCGCATTAAAAAATTCATTATATAACACATACATTTTATGAACAAAAAAAAAAGTAACTGAAAACAAATATAAAAGTAAACAAATGCTAAAAAAATAGTCATATCATGGACGAAAATACTTATACTTACAAAACATGCCGATGTTCCTCTGTCTCGTCTACATTGTGCGTCCAGTGTTAATAATTTACCCGGTAACACTCTTGGAAGAGATTCGTCCTCATGAGGAGAGTTGTACAAACATGTCGCAGTATCTCCACTAGATAATTTCGAAAAATCATGAGATGAAAAATATTGATTATTTCTTTAAAGTACTCGTTATAAATAAGAACTTACTTGAGAAAGTGGTGGAAGGACTGCACTGAACATGGACTCCACCTGAAACCCTTTTCTGTATGCCTCAAATCAGACATGATATAGCCGTCTTCCCATCGACACTTCTCTGCACCAGGCCCACCCAAGTAAGTAGGAGGTGGTGAACCGTCATGAACTGCTCCAAGCCTAAAAACAATAAATAAAAAAAAATAAATATTCACGCACGGACGCACCCACACAAATATACACTATGGGGGAAGTATGAACCTGAACTGAAGAAATAGAGCGTAAAAGGGAAATAATATACCTCTCGCGGGCCAAACAGAGTAGGGAAAGGACACCCAGTTAACGAATCGGAGGCAGTGAAGACTTTATAAGTAATATTTTTATTTATAATGTCTGTTATAAATGGCATCTTAAAATACAAAGTTATACTATGAATATGGGTTGACTACAAGAGTTCACTCCAGGTCTCCTGGCAAGAGTGTGACTTCAAGAATGTAACAACATGAGTAATTAGTCCAGAGGAGGATGGGGTTTATATACCGAAGAATAGCAAGGGGGGTGAAGGTAAGTTATCGATAGTTAATATTCTTAAGATGAGGTCTGTGAGAAAGTGCTCTTTTGCTGAAATCTGTTATTGCTCACCAAGTCTTGATAATGGGTCTTCTGTCCAGTCGGTACATTCTAGATAACTATTTCTAAGCTATCAAATATAGCTTGACCTGGCTTTCTAGGGATAGATTTGTTCTTTTATCCTTTGAGTCATGAGAACCGTCAATACAATACATGAATTATATTCACCAATTGGCACATTTAATAAACTCAACTATTAAAATAAAAGTTACATTAATACTATTATCATTATTATTTGTTACGGATTAAGCCCATTCCGCAACTAACCGAATAATAAGTCAAACATGGAGAATCACGTAAAACTGGCAAATCTTACGGTGCAAGGGGGTCGGAACTCTAGTGCCAACGTCTGAGAATGCGGGTTCTAAGGTGTCGTTATCCAACGACCGCAGTGCTGTAGTATTGGTTCACTTAGCCCCTGTTGTAACTAATATTGATGAAAAGAGCAAGGGATTGTGGGAATCGTTCTGAGACAAAATTTGAAAACTTCACGAATTTGTCAAGAAAAGCAAAAATAACCATAAAAAGATAAGAGCATAAGTAATTTCAATCTGTATGGTTTACGATCAAGTGTCGAGAATACACAAAAATCCAGAACTACTATTAGCTGGAAACAGTTGCGGAACTAAGACCAAGTCGAGTTTGCGACCCCTCCATGAGGATTCTTGAGTAACAATTTCAGTTACTCGGGAGGAGAATGAAGGAGAATGAACGACACCCAACAGCCGGGAAGAAACAGAGGTTTCAGTTACAGCTAAAACTAATCCAAGAAATAAACTTGGTGATCAATGGGCAATGGTGAAGATCAAGAAAGCCAAAGAGGAGAAAATACGAACAAGACCTGCTCGCCCAGTTGCATTGATGGTCACGGCAAAGAAGGGCTCGACGTATGCGGATATCCTGCGAAAAATGAAGAGCGATCCTGATATCCAGGATATAGAAGATAACGTGCAAATAAAACGAAAGTGTGCCACGAGGAGTTTCCTTCTGGTGTTGGACTGGAAGGAAAAAGAATAAATGGAACAAATTTGCAATGCGATAGCTGAGAAAATGGCTGACAAAGCGGAACTAACATGCAAGAAAGACTCTGTGAGAAGGTCATCGACGTTGCTGTACTATGCGAGCAGTATAGAGACATCGATGGTTCCTGGGTAAAGGACCTCAGTGGTCTAGCAGGTACTTGGATCAGATAAGACCACTTCATACAGGAAGTCCAACCGAATCGAAGAAAAGGATTGGTATGGGTTAAGGTGAGAGACATTTAGATCTGTAGTGTCTTGATGTCATTGAGCAGGAACTGCGAGGTCGGCATTCCCTTATCATCGCAGAAGACTTTAGCGCATGGGCATGAGGTAGCAGAGACACCAACAGGAGAGCCGAACGTCTTTTTGACACGTTCACTGCTTTTGATGTTGTTCTCCTTAACACCGGATCTGCTCTGACCTTATCAAGACATGGTAATTCCGCAATAGTCGATTCAACTTGTGTAAGCGCAAATCTTACTTGTCAAGAAAACTATTGCCACTTAAGTGATCGATATACTCATAGTGATCATCATGCCATCTTCTTCGAAGTCGTTACCACAAGTGCTGAAAGGAAAAATATTAAAACACTGCCAGGTGCAGTATGGAACAATCGATCCTTAGAGAGAGATTCCTTTGTTACTATGAAGGAAATGAAGGAAAATTTCGAATTATTAGGGTTAGTAGAAGAAAGGGCAACACGATTAATGAAGTTTATTACTGGTGCACGCGATGTATCTATGACCTGGACTTCAAAGAGAAAACGGCAGGGCTAGATTTGAAATTTGAAAAGAAATCAAGCCGGAAAACTTAGTCTATTCGATGGCAGGAGAATCGTAGTACTGCAGCAGATTATGCAGCGCAAATCGGCTGAAGGCTCAGCGCACAGGATCGAAAATGGAGATACTAGGAAACGGCTTAGCTTAAATATAGTTTCCAGAGAAGAAGTAGGTATGTAGGTAGCTTTCTGCTCCTCACAAAGTAATGCTTGACAGCATTTCCGCGGGATTGTAAAAAAGAATTGAGAGGTGATTTTTTTTTTTTTTTGAGTAGAAATATCACACTGTTACGTGAATTTTCGTTTGTTGCACTTCGTCATATGAAAGAATTTTCACCTACCCAAAACAAAAGGTTGTTTTGTTGCACTTTTCAGATGTAAGACTTTTCAAAAAATTTTATTATATATTTGTTTATTTAGAAATATTACATTCTGTCACATCAAGGACATTTATAATAGTGATCAGAGAAAGCACACTCACACTCTATTTACAATAAAAAATAAAATAAATAATACAGAAACTTAATAATAATAAATACAATAAAATAAAATAAATGTATATAAACAAAAGAACTAACCTAATCATACACACTCGGGCTTGAGTGGAGGATCTGGCCATTGCCAAAACTCCAATAGATGCTTATTTACAAAAGGTCTCTGGGCCACTGCCGCTTCAACCTTCGAGGAGGATTGTAAGGATGGGTGGTGCTGGATAGAGATTGTGCAAGGGGATTTGGATGATAGGTAAGGTTTTGGTGAAATTTGGAGAATTTTTCTGGAATAAGGTCTAGGACAAATGGGATATTAAGGTCATGGTGTAGGATTTTGTTATTTACATAGAACGGAGCATCAACTATTGTTCGAAGGACTTTAGATTGAAAGGATTGAATACGTTTGATGTTAGAAGCTTTTGCTGTTCCCCACAGTTCAAGTCCGTATGTCCATATAGGTTTCAGTATTGTCTTGTAGATAAGTAATTTGTTTTCAATAGAAAGTTTGGATTTTCTATTTAGTAGTCTGTATAGCTGGCCGTATCGTCGGTTGAGTTCTTGTCTTTTGAGTCTAGTATGTGGGTTCCACGTTAGTCTTCGGTCTAAATGAAAGCCAAGATACCGGACTGTGTCTGAGTAAGGAAGCTGGATGGAATTAAAGTGTACTGGTGGACAGGAACTGCGTCGGAGTGTAAAGGTAATATGTTGGCATTTAGATTCATTAACTTTAATGCGCCAGTTATTACACCAGTGCTCAATCAAGGTGAGGTGGTTTTGGAGATTTAAGGATGCTATGTTGGGATCAGAGTTGGATGATAAGATTGCGGTGGCGTCAGCGAATGTTGCAAGAAAAGTATCGGGATGAACAGGGATGTCAGCAGTAAAGAGGATGTAAAGCACGGGACCCAAGACGCTGCCTTGGGGAACACCGGCTTTAACGGAGTAGATATTGGAAAATTCTGTTCCACAGCGAACTCGGAAGGAGCGGTCAGAGAGGTAGGATCGGAGGACTAGGTACAAGGACTGAGGTAAATGGATTTTAAGCTTGAAGAGCAGTCCGGAGTGCCATACCCGGTCAAATGCCTGTGCAATGTCCAGAAATGCACCCGAACAGTATTCCTTGTTTTCTAGGGCTGAGGAAATATGATCAACAACTCGGAGTCCTTGTTGAACAGTAGAATGTTGGGAGCGAAAACCAAACTGATGGGAAGGAATATTTTGGGATTCTATAATGGGTAGGATTCGTTTCAAAAGGATCTTTTCAAAAATTTTTGAAAGGATTGGGAGTAGGCTAATTGGTCTATAGGATGTTGAGATATTGGGAGGTTTGCCTGGTTTTTGGAAAAGGATAATAGTGGAGTGTTTCCATAGCAGAGGAAAGTGGGTGGTACGTAGGATACAGTTGTAGATATATGTAAGGAATATGACTGCTTTGGATGGAAGTTGTCGAAGGATTTGAGGGGTAAGGAGATCATGTCCAGGAGCTTTACGGGGGATTAATTTTTTTAATTGAAATTTCACTTCGGAAGGATGAATAGCTTTTGGGGGCAAGGAAAGTGGGATTGGTGATGTAAGGAGTTCTTCTACTGTTACGGTGTGGGCAGGATGGGATTCCGGATGTGAAATAAATGTATTGGATAGGTGAATGGCGAACTCCTCAGCCTTATCTTCGTCAGATGCTGCCCAGGAGCCATCATCTCGTCGGAGGGGATGGGAAATGCGGTGAGGATTTAAGATTTTGGTAGTGGTTTTCCAAAGGGAATTGTCGCGAGAAGAAAGTTTTCAAAAAATTAATAAAAATATGAAACACACACGTTACATTTAGTGTCCTAAGCATTACATTTAGATTTGGGTGGCTCATATTAGCAGGCAAAAAATAATAAGATTACAAAGTTATGAAACATTAAAATAAAAATAAAAGACTAGCATAAGTGAACAAACGAAATAACGAAATTATATAATAGATAATTATATACCCGTATGTTTACATATTTGCATAGGTAATTAATATAAATAATAACAGTAAAATAAATCTGGAAACACTAAAATTCGAATATTGAATTCATACTTACACTCGTATTCGGAAGATTGATAGTTGAAGAGATGAAAAAACAGTTAGTTTTTAAATTAGGTTAAAGATGAGGTTTTGCGTATGGACCTGAGTTCAAAGGAATTCCGAAACCAGATAGTGTTTTAAAGTATTTTTATAAATAATATTTTAAAGTATTTTTCAAAGGAAACAGTGCTACTCGGCCACTTCAATTCTATAGCCACTTCAACTCGGCATACCCCCTGGACAAGTCCTGGTAGCGAGCGCTTGGGGACTCCAAAGATGAATCTAATGAAACAATTCAGTAGTCACTTCAATCTAACCTCATACCTATCAATATTCCACCGTTATAACTACCAAGGAAGCCAAATCGATGTGGGGAAAAACAAGAAAGGAAACCAAGAACTAACGAGTTATAAGCGGGATAGAATGAGGTACAGGCAGATCTATGAGGGGAGGGGAGATCTTTCGGGCTAAAGAAAAAATGTCTTGTATCCATCAATATCTTCAAATTTTAGATATGGTAATTTTCCTGGTTTTGTTTTGTTTTTACTACTTACCCCCTCACCATCTTCCAACCAGGTCAACAAATTTTTCCATGTGTGTTTTTTCCATGTTTCCTTAAGGCAAAATTCCACTGAGACAACTTTTAGGCAACAATGCCGCATGCTGCATTGTTACACAGTCTTTCCATAGACGGAACACAAAGCGACGAAAAATATGTCTCCGTGCCGTGTCGAACATTGTCTATCCAACAGCCACGGGATCGGTATGGCTTGTAGACGGCAAAATGGAGTGGACGAACGAAAAAACTATGTCTTTTTTGACGATTATTATAATTCTCACGAATTATGGAATAATAAAATCGCCGAATAAAAGGATATAAGAATCAAAAACGAAAACTTGAAACAATTATCTGATAAATATAATTATTGTACGGTAATGGAGGTAAAAATAATTGTCTTATTTATAAATGGTTAATTTATTTTAATAGGAAAATATAATTGTAGTTTAATGGAGGCAAAAAAAAAAATCAGGAATTTGCAGTGAGTATTTCATCGCGAGCGCAAAAAACATACGCAATAAAAGGGTGACTCATCTCCTAGCAAGAATGGGAAATGATTTGCTTATGAGTTACTGAGTTTTTTTTATTGCAAAATGCACTTGCTAGCAACCCAAATGAATTTTACACTACTCTTCGAGCCTGTTGTATCAACAAATATTTTAATTAAAAAAAAAAAAATGACTTCAGAAATTGGGAAACTCTATCCACACTAAGGGAATGCACTTCCTTATCTACTGAAACATTTTGGTAGATTCATTGAGAAATTGGCATCTACGAATATTTAAACTTGGTGTAGTGGTCGGTTTCCTTTCTATTTAAATCAATTAAAAATCGGGACAATTAAACTATTTTTTTTTCAGTATTTTGAGCTAAAATTGTTTAAAAAAACTTGAGGGATTTAGCTGAGTAATTACAGCCGTCAAAGTTAACAATCGATCATATCATTCGCTCAAAAAATCTTTACTTGCCCTTTAGCGGATTGATTAAACACACTTTTACACAGTAATTTGACAGAATTTTGATCTCAAATTATTTCAAAACACTCACGGAATCTCTCCGAATAATTTGAGCAATCAAATTTAATAATTGAAAAGTTTATTCACCTTGTTTATAATTTGTATCTAAAGATTATGTAACTTCCACAATTTTCTATATCTTTTTATATCTTGGTCGTTCTAGCCCTCAAGAAGACCTGCGAAGTGGGGTCGAAACGTTGGTTTTAAATAAAATAGTTTTCCACTAATTTAGTCTTTTATGACCGCCACCCAGGACCATTTAAATTACCTTCCTCTAAATTACACAACGGTCAACCATTAACTATTCAATAATTATCGTTATATATATAAAAAAAAATTCCTTCGGACTGAAGCTCCCCCAAAATTAAATCCTTTATCTGCTAGAGGAATGAGAGTAGCAACAAAGAGGGTAGATAAAGACATATATATAACTTACGAACGCAGGGACGAGAAATAATAAAAAAAAAAAGGAAAAAGCGAAAGAACACACTCAATTGCTAACAAGAGACAGCCACTATTTCCTATAAAATTCTATATATATAGTATTAGTCTGTGTTTACCTTTCATAAGTAGAATTAAACACAATATTGGCTCATCACTAACAATAACTCCCTCCCCTTCTTGCTATTTTATGAACATCCTTCATAAAATAACTTAACGGTAACATAAAATAACAATAATCGATAAAAAAAAAAAACAAATAAAGAAAAGAAAAGCTTACTACAATAACAGAAAGCCTTGACATCTTAGTTCCTATAATAAAATCTACAATACTCTAAGGAAGTAACGAAAAAATGATACTCGATATCTCGGTCCAGGAAACAAACTATTAACCAACTTAACACTATACTGCCCTTTATTCTTTTAGTGATTTTTACTCATTTATAGGTAATTTCAAATTTTCTGCATGAACGATCCTCCTTTTCTTGGGTTCATCTAGACTCTGAATTGTGAGGATATTGTGTTCTCGAATTACAATTACCTAGAATCACCCAGTAGGTGTGTGCTCAGTACTATTCCTTATTGTTTTCCTTTCCTTTTATTATTTCCGGTTATGGGACGACAAAAAAAAACGAGTGAACTTTAACAACTGAATTTCAAGTCCCGGGTTTCGGAATCGCCTACGAACGTACGGACGAGAAATAATTAAAAGACAGAGAAAAGGGATGCGAAAGAACACACATAATTTGTATTGCTTCCAAAAAACTGATTTTATTTCCTTTATAAACCCCTATATATAGTAATAGGCTTTGTTTACGTTTCCTAGGTTTTTAGGATCTTCGGATTAAACAAAGTATTGACTTAACCCTAACTTATACTGGATGTTTCGTAATTGCACGGCACTAGGTTTGAGTTATATAGTAAGATGAACTTTTTTTGTTATTTTGTGTTAGAGAACAAATACCTAAAATAGTGCCGAGCAATTACGAAATACCCTGTATATATGTGTGTGTAATATATTTTATTTATGGTGGAATCTTTAGCAAGCAGTGGTGAAAATAACATATTGTGATTAAACTAAGACAATATTATTTTATTCAGTTAAATTGGCCTCCATACCCCGATTTAACTTTTCAACACTTGGAGGCTCAGCAGCAGACTCACTAACTTCAAGTTAATATTTAACATTGGTTAATATTTTCATAACTAAATCTACATGTTCAATTATACTTACAAATGACCGACTTCATGGGCTGCAACAATAATGCCACTGAATCCACCCGTGTCTTCTATTATAGCTACGCTGTTGACTTTTTCAAGTCGCTTGTTTACCACGCATGCGCCACCAACATAAGCAAATCCTGCAAATCAACATAATTTATCTTCAACATAATCAATTGGATGAAAATAAAACAAGAATTAGATACATGCTGCATAAGAAAGAAATGGACTTGGAAAAACAGGTGTGAAGTGAAACTGCCATATCCAGTTAGACACGAAAACAATCTTATGCCCTAAATGGTCATTAAGAATAGGATGGTAGCTTCTGAAGAGGTAAGACAAATAGAAAAAAGTAACAAGCGTCGTTTGTAAATAATTGGTCAAGAATAACGAAAAACGCCCCGAAATAAAAGATCTGGAGAGTACATTAGATTTTTTATGCCGTCTTATGGAAAATTTAATTCAGAGAAGAAAATATTCTATTACTTTTTTTGCGAAATTCCCTTTTGAAGAATTTTATGATGGAAAATAACTAAAAAAAACAAGCAAATTTACGATTTAAAATTTAAAATTATAAAGATATAATAAAGATCTTTTATTCTGAATACCCTTATTTTGTGTTTATCTAGTAATGCTGTATATTTGGACCCAAATAAAATTGTTTTGTTTATTTAAATTTCTGAAAAACACTTATATATGTTTGTGTGTGTGTGTGTAGTCCTCATAAGGGGGCCCCACTTCAGACATTAGCTGAGGGTCCCAAACGGAGCCAGACAAGGCTTGCTTATGGATTATTAAAATTTTTATTCTCCATATGAAATAATGGTAACAAGAATTCGAATCCTTATGTAGTGCCGAAAATCGCGTTAATGCTTGTAATTCAAGAATCTGTGATGAGGTTGATACACTGTTTTTACAATCACAGAATAAAATTTAAAGAAAGAAAAATTATCTTAGGTATGTCTTTGAAATAATACTTGCTGTATGTATTCTTTACTCCACAACTTTTTTTTTTTCTAAATATCACAAATTAAATGTGAGTAAATGTGCGTTTTTCATTACAGGATATGTAGAAAATACAAGGTAGATGAAAAATAAATTTGATTCTGGGTACACTGGTGTGTTTTTTATTATTTTAAACTGTATACTTTTGAATGCTATACCCTCCTTCATCCTTAATGTTTAGTGTTTAAGTACTACCTAAAATGGGTACTTGGCTATTGGAAATATAATAATACAATGAAACTTAGTAATCTGAATGTCCATTGTCAGATCGATGCATACATCTAAAATGTAACTACACTCCTTTGCCTTAGGAATGATACGTTCAGAGATAAGATTTAATTATGGCCCTACACTAATTTGTTAAGGATAGTTACAATTTGTTTAAAGATTTTTTATGAAATTTATTTTAATAAATTGCTATAAATACCTCCTTGACAAACATATTTTTTTATAAATTATAATTATCAATTCTTGATTAATTAATGTGGGTAAGATTATTTATCTTAATCCATGAAATGGTCAATGGTTGGTAAATGCATCCAGATTAAGTTTTAATCTTTGAATAGAAATTTCCTGTTTCTCCAAGACCCATATTATTAAATTTTAATACAAAACAGCTATAATTATTAATTTGTAGATTTAGAAAGACTTATAACATCCAAAAACCAATATTTCAAAGTATTATTTATGTTTCAATTTTTGAAAATTTAATGATAAATTAAAAATTAAGTAGATGAGTTGTTGACTGTGTTTCTGAATATTACTTTGATATAATATATATTTGAAGTCAGATATTTATATTCCAGAAGCACACTCACTTTGGATGAAAGTGGAAAAATAAGATACAAACATTAGTAAATTAATAGGCATGCAAATAGACAGAGAGACTCTTGTCAGATCTGAGTCTTCAGCCCAAGCTTGCATGCTAGTTAGTGTAGTTACTTGCTGAAGATGGAAGCAAATGAGAGGACTGAAACATATTTTATTCCCTTTTATAGTGTTTCTTACCTCAAGGTGACCTTTGCTGGTCCATGTGAGAGTGTTACAAAAAACAAAACAAAAAACAGACAAACGTTTAGAAAAGATAGAGAAAATAGATAAACAAAAAGAAATTGAAGAAATACTAGTACTGAACTTTTTTTTGAACAAAGGATTGTTAGCTAGTGAGAAGCATAACTTTTTGGAGGATGAAATATAAAAACCAATATTTTAATATAATAATTCATATAAAAAAACATTAAAGTTTGGACATGATAATGAAATGCTAAATAAACAAATATACTATCACGGGCAAAAGATATAATTGTTATTAACTTAATTAAGTGTGTATTTAACAAGTATATATACACATACATATATGTGTATAAGAGTACACGCCATATCTTAAATGTAGACACTCAACTTCACATAATTATAAAGAGTTTGATAGGTCAATACTATTTTAAACGTGTGCTAATATTAATGAGTAATAGTTGATCACAAATGCTACAGAATAATTTATATAATGTAGGAAATGTTGTCTATAAATTATGAAAAATATACATTATTTTTTTTTTAAATTGATTAAGTCTTTTCAAAGTATTTATTTGATTACCAGTAGCACAGCTAAGGTCTAATATATCCCTAGGCCAACAAAAATTTTAATCATTTAGTGTTTATCACCAAATATTAATGTAATAAAGGTGGAGAAATTGAATTTATAACAATTGAAGAGTAAACTAATTTAAAACAAGAGTAAAATAGACCGTCTTAGAGCCTTAATTTTCAAAAAAATTTCTTCTACATAACTTTTCTAAATTATACTTTGGGGGTTCTATATTTCAATTCAAATATTAATAAATAATTTAACTGACTGGTCTCTCATTATTTGACATCCCTGATAAAGACATGAAAAGAATGTCGAAATGTAGGTACACAACACATTTAAAAATCCCACTGATTGGTGTCTTCTAATTTCATTATACACCCTACCAACTGCTCCATTAATTAAATATTTTAAATGGAGGTCTAATGATATCTCCTTATGACCGACCTATTTATTGTGTATTTTTATTATTGTCATTATTTTTTTTAATATTACTTAAAGGAAACTATTTCTTTTTTCAAAAATGTAAACAATCAACTTCAGAATTTTAATAAAAGACTCTTTTGATTCTTATTTTATCTTGAAAGGAAGAGTATAAATTAACTTAAGATTTAAAAATATTTATATTTATTAAATAAATAATATATAATATTTAAGCACTAAATTAAAATTGAAACCATCTTTTATATAAAAATTTCGCTAATGTTATCTTGATTTTTCATACCCATATCTTTTCCTAAGTTTCTATTTGATTTTTCATCTAAGGAGAAACATAAACAATATATATAAAAGCGTGAATATCCAATTACTCAATTACTGCTCAATTTTTATTCCAAAAAAATATCTAAGTTAAAAGAAATATTAACCATAGTTTATAATAATTACATTGCATATCAGTCCAAAGATTATCAGATAATTTAATATAAATTGTGATGATTATTATTTCGCAAATTAAAAAGTCTATTATGCATTACAATTAGTGTTGCCCAAATACGAGACTGAGACGAGTCTCGCAGCAGTCTTGCAGTTACTTATTAGCTTATTACTATAGAGATATTACTGTAATTTTTTAGGTAGGAAAAACCTAATTAAGCCCGAATGAAAAATTAGGGGAGTTAAATGCAAAAGTATATTGGTTATACCAATTATTAACATATAGTAACTAAGATTGTCAAGTATTTTGCCTTAATTTTTAAATAAAAAATAGATTTTCTTTACCAGTCCTGGTCTTTCTTGGTCTTGTAACGGTTTGATGGCCTTGGTCTTGGTCTGGAAAGTGCAAGACCAAGACCGATTTTGGGCAACACTAATTACAATTGTTATTTTGCTACAGTTATTCATTTTCGTTACAATATAAAACGCTTTTTTATTTTTATATTTGTATTATTGCAATCAATATTGGGTGACGTAGGAGCAGAAAGGAATATATTCAAATAAAAAAAATGAAGTCATCCCTTAGACTATCCATTTCTATTATAGTTTTACTTTCATTTCCCACAAGGTTCACATTACTTTAAACAATAATTTAATTATAGTGGATAGATCCTCCATAAAGTCATGTTCCAACAGCTAAATTTAAACATATTTTTTTCCATGAACCTCACCTGCTGTACCGCGGTTGCAAGCCTCCGAAGGAAACTGCCTCCTGCACATATCTAATCTGGAACAAGCGTTTTTAGTGTCTAGTTAATGTTAATGTCCATACATGCATCTGTACAAATTAAGAAATTTAATTTTCGGGAAAAGGGAATAGGGAGGGGGAATGCTCCGCAGTCCATCTAATGATAAATTATAGGTTTCAGCCATTTCTCTTGCATTGGCAGGCTTTGTAACCATTCAAAATTGGTCTCCAATTGGAAATATTCTTACCGGCAGTCCCTTTGGTGCAGCGCCCTCCTTTGCGCCTCCTGCACATGTCATATCTGTGGAAAGAAATAGAAAGGTTTGGGTTTGTTTGATGTTAAAATATATCACCATCTTCATCTCTTATTATGCGTCTGCCAAAGTTAGTGAAGATAACTCAACTGAAAGAACATCGATATGGTTCACATCTCATAAAATAAAAACATTGAAAAGAGATGTTATTTATAACTTAAAACGGCGAAAATAAAAATAAAAGCTTAGAAACAATGTTATTAACTATTCTCGTGGAAAATATTAGCTGCGGGCACAGTATATTATTTCCATTCTTGCAGAGAATCAAGCCAGCGCGGGACCTTTAGCAAATGTTACCAAGAGTGTCTAGGTTTTATACGATGATAAAATAAGTCAACTTTCATAAGCAATTTTTCCTCAATTTAATGTGAACAGATTTAGAGATAACACTTATCATATAAATGTCTCTAAATAAATTACATTCAATGTTTATTAATGTAAAATCACTTAGAAGATCTTGTCCTATCATGTTCCTTAACCCATATTTTGCACACTTTAATGTCGGAAAAGAACATATTTTGACCGGTTTTTGAAGTTTTAAGGGGGACAAAGTTCGACGGGGTTATGAATTTTAGGACTAAGGAAAAAGAGAAAACCATGGAACATAACACAGCAAGCATAATTGTATATGAGCTAAGATTTTTCCAATTCTACCTTAGCTGCTCTGTTTTTAAGAAAAAGTAAGCAATAAAATATCTAGAGTGGAGGGGGGGGGATAGGTTCTTTAGCACCCCTGCCTTAAGGTATTAACATCCGTCGCTAATCCGGCTCTCCTTTTATGTTTTCAAGTCTCCTAGGATAAATAAGCGCAAGCCAGTCATTATTCTGCTTTATTTATGTTTTCAATAGAACATAGAAGTTGAAATATTAGCTGTCCCGATTTTCATCTCAGAAAAAGAAAATAAATGGGTACACCACTCCATGCTCAATGGTTAACTAAAAAAAATTGAACTATGGACTGAGAGGTGGTAGAAGCAATTTTTAATATTATTTCCGTATGGCAGAGAGATATTTTAATGAATTATTTCAAATGGACACATTTCGGCATTACAGTGAGGACAGGAAATCAACATATCTCTAACAGAACGTCTATCGTTAAGATCGAAGTAAGTGCTAACTAATGACAATCTATGCATTTATTTTTCATTAAAAACTCAAACTATAGAAGTGTTCGTAATCGAAGTTAATGTCTGATCATTTGATTATTGCAATAATTTGAGGTCTCGAATACTTCCTGGAGTAACGATGAAATAAGTGGTCATTTGGCGGCATAAATAGGGTGCTATTTGAAAGAAGATAAAGGGATTATTGGATTATATCTTCGAGCAATTATTCGATGAATAATAACTACTTGAACGAATCAATGAGGTTATGCCAGGAAATGATGTGGCCAACAACTGCATTTTGTTTTCTTTTTTCTAAAAAAATGTAAGACCAACATTTGATATTACACAATATAATCACAAAAACTACCCCACTCTATATAAACAGCTAAGTTATACAAAACTAAAATTAATTAAAAGTATTTTCAACTCAAATAGTTTTGTCCAAAAATAAATGCCATATACTTATTATTAAAACAATAAAATATTATACATGACACTAATATCTATAAGTCATCCAAAACCTAAATATTCAAAAACATATATATGGCTCTGCTTTAAGAGCACCCAACCGACTTATTTCGGTATCTTGTACATTGCCAACTTATAAATGAATGAACCAATATGTTACTTATGATCATTTTCCATTTGAAATAAATTCCTTCTTCCTATTCACATTTGTATTTATATATATATAAAACTAGGCAACTAATATATTAATAATAACATTTTTTTTATATAAAACCATGGTCCTCAAATAAGAATCATCATGTGGTAACCTAGAGGCACTCAGGAAGTACACCAAGAAAACCAATTCAAGCTTTCACCAAGGCTTAAAAATTAATTATAGACTATATTAATAATATTAGATTAAGTACTAAATACCGTTTATGATTTTAAAAATACTTTTCATAACACCCTTAAAAAATCTCGTGTCGTGCTCGCATCACACAACTTCGCTTACCATTCTGCCTTAAGTAGAAACTCATTTATGCTCAAATAGGCCTATTTAATATTTAATTATTTTAATTTATTAACATAATTTAAAGTTATTAAATTAAAGTAATTAAATTATTAAGTTATGATTACATGTTTTTCACCTGTAAAAAACAATAATTGAAAAATGCATTATTTTAGAATATTTATTACATGTCATTCTTGACGTTTCGGGGTTAACACTTCCCCATCTTCAGGTCAGTTCATTGTACTAATATTCTAATGTAATATTTATTGTACTGATTTTAATTAAAATATTAAAATCAATTACATTATAAATAAATTCATAATCAATCTAGTCTATATTTTATTCAAACTACGCTAAAGTTTAAAAAATATACCTTTTTGTCTTATTAATATGTTTAATAGATCAATGTGTGAGGCCAATTTTATTGTCCCATTGATATAGACCAGATTTATTATTAGTTTTTATTGTAATGTAATTGATTAAACAAGGCGAATAAAACTTATGAAGATTGAAAAGAATACGTGTATAATGGAACTAATGTGAAGGAACATATAATAAATATTCTTATTAAAGAGTGAAATAAGAAAGCACTGTAATCAGTTATTCTTATATAAATTTATAATTAAGAGTAGATATTATTCCAATCAATAAATAATTTAGAGATTATAAAATTTCATTAAACATTAATTATAACTCCAATCTAAGCCGAAATACTATTTATATCCCACTGAACGTAACTCTAAGAACTAAAATAAATAAAAGTTAAGCTTTTACGTTAAAAGCTAGAACTTTATTACAAAAAAGTTCCCTAGAACTTTTATTTTAAAAGTATTTTTTTTTTCAAAATTTTTTTACAGAAACTGTTAAAATGGAACTTTAAAAAAAAATTCAACCTTCAACTGGCTTTGATTGTATCAATACAGTCAGTATTGTGGCTTTAGTGGGTTGAAATTTATTTGATAAATCACAGAATTAACATATCGTTAGTCATTAACTGTTTGTTATTATTGAAAAAGTACGGTATTTGAACATTATATGTACTATGAACACACTCATGCATATATACTTGCAGTGCCAACCATAGGCGCAGACTTTCGATTTTGATTGAGGGAGGGCGAAGGACAAAATATATATATAAATACACACATATATATATATATATATATATATATATGGCGGGAGTTTTTATTATGTATTAAAATTCAAAATAATTCTTTTGAAACGAACAAATATAATATTAAATGTTTAAAATTAATTTATTTATATGTTTGTATCACTGAAAGGATATTTATTTATTTAAATTTTTTAGTTTTTTTTATTATTTATATATATATATATATATATATATATATATATATATATATATATATTAATCTAAACAAATACGTTATATATTCAAGGATATATACATATATATATATATATATATATATATATATATATATATATATATATATTAATCTAAACAAATACGTTATATATTCAAGTATATATACACATATATATATATATATATATATATATATTTTTTTTTTTTTTTTTTTTTTCCCTACGTGGTAACCCCACACAAGGATCGTTTATTTGATTTTCCTTCATGCTCCATGCCTTAAAGACATACTACATGAATTACATTTGTTTACAATTGTTTTTTTTTCTAGTTTTACATGATATACATTTTTAGTTCAAATTTATATACATTAACAAACAAAAATACAAAGAATAAACACACAAAAATTAAATCGGAAAATTAAATATTAAACACACAAAGTCAATCCAACAAAGCCAACAAGAAATCACCCACGCTGCCCATCCCTGGTTAGTAAGTCGAAGTCGATCGATCTAATAAATCTAAGAAAGTCTGTCTTGAATTCAGTAAATAACTTTTGTTCCGTCTCAGGCCAATTTCCACTTTTGATAATTATGCTTTTTATTAACTCAAATCGCTGTCTATCAAATTGTTTACATTCATATATTATATGTTTAAAATTGTGAACCTGTCCGTCTCCATCGCAAAGTCTGTTTGTATAATGTTGAATCTTTTAAGATATTGTTTTGTATTCCCATGTTCCGTAAGTACTTGCGTAAGTTTGTAGTCATTACTGTGAATGTGTCTGTAATTGTGAATTGAAATGTGTGGTATAAATCTGTATAAGCTTGGTGACTTAGCTGAGGTCACCCATATGTGATCCCATCTTTTGATGAAATCCAACTTTAAATTCATCTTAATATACGATAAAGGAGCTTGATGATACGATGGCGGCAAATCGCGTTTAGCTGCTTCTTTTGCAAGGCAATCGGCTCGTTCATCGCCCTCAATCCCACAATGTGCTTTTACCCATTTTAGAGTCACTACTTTCCCTTCAGTTCTCATCATTAACAATTTGTTTTTAATTTGGTCAGTCAAGTAATCATGAATGTCCCAATTATTAACAGAGTCTAGCAGAACTTTGTTGTCTGTATTTATAGTAACGTGAGTGTTCGTTTGTAGAGGGTAGTCATATATGTATTCAGTCACCTTTAAAACAGCGAATTTTTCTGCCTGATTATTTGAGCAATATGATTCTAATTTATATTGATGTTCTATATTCCTACCATCTTGAGCTCTGAACAACCATGCACATCCAACATTCTCGCTGTCCTTACTACCATCAGTGAAAACATCAGTATTTTCAGAAGTAATTTTTGTTCCAGTCCATAAACTTGTTGCAGGGTGTAACCAAGATTTACAGTCAGTGATTCTTTCTATTTTGTCCAGGGTCAGGTCTTTGTATCCTCTCTTTCCTTTTCTAATGTTATATAAGGTCGTTCGTTCTTCAATCTTCATTTGGATTGGCAACAGCCCTGCCAATAATATTGTGGCCTCGAATGATAGTGTACGATAGCCCTTACATATCTTAATCGTAATTAACCTCTGAAGCCTTTCCAACTTCACCAAATTTTTCTTACGTTCAACGGCCGGATGCCAGACATGCACAGCGTAGAGCATCTTAGGAAGTACAGCAGCTTCATAAATTTCCTTTAACACTTCCGATCTGAGTCCCCATGTCGCTCTTGCAGCCACTGACAGTCCATTTATAATCCTTAAAGTGTTGTCATATAGATTATGTCTGTTTCAATTCAGTCAAAGAGAAGCCCCAAATATGATAATGTGTCACATTGCGTTATTCTTACTGTATTTAGTCGAATGTCCAATTCTGGTACAATTCTCTTTTTTGTGAAGATTATATATTTTGTCTAGTCTAGATTAAATTTAAGTTTGTTGCGTCTAGTCCATTGTCTCAGCCTTGATAATGTTATGTTTGCTATTGTCTGTAATTCATCGAAATCTCTTCGTTTTATAAGTAATAATAAATCGTCTGCGTATGCTAATAACGTTAAATTTTCTTGTAGGTCTATTTCGATCTAACAGTATTTATTAAGATGTTCCATATTATAGGTGATAGTGCCGATCCTTGAGGAGTTCCCAGCGTCAATTTCTTGTCAATATAATGAAAGTTTGTTTGGATTGCAAGTTTTCTGTCAGAAAAATAATTTTGAATGATTTTGTATATGTTTTTTGGACATTTATATTTCTTTAGATTATTTAAGATCGCAGGCCACCAGGCGTTGTCAAAGGCACCCGCGATATCCAAAGAAACAACCAGTATATTACTATTTTGCCGGAGTGTACTGGTGATATGGTCGTTCAATTCACTGAGAGCATCGTCAGTTCCTGATTGGGGTCTGAATCCAAATTGGTGTCGGTGGACTATATCTATATTGTTACTAAGTAGATGATGCATTAATCTATTTTTTATTATTTTTAAAAAAAAATCTGCTCATTACAGGAAGCATACTTAGTGGTCTCAGTGAAAATGAATTAGCCTTAGGAATCAATGTTAATTTACCCACCTTCCAGCTTTTAGGAAATTCATTTCTTTTGAATAAGGTTTTATAAAGTCCAGTTATCAATTTTGGAAAGGAATCAGCTATCTTTTTTTATCATTCTTGGGTCAATTTTGTCTATTCCTGGTGCTTTCTTGTCATCTAATTTATTAATAACTTGTAATATTTCAAAATCCCGGATATTAGTGTCATCGTCATTATTAGGCGGGATAAGTATTTCTGTTCTCATTTGTCTGTGTTCGTTAGTGTCATCACTTGTATTGTCATCTTTGATTATTTTATTTAATATATGAGATAATGTATTCTTAGTGTCTGTTGTGTATGTTCCTAGTTCATTCAAAGTGGTAGTGAGTAAGGTTTGAGGTTTTATTTTATTGGATACAAACTTATATGGCTATTGCCACGCCTTTGAAGCAGTAGCAAATGTCTTTCAGGACTTTAATTTGGAACTTTTAATTAGCTTTTGATATGCTTGCCTACTTTTGAGATCGATCACTCTCCTTTATTCCCTTAGTCCTTCGTCTTTTGTCCGCTGGTAATTTCTTCTTAGATGATTTGTCTTCTTAGATGGAACTGATCTTTTTCTAGTCCGACCTTTGAAATGGCCGGATCTTTTGAATGCTATATTGCAAGATTTTACGATAGATTTTATCATTTTATTTATGATAATATCAATAGGCATAATAGAAAACTCATTAAGAAGCAGCTTTTCGGTCTCATAAACTGTCAATTCCTTCTTATCAGTACAATGTTGAGATAAAAACTTTTTTTCTAACTGATGTATTAAGTTAGTCAAGAATTTATTCCAATCACCATTCTCTGTCAAATTTATATAGTTTTTTTCTAGCACTCCAGTTTTATCATTTCCCTGTAAATGTAACTCATAAGTCAAAATGTTGTGGTCCGAAAAGTTTGTTTCTCTAGAAATTGTCCAATTTTTTACAAGATTATGTCTAATCAGTTTTGTATTAGATAATGTTAAATCAATATTACTACTGCCTCGCGGCCCATGGAAAGTCATTAGTTCGGAATTTATATTCATTAAGAACAAATCTTTCTCAACAATAAAAGTTTCCATATTTTTACCCCTTTCGTTAGTTTGTTTGTCGAACCAATATTTAGATCTTGCATTGGAGTCCAATCCAATAATGATATTAGAATCTTTGAAATAATCCAAAACGCGTTCTATTTTTTGTAAATCCAAATTTATGTTTCGGGTGATATCAAAATAAGCACATATTATTATACATTTTAATTCACTGTATGATATTTCTATGCAAACAAAATCACAATCAGAATGTTGCAATATCATGCAGGCATCAATGTTTTTATTGGTCACAACGACTCCAGCCCTGGGATTGCTTCCTATTGTTTGAAAAACCATATATATATATATACTTGAATATATAACGTATTTGTTTAGATTATACACAAGTAGGAGGGGAGACAGCCTTCATAACATTTCTAGAACTTTTTCAGCTAAAACTAAATAATATAAAAAAAAAAAATTGAATTAAAAAAAAAACCACTACACAAATTGGGAAATTCTATCCACCCTAAGAAAATGTACATCTACATCTACATATACATCCTGGTAGATTGACACGGAAATTGACATCAATTAATATTTAAACTTGGAGTAATATTATCTTTGAATATAAATGAGAGTTTAAATAAAAGTAACATTTAGGTATCAACAAAATAGTTACATACCTACTACTAATTCTTAGCCTATCCAGCTAGTCGACTTTTCTTAATCGGTTTTAATTTAAACATTTTATTCATTCATGTAGCTTAATTATTATTGATTTTAATTTTTTTTAGCTCATATTATTGGAGGAGGGGGCGAAACAATATTCTCGCCCCCCCTCAACATCTATATTATGGTGGGGAGGGAGGGGGCGATTGCCTATGGTGCCGGACTAAGGACCCGAGAACCGGGGCGCCTAGATGGAAAGGGGCACCCACCACTTGTTAGGAATTTAAAAAAAAGTTACAAAGCATATGAGAGTAATTAATTTTAGCTTATTAATTAAGCAAATTAATTAAATACATATTGAATAAAACAAAATTCATAAAATAATTACTTAATATTAAACACTTAAAAAAATTAATTAATGTTTTGGGTGGAGATGATGTCATTCTCCGGGTGGCACCAAATGTCTAAATTATACACAGTCGCAGTATTTACACGACAGTTAGTATCCAAATATATTGCAGTAAAATATTTTTGTATGTATATACAGCGAATTATATTTAACAGAAAACATATTTTTTAATGAAATAGTCTACTTCTTAGAATAACTTATTAAAACAAATAGAAGTGAAGGCTCCGTTATGACTACTACATATTATCATTCATAAAGCATTAATATTCTTGTTTTATGACTCACTTGGTGATGCTGACTGCTATGTCATACACTGGCAATCTTCTTTCACGAAATAGGTACTTGCCCATGTCAGTGAGAGCGGCAGCAGAATCTATACCATCCCGCCCCACTCTGTTCCTCTCTAGGTACGGCGTTGCGTCCCTTCCCTGCAACCAAAACCAATATTTTTAGGCGGCAGCTCATTCTGTATTCTGACAAAATACAATTATGTCTATGTCAAATAGGTCAATGTCAATGTGTGAAATCAATTTTATTGTCACATTGATCTCTTAACCAAAGTATTTAGAAGGTTATACGTATATCTATGTATTTGTATGTATATATATATAATCATACGCTTTTAATATTTGTTTATGAGAATCTCATACCTGTTAGTATCTGGTTTGGGTATTCCTATCAAATGACATAAATTAATTGCTTATTTTATTAGTTGTTTCATAAATTAATTGTTTTGTAAAATGTTATGTTTAGTTTGACCCCTAGATCGTTACCTCCAAAATTATTTTCTTATCTGAGTACAAATCAAACATTAAATAAACGAAAAATTATTCTAATAAATGATGTATAATTAAAATTTTTAATAAACGATAATGAGAATAGTCAATTAAAAAGTAGGTAAATTTAATTTGTATTCCAATAATTCCCGTCTTATTCTTGGTTATTTGTGAGGGAGTAAAATACTGATACCCTTCCAGTAGTGGTTACATCTTTTCTATTCCTCTAACATCGTTGCGGCTCTCTTTTCTGTCACCTTCTCTTTTTTCCCTACTCTAGCGGCTTTCTATGTATCTAGCGGTGCGCTAGAAGTCCGATCTCTTGTATATATCAACATTATTTTTGAAAATATCTTTTTTTATTCCCACTAAAACGTTCGGCTTGACACTCGAAGGAGCAAACTTGATACTTGATCTTATGATTTCAAAATTATATTCATGAACAAAAATATGTAAATCCTTATATACTATTTATTAAGAGTGCTTTTGAAGCTCGTATGAACTGTAGCCTGTCAAATGGAGAATATACTGACCAAGGTGTAAGTTGTCTCCATCTTTGTTAATTCAAAGAGTTTAGAAAATTAACCTTTCATTACAAATAATTCCTTTCCTCGAAGAAGTCGATTGTAATGTTCTTCCATAGATTCTGAGGTACATCACTGTACTCACTTTATATAGCCATGAGGTTCTCGAAAGAATAACAGTCCCCTTCTTTTGTATCCTCTATTCTCAACTGAAATTGAGATCTTGATGTGGGTTGGTCGGGATTAATAAAATTATTACTACTTAATTAGATTACAATTGGCGAACTCGAGCTCGCTGAAGGAATAAATAAAAATTCAAAGGGTGATTCCAACGGGCAGCTTTACTAAATATGGATCCTCCTTTTCAGTGGAAATAGATCATTTTGGATATTCGATTACTATATTAATAACAATAAATTATAAGCAGAATGAATGAATGGACATGGGTTTAAACACACGTTGTAGTTATATTATCTGTGAAATGTTACTGGAGATAGTTTAGAGACGGTAATGAAAAAGATTTTGGGCGTGTGTAGTTGGATAAGATAGTGGCTAGAGAATGGCTATTACATCCCTGCGAGGTAAATGCTTATGAACATTAACTGAATTAGCTTAACATAATAATTTTCGACTTTCTTCTAGATGTCAGCGGTAATACATGTCCACCAAATAGTGTTCAGTTCTTCAGAAATATATTTGGAGACTCTCTAATGTATTGAATGTAAGCTGTTGTCTGATAGTTAGATAGGACATGCCATTACCGGCCTCAGGGTGGGGCAACTGTCGGGGTGCCGTTCTTCAGGGGCGCTTGCCACTTTTTGGAAATTTTAGCTTATTAATAAAGCAACTGTATTAGAGAAATATTAAATGAAATAAAATTCAAATAATGCATAATATAAAACAGGTTTAAAAATAAATTAAATTTTTTAGAGGAAGGAAGATGATGTCATTGGCCGGGGGCGCCAAATGTCTAAGGCCGGTAGATATGCTACCTCTATCTCTCGATCATGCCAGTTTTTTATACCATTCCAATGGAAAAATATATTAATCTCAATTAAAAAATATATGTATCTCATGTTATGTTTTTTGTTATTATAAATATGTAATAAGCTATTTTCATATACATTTGCAGTTTGTTAACTTTTTTTTTTAAATATTGTAAATCAGTTATAATTTATATAGAATCACCTATAGCTGTTTTATCTGTTATTAATTAGGCAAATTGAAGAATATGTCCTACTGTACTCAGAAACTAAATATTAGGAGCATGCGGGAGTCGGAGAAGACTGCATAAGCCCTAAAGAATTGGCTGCAAACATTCAGAATTGGAGAGCCATAAATGAAAGGTGCTTTACAGTGCAACTAAAATGACAGAAAACACACAATTATTACTTATGGTCCCAATGACAATGCCAGTATCAGAGGAAAAGTAACTTTCTTCGAAGAACTACAGAAAATACTGGATGATAACAAAGGAACCCTTAATATTATGGGTGACTTCAATGGTAGACTGGGTAGAGACATCAGCGGGTGGCACGAAGCGATAGGAACACACACGGAAAAAATTGGGTATGAACAACAATTGGAAAAGGATTTTGGATATCTTCTTGACAAATGGTACGATTGTTGAAAACAGCCTTTCCCTCACAAAGAAATTCACAAAATTACGAGAGCAGAATTCGCTAGAAATGAAAAATCAATTATAGATTACTTTAAGTCCCATTAGGTTCCCAAAGAAGAACTAATAAGAACACGAGACGTTAGAGTCAAGAGATGAGCCGAACTGGAGACAGATAATATGATTCTGAAAATGAAAATGGTTCTGGATAACCCATCTATAAGGAGGAAAAGATCAGGGCCCACTAAAATATTTAAGACAAAACACTACATGCTTAAATCAGAAGAATTGGCTAAAGCATATAAAACTGCAGTAGAAGAAAAATCGGCTAACAATAAATACCTCTAGAAAATCCGAAGATATAGGGAAATGTTGGAATATAATAAAACAGATATTATTGGATGCTTCAGAGAAGGTTCGCGGGAAAACCAAAGCAGAGTAGAGATTAAAAAAAACCGTTTGGTGTAATGAGGATGTAAAATTGAAAATTAAAACTAAACTGGAAAGGAGCTTTGGAAACGTTAACTACAAACAAAAAGCCACTAAGTACTACAAAAAATACGAATAAAAGAGGAAAATGGTAAAAATCATGCAATCGAGAGGATTTTGGAAACAAGTTAAAGGATATGTTCACTAAATGCGAGGAAATAATGAATAGATGGTCTGAACACTTTGAAGAAGTGCTTAATGATAATGAGAGACAAATAACTCTAACAGAATAAAACACCCAAAGCAATGGAATCTGTCGAGAGAAAGGATGTGTTCATAGTAGAAAAAAAAATAGCAGATGCTATAGATACCCTGGCTGGTTTGCAAACGAGGGGAGAGGGATAAGCAGCTCCCATAGTCGTGTATGCCTACATGTCTCCTCCTTGTGATCAGTAAGGTCCTGGAGAACCAACCTTTAACCTTTGCTTATCCCTGTCCCCTAGTTTGTAGAGGAGTCTTAAATCGCCGATCTTTCAACTTTTGGGAAAGTATCCTCTATCCGGAAAATCATTACACATAGTGAGAACTACCAACCACTCACCCAAAGATTTCAAGAGCATCCAAGGAATAAGGCGGGGCTGTAGTCATAGCTCACTATTGTTTATATTGGTCCTTAGTCTTAACATGGTATAGGAAAGGGTGCGAACGAGAATAAGACAATTTTGGCTGGACCTTAGTGAATTAACTTCAGTTTACCACACACTCCAAGAATATGCTGATGATATAGTAGTATTCGGGATTAACGGAAGAAACGTACAATTCAACCTCAGAATCTTTTAGGAAAAAATGCAATTGATAAACTTGACGATTAACACCAGAAAAAAAAGTAATAAGGATAGGAAGGGAGGAAGAACGTGGAGACCGAATATTTCCACTAAACGGAGAGGAGTTGGAACAAATCAGAGAATCAGAAACTTCACCTACTTAGGGGCACACCTTAATGAAAAAGGCTGGATAGACATAGAAATCAGAATGATAATAAAATAGGCCGGAAAAGGCTTCCATCCACTCAAGTCTGGTTATCTGGGAAAGTAAGAAGTTCCAAAAAGGTTTAAAAAAAATAGTATATAAGACGGCATTCATACCCGTATTGGCCTACGGCAGTGAATCTTGACCTCTGTCATAAAGACATAGGAGCCAAATACGAACAATGGAGATAAGGTACTTGAGAAGAATAGAAGAAAAAACAAGAAGGTATTGGTTCAGAAATACGACAAGTTGAAGTAACTTCGAAATTAAACCGTTCGTACATATAATAAAAGAGAATCAGCTACGGTGGATTGGTCACGTTAAAACAATGCTGGTGGAAAGAATTGTCAAAACTACGTACGAAACAAGGGCTGAGGGAAGTAGGTCAAAAGGAAGGACCAGATACATTTGGGAAGAAGCAATCAAGGAGGCATTTAAGAGGAGAGGAATGAACCGGAAGAGGGGCAACCAGCAGGTACAGGATCGAGACTCTTGGATCAGGCTCCACAAGCAGGAACCCCTCACACCACTCCGCGGTAGAAAAGGGCCAGATTAAGAAGAAGAAGATTAATTAGAATCTGTGTAATACTTTGGTATTTTAGTTCTTAATATTATATTTTTAACCACAAGAACTAATCAGGAAACAGTAATTTTTTTGTTTGAGATTTTTTATTATTGCAGAGGTTTCATCCTAAACATGTGGGCCATCAGGGCTGAAACAATTTTTTAAATAACATCAGAGATATAATAAACAAAAATTGTAGTGGTAAATAGTGATGGATGATACATGAGATACTTAATGCTAAGTTACACTGACTACAAAATAGTATACATAATTAACTTATAAAATGTAATGTTTAATATTACTAACCATGTTTGCAGTATTGAAGGTGTTCAAGTACTGGCACCTAGGTATTAGGTAAGTGGGAGGTTCCGTGATTAGATATATTAAATATCATATTTTGTAAGTTGATTATGTACATTATTTTATAGTCTGAATAACTTACTATTAAACATTCCATTTCCTATCACATGTATCATCCATCACTATCTACATATACTATTTTCTGTTTTTTATGTATTATATCTCTGATGTTATTTAAAAAATTGTTTCAGCCTTGATGATGACCTACATGTTTAGGTTGAAACGTCAGTAACAATTACAAATCTCAAAAATGACTACTTCATAATTATTCATTTCCTGAGATAGGTAGTACAGTCGATCAACTTCATTCGATACATTTTTAACGATTGATAAATGTATATTTTATTTATCACATTGTGTTTTATCATTTGGTTTGTAAAAAAAAAAACATTATTTTATTTTTAATCCTTCCTCTTATTTTGTTTTAGTTCAAAACGTTTTGTGTGACATTGGCGTAATATTTTAGACTTTTATCTCATATTTTGATCAGTTTTATTATTAGTATTGCAGTCATTTTTATTATTATTTCTGTTATTATTGTTACTCATTTTTCACCAGAGTATGCTTCTGTTCCTTATTTATATGGATCTACTGTTTTTTTGTTTCTTATCTCCACTGATTATAGGATAGTATCTAGATTATTTCCTCTACGTATTTTTTATAGTTTCTACTTTTCATTAGTTTTATTATTATTGTTTCAGTATTTACAGCGTATCTCAGATCAATCCAACCTAATTATTTCCTTAACTTTGCCCCTCCTACCGATTCACTATCCCAATCGAGGATGAATAATATCCTATTATCCTTTCATGTCAACGCACAGTCACTTTTAGCCATAGATAAATTCCATGATTTCTTTCTCTAAAACCACCACCTACTTGCTGTCTCTGAAACCTGACTAAAACCCCTGATCACATCCTCTCAAGCCCTATTTGTCCACGATAGCCTGAAATCCAAAATCCTCGCTTTGTCTCCTCTTTCTTTCTCCCCACATATCGAAATATTTTAGAAAACTTAACTTTCTATCATCTGAAACTCTGACGCCTGATCTTGACACAATTCAATGGGAATCCATATACTCCTCTAACTCCATTTATTTTATGGTAGAAACATTAACCAATCATCTGCACATTATCGTGGACCGTCATGCTCCTAAAGTTAGGACAATCAAGTATCCACCAGCCCTTTGGTTGACGTCTGCGATAAAAGATTGTATTAAACGACGAGATGCGGCTAGACGAATGCTTAAGGGAACTCGAATTTCCGAACACTATTCGAAATTCGAGCTGCTTCAAAACAATACGCAATCCTACCCAGTGCCAAATCCTATTACTTTCAACAATCCCTATCCAGCACTCCAAACTCCAAAGCCACGTCGGCAATCCTCCGTAAATTATCTTTAGGCAAACCCAGACTACCTCAATCTCAGCTGACGTACACAACACTCATTTGTCTCCTGTTCCTCCTATCCCTCTTTCCAAGCACCAGTTCCACTCGTGATTTATCCCTCCTTTAATCCAAACCATTTTTTTTTTCATATTACCCCTGAAGACCTCATTAAATCCATCCGTAAATCCCAAACCAACGATTTCGGACCTGATAATATCTCAGTTAAATTAATTGAATCCTTACTTCCATCAATTTTTCCAATCCTTTATGATGTCTACAACTTTTCACTACAAAGTTCCACTTCTCCCAGCTCCTGGAAAACTGCTCTTGTTCGTCCACTGAACAAAACCTCTAATCCCACAACCCCCAATGATTTCCGTCCAATTTCCCTGTTATCTAACCTTTCCAAACCTGTTATCTAACCACCTATATGCCGACGACGCCTAAATTTATCTTTCCTTCAACCCGGCTGATTCCTCTAATGCCATCCAGAAACTGCAGCAAGATATCAATAGAATATGCGCATGGGCAAACCTTAATAGGCTCACACTAAATACGGAGAAGACAAGAGCCATCCTAATCGGATCCCCCTCACTCCTTAAATTCATTACAGTACCTCCCAATCTTCTCCTGAATAACTCACTTATCTCCTTCCATACTACCGTTAAAAACATTGGCGTTACCCTCAATCAAACCCTCTTCTGGAAACCACACATTTCCCAAATTTCTCGCCGTACTATTTCCACCCTGAAACAGTTTAACCATCTACATTATTTTGTTCCATTCAAAACACGTCAGCTCCTGGTTTCATCTCTTATTTTCCCCCACTTTGACTACGGCTGTATTGTGTATGGTGCACTACCGGGAGAACTCGAAGCTTAAACGTAAACGTCTAATGAATTGCTCAATACACATTATCTTCGGGATCTCACTCTCATATTACCCGGTTTCACACCGAGTTGAAGTGGCTTTATCCGTCCTACCGCCGTCAGTATTTCTCTGATACCTTCCTATATCAGGCTATTAGAACTCGGCGATCCTCCTGTATTCTACAGATCCTACAATTCAAATTATCATTTCAATCCCGTCCCACAAGATCCCGTACGTCCGACCTCTATCCTCCTCCTCACCGAACTGCTTCGTTTGTCAAATTCATTTTAATACGAGCAGCCTCCCTCTAGAATTCTATCCCTTCTGATATTTGACACGCAAAGTCAGTATCCTCTTTCAAATCTCTTCTCTTCAAATACCTAGTCCATTCCTAATCCGGTTGATCATGAAATGTTAAACATCTTAGTCGTAAGAATCTTAAAGTACCCTTTCTATAGTAATTGTTTCTCGGTTTATTTTATATTTATGTACTTTTTTATATATTTTCATTATCTGTACTTTTATTTTATTACTAATCCTCCTTTAAATATTTAATTGTATTTTATGGACCCACCAGGATGTTAATATATATTCTGTATTCGTAATTTGTTCTAAAGGGACACTAGTCCCAGATTAATAAAATTATTTTCATTCATTCATATTTTATGTTTTCACTGTATATTTTATGTTTTACTACCACATATTTTGCGGCAAGTATTTGACTGTTTTTTATTGTGTATAATATGGCATATTTTATTGTTTTTTAGTGCATAAAATCCAGTCTCTGGACACCACTAGAGGTTAAATAGGCATTTCCGTTTGGAGTTTTGTTAATATTTTAGATCTTACTCTGGATATGATGATGCCTGCGATGCTGATCCTCACTTTAGGGCCTTTAAGAAGTTTATATCTTAGATCAACACCATTCCAGAAGCTGATGAAGTATCTTTTGATTTGAACGTTATCGCCTCCATGCAGCCTGAAAAAAAGTGTACTTTTTTACAATGTATTGTTAATTGCTATTTTTTTTATTTTGTTGAAATAAGTTAAATTAACAACAAACAAATTAATTTATTAATAAGGATATATGTGATGGAATAATTTTTTCTCAAGTCAAAGCTCCAGAAAGTTATATAAATATGAATCATGACTGTTTAAAACCTGGCTGGTAGCTAATTATTTTATTTATCTACTGTTCTATCGGTGAGAATTGTACCATTGGGTAGCATACTTTTCTGCTGCAGAATTTGCTATCTACCCTGGCAGCAGATGATTAAAGGCAACATTTCAGAACCTAATGTAAAGAAACTGTAGCTATAGAGCTATATGGGAACTACTAGTTAGCACTAGAGATGGGCAGTACTCGATTAATTTATATGATCTGAGTACTTTTATTAGGAAAAAGTACAAAGTACTTTTTGTACTTGTCCCATCCTCAGCGAGTACTGAGACTACTCATACAGCGGTAATCATAAGTTTGTCAAGTACAGAAAGTACTCAGCCGAATTCCTCTGACAAGGGGCTGAAGTCAGTGGGGCAGTTGGTCAGCGATTTAAACCAATTTTTTTTTGTGATAATGCATCGAAAAATATTGTCATATATCCTGGCGTTTCTTTCCAATGGGTCCTAGGAGTCGAAAAAAAAAGTTTAAAATATAATTTGTGTTGTGTCTCGATTATTAGTGATCCTTCTCAAATGTGTTACCTTCCTAGTTTATTCAGTTATTATAATCACGATGTTAAAGTATAATATTGTATTTTTTTTTCAATAAATAAGTTTATAAGTAAGCTGTGTTTTACTGATTAATCACCAATCTGGACGTAACAAAGTGGCGACGAGGATGAAGACAGAGCAAGCTTATATTATGATATCAAATTTTATTGACTACGTGGAACAATGGACGCTACTCAATTCACCCATTTTTTACCACTTCAACAACAGAAATTCTTCGTTATGTTAGAAAAATTCTCATCCATGGATCAATACTATTTTTCAACATTTCCTCAACATAATGTAAGTAAATTCGGTACTTTATATAAAAACACGGGATCCTTTCGACAATACAAAGAAAGGTTTGACAACTTTTTTGCCTTAAATTTTAATAAGCATAGGGGACTGTTGTGGCTCGATTGTAGTAACGAATATTAGTGATCTTTATCTAATGTGTTACCTTCCTAGTTTGCTCAGTTATTATAATCACAATGTTAAAGTATAATAGTATAATAGTTTTCTTCAATTAATAAGTTTATAATTAGCTGTGTTTTACTGATTAATCACCAATCTGGACGTAACAATATTTATGTTATATATTTTTGCTTTGGCTTTACCCAGATTTGGAGGATATTATTATATATCAGTAGATTTTTTTTTTTTTTTTGCGGAGAAAAAATATTGATCATTGTATTGAATGAGTTATAATGTATTGTAAACTGTAAAAAACAAAAGGCGTTTCCAGTAAAGTAGATTAAATAAATTTTTGTTATGAAAAAGCATGTTAGATTGGTGCCCTTTTATACTCTTAAATACGATTTTTTATAGAAACCTAAAATTTAATACTTGATTTTCTTAAAGAATTTTTTTCTGGCCAATAACTAAAGCATTCATAACGTCTGAAGATTTTCTCCAAATCGAACGCTAGTGCAACCGTTGGAAAGCTGAATTACTTCCAACCCTCATCGATAACTTTCACATTTAATTCCTTTTTAAAATATAAATTAAGAAAAACTTCCCAATCACTTTTATTTTATATTTTTGGTTCTAATTTGTTTACGGAGGCCAGTATTGTACAATTTCGTGTAGCATATAGATCACTAAATTCCTAATCATTTTTGTGTGGAGTATCAGATCTAAGATTTCGCAATCGTGGATCATTTTTTTTTTGTAAAGTTACGAACAAGTCGATTAGTATATTACTGACAAGGGAAAATCGGAAATATTTCAATTTATCGATACGTAATCGATTTGCATTAAAATCGCTAATAATTTTAAAAAGTACACTCCTGAAAACAGTATAATAGACCTCTATGTCGAATACATCCGAATAGTTTAAATAAATCGATTTACATTAAAATAAATAGTATTTTTAAAAAGTAAACATCTGAAAACCTATTAATAGAGCTTTATATCGAATAAATCGGAAATATTTAAGTTTATCGATACTTAATATAGATAGATAGATTTTTAGAACTCTTAGAGGGGCCATAAGAAAACTCAACCGAACTCCTGAAATCAAATATAATTTTTTACCAAAATTGTTCTGAAATGTTTACTAAGGGATCAAAATTTATGTCGTAAAAAAATATTCTGATTAGTGTTTTAATAGCTTCCCAGCGAGCACAACCGATATTGTGTTTTAACCTAGGATGCAAAATGGAAAAGTTTTCGAGTATCACACTATCGGAAATATTTTTTTGCAACTTGCTAGGCTCATATCTTTTTTTTTGTCAACTTGAGGGCAAAGGTTCATTATATTTAATTTTGAGAACTCCAAGACTGAAATCCAACATAAGTTTCGACCAAAATAGTGCTGGAATGTTTACTAAGTCCGAAGGGTGAACGTTTATCTCGTAAATGGGCTCTATTTGTATGGGGAACCCCCCAAAAACAAATAAAATATTTATCTATCTATCTACTTAATATGTTTACATTAAAATCTATTCAGATGGGTTAAAAAGATGAAACAAAATTGGCACGAATTTCAGTCAAATTTTCTTTAGTGGGTTATCAAACGTTTCAACCCAAACGTGTGGGTCATCATCATGGCTATCGTTTGGAAGTCGAGACAAGAACTCAAGGAGTATCATCAAATAAATCGGTAATATTTGAATTTATCGATACGTAATCGATTTACATTAAAATCAGTAGTATTTTTTAAAAGTACATCCTTAAAATCGATAATGTTTTTAAAAACGATGTCGTTGAAAACCCAATAGGAGACCTTGATATCGAAAAGCTGAAATAAGTCTAAATTAAATCGATTTAAATTAAAATCAGTGTCGGCCTTAGGGTGGGGCGCGCTGGCCCATCTTCAGGGGCGCTAGTTACAAACTACGAAAAAAAATACAAAAGCTATCAAAATAATTAATGTTAGCCTATAAATAAAGCAACTGTAGTTAGAGCAATGTCGAGTGAAATAAATTCAAATATAAAACATCTTAAGAAATAAATACATTTTTTTTAGGGGGGGGAGGAGATAACATTATTTCCCGGGGGTGCCGCATACCTAAGGCACTGATTAAAATCGGTAATATTTTTGTAAAATGCAGAGAAGACGTTATACGTCTGACAAATACATATTTAGTTAACTGAAAAAACAGATATTTAACAAAATAAGACACAGCTTTAACTGTTATCAACTAGTTTTTGTACTAATGATAAGCCAACGATATGGTGTAGTGGTGGAAAGCAGGGTCAGTATTTCGAGTTCTACATAACCTACGTATGTAAAAACTGATTAACCAGACAGCTTAAACTGATTCACAATCATAGACACCGGCACCGGGTGACCCCATATTTCACAGAATATAATGAAATCATAAAAAAGTTCAATATATCCTTCAAGTAGCAATTATGTTATGTAATAAGTAATAAACTGATGACTGGAATAATCTTCAATGTATGGCTTTTTATTCTCCTATCCCCTCCCATGCATTAAATACTGTAATCATGTTACACGCTAACCTTCACCAATCCTCATATTGTTTCATAAATTCCGGCGCCTATGTCCACATTATTAACAAATAAAAACATACCAAACGTTATGTGTGTACACACTAATTATATACCTGATAAATACTGAGCAATAATAAGTGCAAGGTGAAAATACATCACTACTACCCTGACTTGGCCAGAAGAGGCAAGGTGGGGCAGCTACCTCCCTTCCATCGTAGAGAAATTAAAACATAAAGAGATATATAAAACAAATTTCTTAGCAATTGATTGACACCGACAAGGTAGTTAATAATTCAACATTTCATAAGAAACTATAACGAAAAAAGAGACATCCTCAACATGAAAGAAATAAAATTTCGAAAATTACCTCCCAATTTCATGCGAATTTTACAAAGCTGCTAACTATCTACGCTTAGGCATTACCATTTCTGAGATTTCAAAACTTCGATACAAATTTGGTCCGCTGCGAGCATCACACACAACTTTCACTAGTAACTTTTCTTTCAGTAGAAATTAATTTTATATGCAAAGTATGACTAATTTGTGAACATATACTTTTAGTTTGCTAAGCTGAAAATAGATTTTAAAAATATTCATACCGATTCCTGGGAAATTATTTTATTTTCTGTAGAAATATTTAATTTCATATAAATATTATAAACGTATACATTATTAAATACAACAATTATGAGTGATTCTCTAATACCTTCTCTGACTTAATCTCGAATAACGCGTTTTGTAGCAACTTGTTAAAACATGATTTCGGTTATGCTCTGTCAATCTCATCTTAATTTCGAAATCTCCCATGGCCCATCTTATCTAATGGTCCATTTGTATTCATTCTTACTATTATCTTTTATAATTGGGCCGTAAATGTTATGAAGTACCTCCATTTGGCACTCTTTAACATTATTGGTCTAAAAATCAGTATTCACTACTTCATAAAACAAGGGGTCGTAATATCTTAGATGATACATGAATAAGGATTTTAGCTCCAAGAAACAGCATATTAAAATCAATACTTAATATCACCTTACATTTTCTTTCCCTAATTATCATTACGAGAAATTGATCATGCTCTAATGTTTCTTTGAACAAAACTTTTTTTTTTTCAATCCAATTCAAATAAACTAAAATTTAAAAAAATATATTTGGCATTCTATGTGATTTTGTGGACAGGAATAGTCTTTGGATAATCATAACTGAACTGAGAGTCCCCGGTAAGTTGGTGAAATTGACAAAGGCGTGTACAAGTGATACTAAATGTCAAGTCTTAATACAAGGAGAACTATCTGAAGCCTTAAAAGTTCAAACTGGCTTACGGCAGGGAGATGGACTATCACCGATGTTGTTCAACGATAATAGAGGGGTGCATGTCGATATGAATTATAAAATTCTTGATGATGTAGAGATGGTTGACCGTGATATAATATGAGAAGGAATTGGTGGGGGGTGAGGTCAAATAAATACTTAATATTTAAAAAATAGTGTTTTAATTATTACACCGACATTTCGAACCACCTTGCAGGTCTTCATTAGGGCTACAAAAGATACAAAATATTAAAGGTACATGGTTCAAATAAAATATTTTATTTTCACCATGGATATTTTGTATCTTTTGTAGCCCTGATGAAAATCTGCAAGATGGATCGAAACGTTGGCGTAATAATTGAAAATAATATTTTTTAAAAATTTACTATTTATTCGACCGCACCCCCCCGACCAATTCCTTCTCCTATAAAATTCTTGGATACGCACATGACATAGCTGTCGTTGGAAGTAATCAACAGGGCATTGATAAACTTGCTAAGACTCAGATAAGAGAAACAGAGCAAATCGGTCTATACGCAAATGAAGATAGAACAAAATATCTGATAATAAGTCGAAATTTACAATTCTACGACCAAGCCAAGTTCTAATAAATGGATTCGGTGAGACCTGGATACTTACCAGCGATCTACAAAAAAATATGGAATGATTTGAGTGAAAAATCCTCCGCACGATTACCGGAGCGATCTGGGATCAGAGTACTAACATATGGAAAACAAAGACCAATAATGAACTGCTTACAGAAACTGGCCAGTCGATATCTGATTGTGGTATGAAGTTAAGGAGGTTAATTTGGGAGGGGCATGTAGCAATCCATCTGGAAAAATCTACACGATAATGAATGCCTCAATAGTAGACAAAATATCAAGTTGTTAAGGCGTGAAAAGGATCTACAAAATCTGTAATGCCAATAGGAAAAAAAAATGTTTTGGCTTGGAAACATTACATGGCCTTCTACGACCCGAGGCTCTTGTTGAAAAACTGCAATTGCTATTATATTGGTATTAATTTAAAACAAGTTTCAATTCGTTTACATATCAAATTCCCTGAAAATAACAGGGATAAAAAATTTCTAACTTTTGACTTTGTCTTATCTTAATTTTTGTTAAAACTAGCCATAACTCTGAACACAGCTTTGTTGTAATAACTACCTAAATCGTCCTTTGTATTTGTTTCAAATTTTATTTTATTTTAAAGTTATGTATTTCGGTATATTTATTTTTATGTTATATTAAACTTATAATTTATAAAGGAATACATAAATTGTAATGGCATCTAGTATACTTTAACTACAATCATTTTATTCATTTATAAAACTGTGTCTATAAATATTGTTCTATGTAAGAAAAATAAAAATTAAAACCGTATCGTCATTATAGAAAGTATTGTAGGTACTATAATAAAAATAATTTTCAATGAAACTATATTTGATTTTTTTTAATCCATAAACGGCCTGTTTCAGAGAAAGAAATATAGGTCTTGGTGCGCTACTGGCACTGATTAATCATGATCCATGGATGAAACCCGGTTAATTCGGTGGGAAGGATACTGACAGATTGGTCCCAAACGGATTGGCGGTGAAGCTATGGATGGTATGTCTTTTTCCCCCGTTTCCTCGTCTTTCAGGCTATATCGGGGTTTTCCGGGCCAGGAAGAGAGCAGGGGATTAATGCCAGTGTTAAAAAAGCTCTCCTCTCCCCAGCACCGGGACGCGAACTCATGATTGTTTTATCCTATAAACTTCGATTTATCAAGTTGTTGGGCAACGCATGTTTTGCACACCGTTAGACCGTTCGGCCCCCGTGGATGACCTGATGCTGCACTATATAAATCATAGCCCATTGTACAGCATTATGTAGCAACGTGAGGTTGGATGAACCCCTCTAGATTAACTGTGCTTCCGCAAGCAAAATATCCCTATAAGAAGAGCACATAGTGTGACCAAATATATATATTGGTCTACAAAGCCGAATACAAACCGAAAAAAAACTTTATAAAAAAAAATACGGTTGCATAGAATGAAACAATAAAAGTAATGGGATGTATCTAGTTTTGATTGAATTGGGAAGATATTTGTGATTATAATTATTAATATTAATGAACGCTATGGGTGGAATACGCTGTAAATGTCTGCTGTAGTTTTCAGGTTAGTAAAAGATAGTATTATGTCCTCTTTTTCACCATTTGGGAACAATGTGCGGCGGGAAGGTCGAGAAGTTGGACAGAGAATTGTGGTGATATCGACATCTAACTTTACCTCACATATTATAAGAATTAAAAAAAAAAATAAGTTAAGAATGTTTTATATTTTGAGTTGATGACATAAGTATGATCCATTGTAATCTGATCAAGGCGGTAAAGGTTCTGTAGTTTAAGGTGTTAGGCAACAGTTTCATTGGTCTCTGTATTGCTCAATGACAACCAGCCCGTAACCGTGACCACTCGTTCGTCACAATCAAGGCTCAACTGGAAAGCACAGACACATTCGTCAAGCAATAATGGCTGCTTTTTAAGTAGACTTTTTATCAATTTCATAACAAAAATAATTAATAATCATTCCCACTGCGTAAAGCGTCTGAATTTCGAACTACGAAGTGTAGGTTCAAATATCGAGCACAGTTATATGTATATGATTAATTTTGTGTATGACTTATTGGCCATGTATTTGAATTTGGGATTGGAAAAACCTTTTTTTGGAAAACGTACCAGTCCTCTTAAAAATGCGAATCACATTTTCCATTGATTCAGCCTTAATCAAGGTAGATGAGTATGTCCACATGTAGGTAATTATTTTAAATCAAATGGATACAACGAACCAGTCGAAGTGAACCACAGGTCTTTAAATAACGTTTTACTAATGATATGAACCAATTGACATTGTGGAATACAAGACGAATTTCTTAGAGGAAATTCTGAAATCGCTATTGGTATGGTATGCTATATTGAAACAGATATTCATCGCAAGATTCGGGCGTAAATATATCAACTTTTTAACAATATGTGATTTAATTCATTTCTGATCTTTGGTGTGAGTACAAAGGTCTCCTCTACGGACTCGTGTGTCTTCCTAAGCACTTTATAAAAGACACAATAAGATTCCGTTACAACATTATAAATCAGAATCGTTTGGTGATGCTAAACTAAGACTAAGGATCATTAATCCGTACAGGAAGTGTATTTGGGCCACTATGGAGAAGATACTCACCTGTAACCATCGTAGTCGACGATGACCAATATTTCGGGGTATATGACGTACGGTGCTTCTCTTTTCTGTTTCAAAGATCGAGATCGTCTTCTTCGCTTTGCCGTCAATTCTCCAGGCTCCATTAAGGCTGTCGAGAAAAAAGATAAATGATGAATCTAAAACTAATATTGGCTAATGGAAATCATATTAGTCAAAGTATATTAGTCAAAGTAATAGTATCCTAGTCAAAAGGAAAATAAATCATATATTTTGAACGATAGATTTTTTTTTTTTAATATTGTTACAACTCTTTAGTGTTTCTGAAGTCCTAACAAGTGAACTTTGTTAGAAGGTACTCTATGATTAAAAATAAATTATATAATGACATTGTATATCTATCAAGAGCAATACTTAAGGCGTACAATTATGCATTCAAGAATACTTAGGTATCTCAAGCAAAATTAATTAGTTGGCCATTTTTTAAAAATTATTATGTATTTTTTGCTGCCAATTTATCAATTTACAATTTTCGACTCCTTAAAGGTTCAATACTAACCACTATAATCTTGATAAGTTGTAATTTATTAAATAATATTACTAAAATAAGTATAAAGGTAGAAAAGAAACATAGGTGATTATTTTATAAATGGAAAAATGCAAACAAGAAAGCCATGATCCTCCAACATACAAGTGAATAGTTAACTTGCTTAAATATTCACTTTGCATGTTGAAGTCTCATGGCTTTCTTGTTTGCATTTTCCCATTTATAAAATTAAATAATATATTATTATTATAAGATGTTTTGCAAAATTTAATATATGAAATACTTACCATAGTCTGAGTATTGACCTTCCACTTTACGGTTTCTTTTGTACACAACATGATTTCGATCAACATCTTCCTTGAGTAGCCTATTTTGTTTGATTCTTATCGATTTTGGTAAGGGCTTGAGTACCAGCTCATGACCAATAGTACCTTCCTAAAACACCAAACACTTATAACCGATAAAGTTATGAAGGATGAAGGAAAATTTTTATAATATTTATTGTTTCATTATTCAAATATTTTATCATTATAATATGTCTCATTAAACATGCATAAATCTGCAAAACAACCTGCATTTAATAGAAATACTGGTCAATACCAAATTATTTACATTTATTTAGATTGATGGTCTTTCTTGGCAAATATAAATTTCTATGGGAATTCATTGACAAAGTATAAATATCGTTCTTAAAAAAAAAAATTAACTTAAATTGATTTGGGGACTGAGAGTGGGCTAGAATAAGTAGGTGTCCACCTCAGTCCTACCAACTGATGAAACTCATTAGCGAGGAAGAATCACACACTGAAATGCTCTCACATCTTCCAAAGCGTAGTGTTTTTGTCATTTTAGTCAATAACTGATTAAAACAATAATTTTTTCTTCAAGTATTATTTCATTTCTAAACAATAAATAATAGCCTTATTTCATATAAAGAATTGAAAATAATATAGATTAAAGAAGAAAACATATATACAAGAAATTAGATGAAAAAGGTTTTTTTTTTATTGTTAATATAAACAAACATTTGAATAAATTCCTTAAAGTTGTGAGTATTTTGATTAAAATTTATTTAAGAAAAACAAAATGCTTACGTATAAAACAGCTCCATCGGTTGGATCAGTATGGACAAGTAAGGCAGCTTCGTTTTGGATGTCTTGGTAGGTGTCACCAGATGGTTCCTGCAATGATTTCCAACAATCGTTAAGCTTTTCACAGTGCTACTACCAGGCTTTAATCGCTATTGTATGTTCTTACCTCGTGTGGAATCAATTGATATACAATATGTCCGCTAGAGTTTGTTGCCACTGAATAGAGTGGTACCTCAGCTTTCACCAAATTTTCGTTTTTAGTCAACTTTAAATCGAGGTCTTTACCAAAGGCTTGAAGTCGTAAGCGCTTTGTAGGATCGTCGGTTGACACTTCTCTCTTCCTTATGCTCCGCAACCACACAACTTCATATTCCGGAACTACACAATATAAATCATTTAACATTATTGAGTAAAAAATCGGAAACATGCGACTTAATAAATGTCGATTATGATAGCAACAAGCCACTTTTAAAGTATGCAGGGGCTTGGAAGGGGAGATAGGTAAAGCTGAGTAATCAGTTGATTAGCTCTATTACAATCACTAAACCATATATTCTATAATTCTTCATCAAATTTAATGGTTTGACCTTATTTCAGGTCAGGTTAAATAATAATGATTTAATCTTCTCCTTCAGGTGGGAAAAATAAGCACATCACCCAGAAAGATGAGGAAACAAGTGTTAAAGAAAAGGAAATTTTCGCGCACAACTCTAAAAATATACAAATAATGGTAGTGTTTTAGAGGTTTCCAAATTCCATAAAAAACACCATTTTTAGCAAAGCTACGGCCAATGGTATTTTGTTTTGGTTTATTATTTGAAACGAATCCCTGTAATAAAATAAATAAAAAAATTTCCCTCTTGTAAGGCATTGGATTTACTTATGGAAATAACAATCACCAATATCGAAATATTATATTCCCACTTTTTCACTGAGGAATACACTAAGCCTATTTTTCAGGCGGGCCAAATAGTATTATATTTATTATGGATACGTTTTTTTTTTAGAGTTGTTTCAAGTAAATGGCTGTGAAACATTAGAGGGACTGGCTCCCTTCATAAAATATTGAGGGGAATGTTATTTCGACATTATTATGTTAATGTATTACAATTTTCTTCAATGGAATTCAATATATTCCATTGTGAATTGCTTTTAAATTCGCAAAGTTACAGCGAAAGAGCTATTCTTTCTCAAATATTTTAATTTGTTTTCGAATTACTCGATTCATTAATCACATGATAGATAAAGATAATACCTTACTGGTTATAAAGATAAGACTTATGATAAATGCACGCGAGAAACATTAGGTTTGCGACATTATGAATCATGTTCTCTGAGGATTAAGAGTCTCTTTCGATATTTCGAAACATACCTATAATTTCTCAACAAAAAAAAAAAAAAAAAAAGAAATTAGATGAAGAAATCGTTTAGCTGTAATGGAAATTACTTTAACTTGTTTTTTATACTCATAAACACATTAAATACATAACATGATAAAGAAATTGTAGGAAATATATATATATATATATATATATATATATATATATATATATATATATATAAAATAATATGTAATTTTTCTTTTTTAACGAAAATCAAACTTGCATTAGAATAAAAAACAGCAATCGGTAATTGTTTATAAAAATGATAATTGATTGACAAAATTAAGAAAAAATAAATAAATGAATATGGAAATAGTTGAAACACAAATTAACGCATGAGAAAAATTAAATATGTTAATGTATTTTAACTATGCATGTTAATTTTTAACAACGTATTGTAAGCTTGTTTTTTAAAAACTAAGTTATAAAATTAATGGAAACTTGCAAATTTGATAAAAAAACAAAAAAAAAAAAAACAATCTTTAATGATTCCATTTAAAAACGAATGGAAAATAGGAACAAAATGTATAAAGCGAAAATGGACTAGCTTGGATGAAAATGGATTAATGAATTTATAAATTTGTTTATGAAAAATCAAATCTTTTATCGTTTGGAATATTTGAATAACATGACCTTTTTATATTAAGATACGTGTTAGAAAATTTACTGAAAATTGTCATTTTCTGTTCACAATAAACAATAGTTGCAGAAAAAAAATTATAATAAATAAAATTACTTTTTCGCGAGTTTCAAAAACTTTTCTGTCTTTGGAATAGTAAGTGGTGATCCAATATTTCAATTCAGAAGAAAACTATGCTTTTAACATACAAAATAATAACAAATATTATAGATTGTAAAGAAAGTAAAAATAAACTGAAAAAAAGAAAATCTATACTGCAATAAACCTATTACTGAAGGTTGTGTTATTAACTTTGGAAATGAACCTACAATTTTAATCTAGTATTTCATCTTTAATACAACATTCTTATTTTTTACTTTTATTACTTAATAGAAATAATTGAAATATACAATTATATGCGTTTATCATCAAATTTGATTAATTACAAGTGAGTCCACCAATTCCAACAGATCAGCTGCTTCTACAACATGCGAACAAATTGCATAATAATCCAGACTACGGTAAATAAATACGAATATTTAATGCATTGAATATTGTTGCCTGGCGGTTTTCCTCCTCAAGTTTATCCTAGGATAAGTTTCTAAAATCTGACCCGTCTCTAAATCCAAACGATACCATCGATGATGGTCTTAGCGCTGAGGTTTGGAACTTGCCCCTCCCCCCTGAACTCTGAGCTATCGGTCTTACCTGGGATGAGTAAAAACCTGTGTAAATCAAAATTAAAGTACACAATATTCTAGTTTATAAGCAAATAAAATTGCATTATTTAAATTATTCAAAAAATACAAATAAAAGACGATTTTTTTTATTACTATGAATTATGTTTATAACCATTATATTTATTTATTGACCAAATATTTATTACTGTTTCATATCATGGGATTTCTGAGATAAACTGGAAAGATTTTGATTCTTGTTGAAGAGGGATAAGTTTTGGTTGGTCACTTTATTCCGTACCGAATCCCAAATCCCCCAAAACCGATTTTTACGAACTCAAGGAGACCTTCTCTCGTAAAACTATGGAACCTATTGACTAAAATTCTTCACTCAGTTGTTTTTGAATATTTTGTTTAAGCTATTTGACTTTTCGCTGAGGATTTTTTCAGCAAGAAGAAAAATGATACGACTATGCAGAAAACAAAATGAAACGCGAGCCTCATTTCATTGATACACTTTTAAAGCGCTGTAAGTCACGTTTTATGTCACCGTTTATGAATATTTAAATTATTTTTCTCACTTCTTAACTGATTTATTGTAAGAAAAAAAAACCAAGAGGATATCATTATCATAATTTTAACTTGATATATGTAAAATTACGGTAGTTGGAAACATTCTGTCAAAAAGGAAAATCAAATTGCCAGCAAATAAAAAAGTGTGAGTCTTAAACAAATGTTTTGAACTCAACAAATAATAAGTAATCACTTGTTAACAAAATTATAAAATCAAAAATATTCGAGAAACATTGTTTAAAAAACTATGAAAGTATCAAATTTCGATAATATTTTGATATTGATATGGAACCATTCAATGCCAATTATTCCAAATAATAATGTATTACTATCAGATATGCAACTATTTGATTATTTAGAACAATTTTTTTTAAACTAACGTCAAATTAATTTACTGCAGGTGATATTTTAATGTGTGCAAAAATCAACGCAAACAAATTATACATTACCCTTAGATGGATGGTCTACATGAAACACCTTTTTCAGTTCTTCTTCTGTCATAGATTCGTGGATCTGAAATAACATTTAAAATACTTAATAAATTTAATACAGATACTATATTACATTAATGATAATAAGATGTTTCATCAAAAGATGAAATTATTTCTACCATCCGCAGCAAAAAACAATGAACCATTAAACATTCTGTTATTTACATTTATTAGTGCATTTTTCCCATAATTTAGAACGAATTTAATAAATATACAGGTTGTGTCATGAAATAATTAATACGTCAAATAGTGTTGCCCAAATGCGAGACCGAGACGAGTCTTGGTCTTGCAAACTCAGTCTTGGTCATGGTCTTGGACTTGCGCAAGAGTCTCGCAACATTCTTGCAATTACTTATTAGCTTATTACCATACAGATATTACTAAAAAATTGTTAGATAGGAGAAACCTAAGTAAGCCCGAATGAAAAATTAGAGGAGTTTAATGCAAAAGTATATTGGTTATACCAATTATTAACATATAGTAACTAAGATTGTCAAGTATTAGAAACTATTTTGCCATAATTTTTATTTAAAAAATAGATTTTTTTTATCAGTTCTGATCTTGGTCTTGCAACAGTTAGGTGACCAATTTAGGGCAACACTAACTAAAAATGTGGAATACATTTTAGATTCTCAAATCAGAAGTCATTGATAGCGAATCCATATTATTGTATTTTTGTATCGAATCCCCAACAATAATTAGTGGCGTATTCTTATGCTTCATCATTATCCTTATCTAGTTCCAAGTATCCCTCCAATCCTTCTCGAAGGTTGAAACGGAGTGACCCAAAACTTTTAGTAAACATGATACCCACTTCTTCTCCTGGCACAGGCTGGACCAGATTCTTGGTCCACACCCTTACGAGTTGCAGCTAGTTATTAAATGCCAATGGCACTTCAAAACAGTGGTTGCACGGTGCCAAAGTGATGTCCAAGCTGGTGGACTAAGGATTTGGATCCGAATTAGATTTTTGGTATTTTCATTAAACATTTGGCTTAATTTTGACACCTAAAGACATTATTCATCTTTAATAGGCACTTTTTGAAGTAATTAAATTGGTTACTTAGAAAAATAACTCAATTAGTAGTAAAGCAGTAACTTGACTTAATCGCTGTTAGATTTTTGCCACATTGATGAGACTTCATAAATGGTTTAGTTTTCAGCTTAATCCAATGGCGCATTCATGGAAAAGAAGAGGATGGCAATATTTGACGTGTAGCTAAATTTGGATATAGTTGTACTATTATATTTAATCGATTTTTTACATAAAACAGATCAATTATGGAAACAATGTAATAATTATCTCAAATCAATTTTTAACAATAATGCAGTTATTGTTTTTAGAGAAACATTTAGGATATATTAGTTTTATTGTATTAATTATCTCACATTATTTTAATAATGTAAGAACCACTAATAGTTATAGATTTTATTTTTTTAGCTTTCTTAATTCTGTTCTGACTTAAAACTTGTCTTATCGTAAAATATATAATTTTAATAAGAAATCTTAATTCATTAATAAATGGCTGTGTATTTGGAACTTGAATAGTTCGTAGAATAGAAGAGAAGGATGGTTGGGGCGATAAGTAAAAATAAATATAATTATTTATTATAATGACTACTATATTATTATAATAATAACTATTTTTATTTTGACTGATCACCCCAACGATCCTTCTCTTCAATTAATCACTACAGTCAACCATCAACCCTCAATTAGTTCATATAATAGCTGATCGATCAGCTAACGTGAAAGATTGTGTTTCCACCGCGGTACCCAGAATTAACTTATTTTTTTCAGAAAAATATCTGTGATTTTTCATTCAATAGAGGTCAAGGATGCATCAAAACAGTTATATTTATATTGTGTACGATTAAAAACATTAGATTTTAATACTTTTTCTCCCATTTCTCATTTTTTTTCCTCTCCTATGATATACGGTATTATCGCCAAGTGATGTCCAATAAAGTACCAGCTAAGAGGACTCTGTCAGACGGCTCTATCCTTCGTGGTTCACCAGCGGAACAAAGAATTCGTTGAAAACTACAGAACACTCTTCCAGTGACCACACTTGTAAAATCTTTAGAATCGGACCCTCAACCTCAAACAGAACATCAACACAAGAAATGGTCGAAGAATCGCCTTTCTCTACTCCGAACCCGTACTTCAAGTACTTCAAAATGACAAAGAGGTAATAGAGTCAGCAGCAACACCCAGAGAACCAAGGCCTCCTCCGGTATTTGCGAAAAATGTAAAGAATTTTCAGTTGTTGTGCACCCAACTAAATAAAATCAGTTCCGCCAGTTATTCATGTGTTAACAGGACCAATGACACTAAAATAATACCAGATAATACTGAAGTGTATCGAAAAATAGTGAAATATTTATCAGATACAAAGGCAGATTTTCAAACCTACGAGCTGAGGTAGGACAGAGCATTACGAGTGGTGATGAGAAATTTTCATTTCTCAACCCTTTCTGAAGTGATAAAGGAGGAAATAACAACGCTTAGTTTTAAAGTACGTCAAGTAACCAACGTTTCGAAGGAGAATTAGAAGCAGTCAGGGATAAGAAATATAGTCCTACTACCTTTGTTTTCTTACCACTCAGACCCTTCGAAAACTTCCATCCAAAGCAGTCATATTGCTTACACGTAAGTAGGATGTAATTGTAGATATATATGTGTAAGTAATATGACTGCTTTGGATGGATGTTGTCGAAGGATCTGATGGTTAAGGAGATCATGTCCAGCAGATTTACAGGGGATTAGTTTTTGTAATTGAAATTTCACTTCGGAAGAACAAATTGCTGTAAGGGGCAAGGAAAGTGGAATAGTTGATGTAAGGAATTCTTTTACGGTATTGGCGGGATGGGATTACGGGTGCGAAATAAATGTATTGGATAGGTGTCTGGCAAATTCCTCGGCTTCATCTTCGTCGAATCTGCGTGGCGGATGTGGGGATGGTCGGTGGAAATTCCCTGGAAGTTCCTCCCGGCTAAGTCCGATGGACTCGCTGACCAACAATGAGAGGGGTCCTCCAGACTTGCTGGAGCGAGGGGACCTCCAGACTTGCTGGAGGTATGGGCCCACCAGACTTGCTGGAGGGTGTGACGTAGGATTGAACGCCCTACTCACATATCTTTAGTTCACCAAACACCACAAATAGTCATGGATCTCCCTAAGGTAAAACGCTCATTATCCGGAAGTAAACTAGTCCCCCGTTCGGGCCTCCGGGTGGGGACTGCTTTAGGGGATTCATGGCGCAAGTTGAAATATAAGGATTTAAATATTGCTACGTGGAACGTAAGGAGTTTAAACACAGCAGGGGGGCTAAAATCGGTCGTGAATGAGGTGAATGGGTACAATTTGGATGTCGTGGCTCTGCAAGAGGTTCGCTGGCAAGGGGAGGGCTCGGTGAGGGAAGGAAAGTACACTATTTGGTACGGAGGAAGCGGGAATCATTGTTTGGGTACCGGGTTTCTAATTAGGAGTAGATTGCTATCCGCTTTGAGGGACGTACAATTCTTTAGTGATAGAATTTCGGTAGCTACATTTCAGGGACGTTGGTTTAAAATCGCATTAATAAACATACATTGTCCGACCGAAGACAGTGACGATGAAGTCAAAAGTGAATTTTACGATAAACTCGAATGGGTTTATGATAAACTACCGCGAAACTACATGAAAATAATTATAGGTGACGCGAACGCAAAGGTAGGAAGGGAAGAAGTTTATATTCCGACGATTGGTAAAGAAAGTTTGCACGAATATAGTAATGATAATGGGATCCGTCTGATAAACTTTGCCATCTCGAAAAACCTGATAATTAAAAGTACGACGTTTAAACATAAGGATATTCATAAATATACTTGGACATCACCGGATTCGCAAACACGAAATCAAATCGATCATGTCTTGATACAACATAGCTGGCAAAGCAGTATAATTAATGTACGGTCTTATCGCGGAGCAGAATGTGGGTCGGATCATGAATTAGTAATCGCAAAACTTCGACAAAAACTTAATATAAAAAAGAGAAAAGAAAACCGTTTCGATTTTGAGCATTTTAATTTGGACAAATTAAAAAATCCATCAATTAGAAACCAATTTGAGCTAGATGTTAAGAATAGGTTTGAAGCTTTAGAGCTTCCTGACGAGGACCACGAGGACATTGACAAGTTATGGGTAGAGATCAGGGATAATATTAAAGCGGTCGGTAACTCGTGTCTAGGAAAAAAGGAAAATAAGAATAACAAACCGTGGTTTGATGAAGATTGCTTAAACATGTGCGAAAAACGAAAAGCCGCTAAATTAAAAGCTCTAAATAATCCTAGCGAAGACAATCTGGAATACTTCCGAACCTCAAAGAACGAAACGACAAAATTGCTCAAAAATAAAAAAAGGGAGTATCTTAAAAATAAAATAATTGAAATAGAAACTAATAGAATCGAAAATAACGTAAGAGACATGTACAAAGGTATAAACAGATCACGTAAATGTGTAGGGCCCGTAACATCTGGAATTAGGGATGATAATAACAATATTCTGACCGATCCGGTTGACATATTGAATAAATTTAAGGACCACTTTGACAATATTTTAAATACGGGAAATTATGATCTGTGTCCTCCTTCTGAGTACCAGAGTGCTGAACCGTTGATAGAAAGACCGAGTAAAGAGGAAGTTGAATTAGCTATCGGAAAATTAAAATCTTATAAAGCAGCGGGAACCGACAATATTCCTACTGAACTAATTAAGGCATGCGGGGAAGCTGGAGTTTCTAAAATACATCGGTTGGTTAAAAAGATCTGGGTGAATGAGAAATTACCTGAAGAATGGAAAGAATCTATTCTTATTCCGATTCACAAAAAGGGTCCGAGGACGGATTGTAATAACTATCGAGGAATTTCACTCCTTCCGGTATGTTATAAAATATTTACTTTAATCTTAACCAGTCCAATCACGGAATACGCCGAGGAAATTATCGGAGACTACCAATGCGGATTTAGACGGAATCGTTC